AAGTAAAGCTGAACAACAATGCACATAAGCAGATATTGCTGTAAACAGTAGGATTTAAGATTGAGATCCTTTTATTCGTCCCACAGTGAGGAGGACATAACACAAGATGAGTCTTTTTTTTAAATCTCTAACTTTAGCATTGTTGCAGAGCTGTGGTTTGTCATAAAGTAATGGCTCTAATGGAAAATCTTAAGATCAAGGTCAAAATTATTCTCAAAGTAAAATGCTAGATAAGGAATACACTGTAGACTGAAACACAAAGACTCATTCCTCTTATCGTGACTATTTGAGCTTTTTGCATGAGTGAAAGGGGAAGTGGACACTCATATATTTCATGTTAATGCCACTCTATTATTCCACACGATGCACATTTGAACACACAAACTAAGCTTTGTGCTGGCATCATCTGCAGCCACAGCGATGGAGAATCTAATTAAATCTGGGCACGCCGAGCAAATACATTCCACATTGTAACAGCATTGGGATTCTGGGCGTGGCCGATCAATAGGATGCTGGCTTCAGACAAAGTGATTACATTTTGAGGAGTCACATGATGAATGCTGCTTCGGTGCAGTGGGGGACTGTGTTCTGTTTATGCGTGGCCTGTTGTGGTTCATCTCTGGTGTGATTCCTCATGTTTCAGGAGAGTGCGGGGCTAATGAGCACAACAGCTGCACTCAGCCTCATGCTCCACACTCTGAGCTCTAAAGCACTTTTCCCACATAATGTGAAACCATAAGCCTCCACCACCATGTAATGGCCTATGTACATCCAGAGAGAAGGTAATCAGCCACTGCCAAACACATCTCCTGCACGAGAGGAAGCCCTCAGGAAGTCATTACCACAACCACTTGACTTGGGTTCTCAGAATTATTCTCTCATAATAGTAAATCATTTGAACATGAAAGTGTAATTGGCCACTACATTTTAGCTTTTGTTCTTTATAATTAATTTAGTGTTTGTTTAGCCCTAAATCACAACAGTACTTATCTCGGAGGACTTTACAAAACCGTAGAATTTGCCAACACAGATCAGAGAATCAAGCTTTTCAAATACCAGCAATGCAATAATTAAAAACATGAAGGGCGGATGACCAATGTCCATAAATGTCATTGAATGTCCTGGATCATCACCACTGTCCTTAGACCCTCTTGCATCAGTAAGGAAAATTCCAGAGGCCCACATTGAGGGAGGAATCTGCTCCCACAGACACAGGCTATAGATACAGAACTCATGATCCATAGCCCCTTTTGATTTATTGCCATTTATACTTTCTGCAATGCATTACCAGGAGGCCAGTCAAACTATTTGCTACATTGACTCATTGTATAATGACTGCAAGATGTCAAAACTTCAAATGTTATAGTTGGTTGTTATGAAGAAAAACATCACAATTTCAACCATATTTGCTATTATATTAAAAATTATATGAATATTTCACGGCTCCTGTTCAAAGGTAGGGCTTTAAGATTGTACAGTGGTGTTGGAGCCAGATTTATTTGAGCAGAGAAATCCAGTATAGCAGTTTTAAAAACGTACTAATCAAATGCTACTGCACTTGGAATGAGACTAAACTTGTTGGTTCTATCAGCAAAAATTAAGTAGTAAAGCGTAAAATAGGTTACATTTGTGTGGGGAATTAGCAACTTAAGCTTAAGTATTTTATCCTACCATTTAGACTACCATGTAGAAGTATAAAATAAATATTAAAAGATATGTCTTTAGTGCCTTCATCTGATTTATCTTTCTGGTGTGTCTGATTTTGTATATTTTTATAAAGGGCTTATAAGGTTTTGTCCAGTTCTGCCATGACAAAAACTCTCTATGCCTTAAGGAGAGTATGACATCAGCTTCTTGACTCACTGAGACAGTAAAGCATCCCATTTCTTTTTGGAAAGTCACCTCCACACCCAATAAATCTGTAGCTTGGGGCATTTTTATAGTTGTGAAATGTACTATAATTTCTGTGCTTGATCCTCCGTTCAGTTGCGTGTTAATAGTAATAATAGTAATGAGAATAGTCAAACATATGAGTAAAAACCTCTTGCGCATAAATATATGAAGCTCTTACGGAAGCTATTACTTAAAAAATCCTATTGTCATTTATTACTTGGAAAGACGCCTGCACAACCACTCTGATTAGAAGCAATATGTTTTATCACCTTGGCACCTGTCCTAAATATTAGATGAGCTCTTTGCTGTAGTTGCAGCTCTACAAATGATAATGAAACTGCCAAACTGCAAGAAATATTGTAAGTAATATTGGTTAATTTCATACAAATAGTAACTATGATAACAATCGCAACACAGTAAGAATGTAACATGGTACTAAACATATTTTTGCCTTAGACTGAAAAATAAGTCTAGTTCCTAAAGTTGTTCTTTTGAGCACAATTCTTGTTTTTGAAGATACAAGAAAGGCCTCCCCTGGAATGAGAAAATAAAGCAACAGTTCTTGAAAGACTAAACGGCTTTGTCCCCAATGTACTCAAATTAAGATAAAAACCACTCAATTCAAGCTATTATTACCTCAGATTTTTTCCTTTTAAACCAAATAGTAAGCATTAGATTTACAGTTTAGTCTACTGGGCCGAGGATAGGAAATGTTATATATTTTTTTCTGTTTTTATGTGGAATTCCATTTGACTCGGTAGTTTCCATTGAATGTCCTCCAAAGTTACACTGACACGTTTCATTGGCTTTTGTGCCACATTAAAATAAAAATAAATCCGAAGCAGGTGACAGTTGGGCTTTCATTGTGTGATAAACAATTCTCGGATGACATGTGGAGCGAAACACATCTGGACAGATTACTGGTTGGTAAATTGGCTTAATTCTTGGTTCTTTCCTTGAGGGCTTTTTGTACTGGGAATAGTAGCAGGTTTAGCTAAAACCCAGTCTGGTTTGAATTATTTTTGTATACAATGTTTTTTAGGATGTCCAAAAATGGTATTAACTTAATACAAACATCATGGATAAAGCCCAATTTTCAAATCACAAAGTATGCAACTATCATGAAATCCGTATAACTAGTCCCTCGCTCTCTCATTGTTTGGTTCTATCACTAGTTTTCAGATGCATGTATTGTTTTGGCCTCTGTCACACTTCGGACCAAAAATGTCAAACTTAAAACGTGGAAAAGAGAAGACCACCCTCTCTCAGTAATAATGTGGATAATTGAGTCTTGTTGGGCAAAGCCATTTTAATAGACAAGACACATTTGCAACAATTATTTTTAAATGAGTCTGCCGCACAGATAATGAAAGTTTTTAACCTGGATTTGAACATTAAAAAGACTCACATGGGCATGAGAATCAATTTGCAGCAGTTAAATTAAATAGGATAAATGGGAATAAGTCTGGGCCTTTTTTAGAATTGAGAAAAACACATGAAGCAAGCCAAAACTGAATGCGTTTGTTCTGAGTGATACTGGCTGTTCAATCCAGAGTGACATCCTCTGAAGGGAGAGCCTCCACAACTAGATCGTATCAAGCCGGGCAGGAAAAGATAGAAGAGGCAATAAAATTATTCCCAGCAGAATTTGGAACGGTGTTGTCATTACACAGAAAGGACAAATGGTGGACCAGTGCCAGTTTATTCAAACGAAGGACCGTCAGACTTAAGGAGCCACAGTGGAGATGGAGAGCGCGTGCACTTGGTCAGTCGCCAAGCTATCGATTTAGAAATTAGGCTATGTGAAGAGAAAGTGTCTCTGTGGCTGCTGGGGGGGTGGGAGGAAGGGGCAGCGAGGTACGGTCCCAGTTAGTGGTTCGCAATTGGATTACGTCTGGACTGACAAGCAGGACTGATGATGATGGTGATGGTGGTGGTTGTGCAGGGCTGGACACAAACTCCTCCTCCCCGATGGTGGGCAAGAAAAGAGGGAAACTTCAGGAGAATGATGTCACTGGTTCCCTATTGTCTGCTGCAAAGACAAGATTTAGGTTTTTGTTTGCAAGGTTATTGTTATTGAATGCGCGGTGATGAAGATGGACTTTATAATTTAGCGGTTGCCTTTGTATAAAAGAGGAGACTGTGTGGGTGTTATTCTTGTTACTTTGGATGAGTAAGCTCAACATTGTTGGCCTTTTTGAAATGAAACAAAAGTAGTTTTATAAGACTAGCAGTGATGGAGTGAGTAATAGAATGCACTGCAAAATTAAAAATTAAAATATAAATGCTTGAATCAAGTGGTTTTTATTTTAATTTGAGTACATTATTAAAACAAGATTTGCGAATGGGACAAAGCCATTTAGTCTTTTTCTCATTCCAATGGAAATATTTCTTGTATCTAGATACAAGATCATTTTGCTTTTACCTCATTGGCAAATCTTGAAAAATAAGTCAAACATTTTTCAAATTTGTTAATTTGAGCACATTTTGACTTTCTTAAAACATCACTTTTTGCTGTGTAGGTGTCGCTACATCTTGATTTAAAGGCTTGACAGGAAATAGTAATGGAAATGCCCCCCTTGCTCCTCACCAAACTTACTGTAAAAGACCAAAGATGATTATCAAATGGTGAATATTCCACCCAATAAAAAGGTATATTGTTTGAAAGCCCTCCCTCTATTGCAAAAACCGTGGAAAATTGTTTTTATTTTGCCATTAAATCTTAACTTTTGTTAATCACCTGGCATCTAAATATTTGTTCCAGTTCCAAGAAATAAGCAGTATTTTATCTATTTAAATAATGAAGCATGTAGTTATGGCTGCAGGGAATTCTCAACATCTTCGGGTGAAAATATCTGGACCATGACTCACTCTGTTCCAAAGATAGCAAGTCTACTTACGCCCCCTTCTGCTCAGATGGTGCCACTGCAGGCTGTGGTATATTGTTTTCTTAGGTTTAAAATGACTTCAATTCAGATTATAGTTTAATGTGTTTTAAGAAAAATCAAGTTAATGAGTTATTCAAGATTAAGATATGCGACATTATTTCACATTTAATTTTGACACCTATTGCAGTCCTTATATTTTTTCCGTTTTGTCCCCCCCAGGTCTCCACATTCTGATTGCTGTTGGGGCTGTGATGATGGTCGTCGGATTCCTCGGATGCTACGGTGCTATCCAGGAGTCTCAGTGTCTTTTGGGAACTGTGAGTTTTGCATGATTTTCCTTTTTTGTAGATGTTTTTTATGCAGGCAAAGGTAACGGCTTCATTGTTTTCTGCAGTTCTTCGCCTGCCTGGTCCTCCTGTTCGCTTGTGAGGTTGCAGCTGGAATCTGGGGCTACATGAACAAAGAAACGGTAACGCATCAAACCCAACATTTAACATTATTTTGCATTTATTTTTTTACAGCCTCCTCCTGTGCAGCAGCTTTTGTTTACAACCTGTACTATGTAAACAAATGGATTTGGATTGTTATTGGTGTATCCATCCATCCATCCATTTTCTTCCCCTTAATCCATTTCTGGGTCAGGGGGGTGGCAGTCAGAGCTGCACCCACTACACATAGCACCAATTATTATTGTTGGTATTATTATTGTTATAGGTTACAATTATTGTGAGAAAAAAACACCAGAATTACATTTCCTTCTTGACTTCTTGAAGGTATTAAATGTTTTTCATATTTCCTTTTATCTACTTTCCAAGCTCTTGAAGATGGTAAAATTATGTTGATTTTACCATAACAACTCTAAATATCAAAATTGTCTAATGTAAAACTTTCCTAAAATAAGTCAAAAGAAAATTTAATTCTAAACTTATTCCAAACTATGTTTGGAATAAGCATTTTGGAATACACATTTTGGTCTAAAAAAATTGGCGCAAGAAGAGCAAAAAGTGATGAAAAATAAGTCCAAAATTGCTCAAATTGTAAAATGTATCTTCATTTAAGCACAAACAAGATATGCAAATGTGACAGTTGGAATGTACTCAAAGTAAGATAGAAACACTTGATTCAAGCAATTATTACCTATTATTTTATCATTTTTTGCAGTGGGATTTTGAGTGCGGATCAAGGAAACATTTTTTGTGTGTCTGTTTGTAGGTGTCGAAGGAGATAATCAACTTCTATGACTCGATCTACAACCAGGCCATTAAACCAGACTTCATCGGACAGGACGAGAGCAAGAAGGCGACCCTCACCACGACCCTCAAAATCTTCCATGAAGCGGTACGTGGCCACATTCACTCAAGCCTTTTTAATTGTAAAGTATTTAAAAATGACCACATAGGAGCAAACTGTTCAGCCCCAATTCCACTATAACGCGTTTTTGAAAGTCTGCAGTGAGCCTCAGATAAAATAGACTTCATCTGAAGAAAAAAAATGAATGGGCCAAAGCAAATGTTGCATAAAATCGAGAACGTTGCAACAGCTGTGAGCTTGACCAGTGCAGCAGGTGTGACCCAATTACATACGAGCTGCGATTCGTTCACCATTAGGTTGTTCCACTTTCAAACAGATAAGGCCAGGCAAGTTTATTTGTATAGCACAATTCATACACGAGGCAACTCAAAGTGCTGAAAAAAACAAGATAACGAAAGTCACAAAAGACATTAAAATCATAAATAATCATAGTACATTAAAAATAGTAGAGATAAAATCCCTCAGTTGTATGCACAGCTAAACAGAAATATTTTAACCTGGATTTGCACATGGTCAGATAAGAAGCCTGTCTCGCATTTTCAGGAAGACTGTTCCAGATTTTAGCAGCATGAATCTGAAATGCTGCCTTCCCATGTTTAGTCCTGACTCTGGGCACCAGCAGGAGGCCAGTCCCTGTGCTCCTCAGAGTCCGAGTTGGTTCATATGGGACTAACATCTAACTAATGTACTTTGGTGCGAGGTAAATTAGTCTAAATCGAAAGTATTTTTGATTGATGTGACGTTAGAAATATCACCACGATAATGACAAAAAGCAAAGGCTTGTTTATTATCGAGCCCTAAAAATTACATTTATTTAAAGTCAATATTGTTTTAATATTTGTGAAAAAGGCACATGGAGCAAGTCCCTGCAGTGTGGTCAGCGTGGCAGATGGCCCCAATGACAGTCTTTCACTGAGGGCAATACACCAGCTTTATATTAACACAAAAATAATAACTTGTCCTTTGCGATATTATATATTTTCTTAAGCCATTTTTCAGGTCTGCTATTTTAGACAGTCGCAAACTAAAAGCCTCCCTTTACCTGTTGCTAAAATCTACATCATATATTAAGAATTAAGAGAAATAGACTTATCGCTGTGGAACAATTTGTTTTGGTGTTATTTATCATCTTTTAATTTGCAATGATTGTTACATAACAAATACAATCGCAAAAACATTAAAGTTTTGGTAGGGGGGTTTATTAACAAATTTTTGTCTAAAAGGTGTTTTGGTGTGCATTTTTAATTAAATTGACCAGATGAATTATTATTTTACTGGTTCTATCCTGCTGTATTATAATTGTGGCAGTGTCATCAACTAGATTCAATATTAAATATAATTAATGTATGTTTACTTTTGTGTTCCAGCTCCAATGCTGTGGTAAAGGTGGAGCCGATGCGTTGTTCTCAATCTTCACTCAAGCTTCAGGCACCAGCGAAGTCTGCCCCAGTTCTTTTACCACTGTCGTAAGTCTTGCATTTGTTTTAAACTTAAAATAGTTTTGAAACTTGAATATTGAGCGGAAAGATCAAAAAATATTTTCAAGGGCAAAGTCTGTCTTTGTTGACTTTAATGAAAATCAATATAAAATCAAATTCGTCCAAAGCAGGAAATAAAATCGAGATTTTACTTTTTTGCCATATCGCCCAGCCCTACTACGATCTGGTAACGAGCTGCAGTGCACGGAAAGTAAGGATAAAGGAGTTGCCAAAGAAACTCAATAGATTCTCCTTACTGACCAAAATATGTCAACACTTTTCAGCAGTAGGGGTCACAGGTTTTCACACAATGCTCATGAACGTTGTCTTTATTCAATGAGAATGCAATTATTTTTTCCTTTTGTTTTGCTTGGACAATATTTCAACAAGAGATCTCAATGCTCTTTGCTTCACATTTGTTTAATTTTTGGAACAGATTGGACTGTGTTCCTAAATTAAATTGTACTGAGTTTGTTTTAAATGTTCATGTGTTTTTATTTACAGAGCTGCCATGCTAGAATCAACGAGTTGTTCTCTGACAAGATTTATCTCATTGGAATTTCTGCACTTGTAATTGCAGTCATCATGGTAAGTTAGGGCACAATATGTCATGTTTCCTTTAACGTGATGCAGTGGTGTAATAATGGTTCTGTCCTACAGATCTTTGAAATGATCTTCAGTATGGTGCTGTGCTGTGGGATCCGCAACAGTCCGGTCTACTAAAGACCAGGGTGCCAGACTGCTCTTACTTGATGGAAAGAAGCGGCTTTAGTTCTTCAGTCTTTTATAAGCAGAAACCCTCATAATACTGTTCGCTGGACTTGGTCCTCTTTGATCAATACCATCGTTTTTATTTTATTTTTTACACCAATTTTTTTGTTAGTGACAAATGCTGTTGCATATTTGACCAGTCCTATTCTAACGTGAACTGTTGATTTCTTATCACACTCATGCAGAAAAGTCCATCGCTGCCAAAATCATTTGCTTTCATGCCTATAAACATGTCCTTATATTCTTAGTTTTATGGATGTTTTTTCACTGTATAAACTGTATATAAATATATATATATATATTAACAGTGCTTTATGACTGCCTGAGCATGGATATTGTATTAGAGTAGATTCTGATCCTCTACTCTCTGCTAGAATGCCTTGCCCTCAACAAAAGCAGAGTGTGGATTTAAGAACCACACTAGTGTAGTTCCCTGTCCCAAAGACCTTTCTTTGTCCACGTCGCCATATGACGGATACAGTAGTCTACGAGATACAGAATGTCAATAGTTTAACGTATGGAACCAAAGTCAAAGTGAGGTCATTTTGACTGGATGCGGGTTTGATGTTCATTTGTTATGACTGAAGGTTGTTCATCTCATGTGTGGTGTAAAGTATGAGAATGGAAATTCTGTTTAGATGCATTTGGAAAATTAATGCACTTTTTGTCATTATAAAAACACAAGTATTTGGTTTATGGTATAAAACATTTAATTGACTAACGGATTGAAAATGAAGGGTAAATGTCTCAAATGTTTGTTTTGAGTTCTGTTGTGTACATATAGGCTAGTTGAGTGATTTTACTGTATCATTTAGTTGAAGTCAGACGTTTGCGCACAGATGCATCTTTTATGCACTCTAAGCCGTGGTTTATTTGGACCTAACAGATCAACGGGCATAGCTTCAAATATCACTTACATTGCCCTCTACTTTAATTCTCAAGCTTAGCTTTACTAATGAATCCAGAGCATTATGTCACCTGCTGGGAAGTGTAGAAAACAAACATTTATTACTGCTTGATCAGGTTTTGTACTTTGTGAACATCCTGTGGTAATGTGTATTTGAATGTTTTTGTCCCTCTAAAGTTAGTTGTGGCCATATCTGTCCTGGTAGAAGGCAGTCCAGTCGCACTAATACTCCACTCACCAGGGCATCTGGCTTTTTTGTTTTTGGAGGATACGCTGCCACACCTTTCCCTGCACTTGCCAAACTGAGAACGTGTCACATGTAACCCGCCTTACAGCACTCCTGTGTCTCCAACTACAGCTATGTTAATGTGTTCTTGAACTGACAGTTAAGTGTCTTGTAATATTTACAGCTCTGAAGTATTGTACTAATGAAGATCATGAAGGCTGTAGAGAACCCTATTATCTGCCTTTTCTCTTTGTATTGTGGTATCTGTGTCTGGTACGATGTTAAAGGGGTCTGCAGAAGGAGGGGATTGGTGGCAGTATGTGGTTAGTGTATGAAGGGATCGTCTCATGAGCCTCACTTATATTCATTATATTCATTTCATCCCACATTGTTCAACACTTCACTTTTATGTGATTCTTTAATCGGACCCAAGCCCCTCCAGGAAAAGGAGTGGATTCTAATGCAATTTGGTGAAGATTCAAATTTTCTGTGTTTTTAATTTTTTACGTTCAAATGAATATATTTTGGCTTTTTGTTATATGAAAGAATATAATTGTAAGTTTGTTTCATGGACATCCATGAACGTCAGTTTTACTGCCATTCAAATCTCCCCTACCTTCTCTTGCAGACCTTTGGTTTGCCCAAATATAAAGGGATTTAATGTATTTTACAAATAAAGATGGAAAAAACTTTGGAAGCCTTTTTACAAGATTATTTTTGGGTATTTTAATAAAATGTATTCTAGTATTTGGAGTAACTAGTTACTACATTGCTGGTTGGCATCAATGTAACTCAGGTTACACTAATTTGCTTTGCTCAGTTTAAAATACAAAAGTATTTCATATCAAAAACTGCAACTTGTTTGTGACTCAATTGTATTTCAAACAATGCTCCGAAATCACTGGAACAAAAAGCTACCACCAGATGCCGCTGTAGGACTTCATACCACACCACACTTTTTATCCAAGTGGGTCACGTCCATTTGATTAATGTCTTATTAGACTATTATAAAACTTCTTGTAGAAGTTTGATAATAGTCTAACACATTTTTTAAAAATACCCCATCCCCACTTGACTAATCAGTCTTTACTGCCTACTGTGGACTTTGTCTGCAGAGAATAAGATCCAGATGAGCTCTGACAATGAATCTGGTCTGAGGAATGTCTTTGAAGATACACACCCAGCACCATCTTGGGACACCTTCAGAAAGAATGCCAAAATTATTAACACACCAAAACAAACATGAATATATGTTCTTTCGGTTGAGGCTGCATTTATTATGATGAAAGTCTTAAACAAAAGTGTACAGCCCAGAGAACACTTTCAACCAGCTCTGCATGTGTACAAGTATCCATGGCCTTGCACAAAAGTCCATCTGTGACATGTTAATGCCATATGAACCAAATCATACTCTGAAGAGCACAGGTACTGGCTTCCTCCTTGTGCCTAGGGTCAGGACTAAACATGGAAAGTCAGCTAGAATTCATGAAGCTAAAGACTGGCTTTTCTGAAAAAGTTCAGTTTATCTGCACTTTCCTTTTAAAATACATGCATTGAGATACATTGTTACTATAGGTTTGGGGAGACATGGTAGCTGAGTGATGACACTTGCTTCTCAGCAAAAAGGTCCTGGGTTCGAATCCTGGTCGGAACAGGGCCTTTCTGAGTGGAGTTTCATGTTCTTCCCGTGTCTGCGTAGGTTCCCCTACCACTTAGACATTTACAATAGGTATGAATGTAATGAGTGAATGGATGGTGTTGGTTGGGGGGTTTTGATGCGCCAGTGTGATCAGTGTCTCACTTCTGTCATCCCTGTGTGGAGAGAATGAAACAATAGCTGAACTCTGAACATTGTAAAGCGCTTTGGTGACCTTGGTCTGTAAAAATGAATAAAGATTTCTTGTATATGGTTTTAATGTTTCCTGACTGAAACATATCATTAAAATTCTTTTAAAAATGTGCCTTTTCACAAAAGGAACAGTGCAATATAACAGAATTAATATCTCCTCTTCACCTGCACTATTCTCTCCCAGTTCATAGTTTTTCACATGCTTGTGCTAATTTGGTGACTTACAGTTGACAGTAATAGACTCAGAGTCACTGGATTCCAACACTAGCCTGCTATAATCTTCACCTCCAAAATCCCCCTTAGCTTTTTTCATTTATTTCCACAATCCAAACTCCTATTTAGCCTCAACTTTATCCTACTAAATAATAGCTTGACTGCCACGATCTAAACCACAGTCTTTCATAACAGGGAATATAAAAGTTAATTACAAGTTAATTTGGGGGGATGGCTGTGCAAAATTACGTTTCTGAGGATACAGTAAATAAACTTTTTTTCCCACTTTCTTCGTTGGATACTTGTCAGCTGGATGACGTTGACGTAATAGTTGCACAGTTAAGTTGCAGAAGGGTCATGACCGGCTGTAGTGTTACGATAACCTATGATTAGACACACACCCATAAGTGCATTTCTCCCCAAACACTGCAAAAGCTATGTTTCAATTAGTTAAACTGATTTTGTATGGTCTTGATTTTAGCCGATAAGGCCTAGAAATGGAAAAGACATGCTAAAGTTGGAGATTTTAAACCTAATTCTTGCTTATTTATTCTGGTAAAGCTATAAAGAGATGTTATACTTGTTTCTTTATTACTCTAAAGCTAAAGATTTTACACTTGCTGTTGTTCACTTTTGTTTCAGCTTTGGCTATGTGCTCCTCGTTCTGTACCTGGTGATGCAGCGCTGAAATTTCCCCACTCACAGATCTCTTAATCTTAATTCATGTTGATATGACTTTCTCCATTTATTGCATCAGGCCTTTCTGAATAATTTCTATACTGACTTATCAATCACCAATCTATTGATTTTGCAATATAATTTGGGCCATAGTTATTGTTAGCTGTTATTGTTATGGGCTACTCCATTACCATCAATGCTGCAAGATACTGTATTAATGATTGATTGATTGTATTTTCTTTCAAGCTTATGAACAGGAATCAATTTTAGATTTAACAGCAATTACATATAAGAAATGTACATGATAGAAATGTACATACATACATAAATATATATATTATTATTATTCTTTTTTACATTTTTATTATTTTTATTATAACTTATTATTATATTATAACTTTTGATAACTGAGAATTATTTTAGGGGCCACTAAAAAGGGTCTCATGTGCCTGTTATAGAGGAAAAAATGTCATATAAGACTAAACTTGCTTGTCCAATTTTCCCATCGTAATCTATGGCTGTCATTGTAAATAAGTAAGTCATGTTTATTCATAAAGCACATTTTACAGACCAAGGTCACCCAAAGTGTTTTACAATGTGAGTTCCAATTTTTTATCAATTTTCGTCCACACAGTGTTGATCGAAGCGAGATGCCGAACACACTGGTGCATCAAAGCCTACGACCAACACCATAAGCAAGAATGTCCTGGGTTCAAATCCCAGTCAGAACAGGGCATGTGTGGAGTTAGCATGTTCTCCCCATGGGTAGAACGTGCGAAGGTTTCCCTCTGGGTGCTCCGGTTTCTAGACACACTAAAAACATGCACAATAGTGAGTGAATTGATGGTGTTGATTGGGGGCTTTGGTGCGCCAGTGTGTTCCGCCATCACTGTGTGGAGAGAATGGACCAATACCTGAACTCTGAACATAAACAAAAAATACTAAGTTGCTTACAATCTTTTTAGCGTTTTATTTTAGTGGTAGGGGAAACCGGAGCACTTGGAAGAAACCTACAAAGATATGGAAAGAACATGCAAACTCCACACAGAAAGGCCTGGAGGTGGAATCAAACCCAGGACCTTCTTGTTGAGATAAATAACCGCTGCCCCAACCAACGATAGGCGTTATGTGTCCCCAGCAGTGCATGTTTCAGACACAGGCACCTCCCTCTCCACATCCTCACACATCACTGCTCTTCACACTCACTCTCAGATTCCCAAACCTCCCCCAAAACATTTCTCATGTACGCTCAGGGCAATGAAGTCATTTCCACATTCCTGGAGGTTTAAACAACTATAGGACGAGACTGGGTAACAATGCATCTGCCTTTTGGGGTAGTTTTTGTCCAATGTTGGAAAGGAGACATAAATTGCACTGCATGTGAATGGGACAGCACATTCTTGGCCTAATCTTTCCTGTGCCTTGGGACTCACCTCACAGAACCCAGTGCTGTGTAGCTGGATTTCTCATGCTTGTTTATCTCAGTCCTTGTTTCAGCCCTCTGACTGTGACCCCACCCCAATATCAGTTCCTCCTGTTGGCAACACACAGTGCACACTCCAGCATTTTCCACCCACTACGACATGACTTGATCAGGTCTTACTAAGCAATGCAACTATGCAAGTTGTTTCTGATTTTTACTGGGTACTGGGTGCAGCTCTGACTCCCACCCCCCAACCCAGAAATGGATTAAGGGGAAGAAAATGGATGGATGGATTTCTGATTTTTCTTTACACATTGACAATGTATTAGGTTATAGGCTATAGTTATAGGTTGTCTACACTGTATTATACTGTGAATTGGCAAGGCAAGGCAAGGCAAGTTTATTTATATAGCACAATTCATACACAAGGCAATTCAAAGTGCTGAACAAAACAAGAAAGCATTAAATTCATAAATAATCACAGAACATTAAAAAGAAAGATAAAAATATAAAATCCCTCAGTTGTATGCACAGCTAAACAGAACTGTCTTTAACCTGGTTTTAAACATTGTCATTGAGGAGGCCTGTCTCACATCTTCAGGAAGACTGTTCCAGATTTTAGCAGCATGAATCTGAAAAGCAGCCTCCCCATGTTTAGTTCTGACTCTGGGCACTAACAGGAGTCCAGTCCCTGTGCTCCTCAGAGTCCGGGCTGGTTCATATGGTACTAACATGTCACTAAAGTATTTTGGTGCGAGGCCATGGAGAGACTTGTACACAAGCAGAGCTGTATTAATATTGTATTGCTTGAAACTGAACTTGAAACTTTATCCCACACTTTTACTCACCAAGACTGTGTCTCTCACTATAACAGAAAATACATTGTAAGGGCCTGTTGTTGGTGTGTCGGTGTGTTTGTGAGGGCTGTTGAAAGTGTTGGCCCCTGTCCCGCAGGTGGACTGTGCTCTGGCCCCTGAGGTCCCGCCTCCAGGCTCCAGCCTCCAGCCTCCAGCCCAGCAGACACTGTGTGTGCGTGTACGTGTATCTGGGCTCTAGTGCGCACAGAGAGGCCAGAGAGACACACCTCTGCTCGGGACAGCTGCTCCTCTGCACTTTCACCTCTGGATAAAGTCTGTTTGTTTTGGGCCGAGAATGAGCGTCGCGGTGGCGGAGGGCTGCTTTCTGTCCGCGCTGCAGCCAAACACCTCCTGCACCGCCTATGCGCTTCCTTCGGACGGACCGAGACCAGACCAGGCGGCGAAAGCCCGCAGAGTCCAGGAGCAGGTCCGGAGGAGACTGGCCGAGAAGAGGTCCTCGTCCCTGACCCGCCTGGACGACTCCATGCTCGGCTCAGCAGGTCAGTCCTCCGCGACCACCTGAACTTTGACAGAGAGAGCGCGCGCACCGCTATTACCACGTTATGTTTGGCTAATTAACAACAGGTGCGCGTCAATAAACAGTCAGGCTAGTCACCCTTCATACACAATCTCCATACAGAAGCATTATACAGGATCAACATACAGGAGCCGAATAGAGCTGAATAGAGCCTGTATAACGGTATATGTGGGTCACCTGTAAGTTGTTACTATATTATAAAGCTATAATGTGCAACCCTAACCCTAACCCTAATCAGCTAATGAGTTTTTATTTTATTTTAATTTTAATTAGGGTCCAGGCCAATATGGCAGGATCCCCCAAAACTGATTCTAACACTAAACTAATTGAGTCTGGAATAAAATATAGGTTACAGGTTAGGAGGAAACTGTTGCCTGAGGTCAACATTATAATCATGAAATAATGAAATAGTATGGATATTTAATCTGCTATTCTGTTACTGTGTTAAAGGTGTTAATATTGTTTTACTTCCGGAAGCGATTTGTCATATGGCTTGTTTTGTTATTCATCACTGAAGGAGTGAGTTATTACCTTTACTTATTACTTACAGTAGAAAGCGGTTTTTCATGTTTTCAGGCTAAAAAGTGCCGTGACTCCATAAGTTATTGTGACAGGTCTTGACGTGTGTGGATGGGGGCTGGGGATTGGGTCCAGTGTCAGGGGTCTTATTGACAGACAGACGCAGAACACAAACTAAAACACCCTAAAGTGGTCTTGGTAATTCCCTCCTCACATTTTTGGTGAGGTTAGAAAGGCAAGAACGTCAGAGATTACGAAACGAAGAAAAAACTGTGCTTTTTCGATTCATGAATCATGTTGCCAGAAGAATGTGGATGTAATTATGGGAACTTCTCTGCAGCTAATACACTTTCAACATGGTCATAGGCCAGATGTTAAACTGGTGAAGTGATTAAGAGGGGCAACACTGACACCCAAAGCTCCTAAAGTATTGTGAATAGTGACCAGTTTTAATTTTTCAAACAGCACATTAAATAAACAACTTTAAATGAATGTAGAATGTTTGGATGCTTCAAATTTCTACAATATTAAACTATTTACTTCAGTGGGTGTTTCATGCCTATTTTGCCTGAAGAAAAATAACCTTTTATTTGTCCCACAATGGAGAAAGTCCAGTGTTGTAAGGCGATCGTACAATCTAAGTTTTGAATAGAATACCATTTAATCAGATATGTTCAAAGACTATTTTCATTACCTCCCCGGATTTGTCTACCTCCATCAGTCTTTTTTACTATACTAACATGGCATGATAATAAAACCAGAAATATTATATGTTTTGGTTCTATATCTACAACTGTCAACAATCAGTAAAAAGACAGAAGAAAGAGACTTACCAAAAGTTACATATGGTCAAAGATAATGTAGAGTTCACACATTGTTGGGCGGGGAGTTCATTGTTCCTCTTGGATGGAAATTGCATAAGCAGTTTGAGTGGGCAGAGTCCCACTGTTCAGTATATCTCTGTATATAGATACTTGTTAGGATCTTTTGTGGTTATTTAGTGCGATGTGTACCTCAAAATGATTGTTATTTTTAATTAGGTGTTCTATATGCTGCAATAATGACCCAAACAGCTTAATGAAGGAAACAGGTTCATTGACTTTCTGTTCAAAACTTTAGAACTAATAAACTGTTTCTCGCAGTATGCTAACATGTTTTAACTCTACATGCAAGATCTGTAGTTATATATTTTTGGAATACTCACAAGGATTTTTTAAGCACTGAAGCAGGGCAAAAACTGAATACTCAAATAAAGACATTAAGTTGAGGTGTACGTAACTTTCAATCCACAAAAAAGTAAACTATGTAATAAAATTCGAATTATATTCTCGCTCGCAAAACCAGTTGGCTCTACCTCTATTTCACAGACATGCGTCTAATGGCCTCTGTCACATCTTTAGATCAGTTTTTTCAGATGGAAAAGTTAAAAATAGAAGAAAATTGTCACTCATTCAGCTCTCAACCCAAAGTGTAAAATGGTATGCAAAAAAGTATGCTGGGACAAACAACATGCATTTATTTATGTAAAAAAAAAAAACTGCTTTAAATGTGTATAAATTATTTACAGAAAAGGATGATGACAAAAGTACACAAATATATACATGTTTTATCTCTTAAACGTCATTGAAAACATTATTAATTTCTGTATTGATATATGTTATGTTATTCTACTTTAATGTAGTATAAATAGTTGTCTAAGATTAAGATTAAGAGATCAGAACAGTAGGAATGAGTAGCACACAGCACAAGATAAGATATAGAGCAATAACTCTATACTAAAGTATAAAATCTCTATCTATAGCATAATGAGTAAAAAAAGTCTGACTTTTGCATAATAAAGAAGTATAACATCTTAACTTTTTCATAATAAGAAGCAAATATAAAGTACTGTATACTCTAGTGCAAGTAATATATGGTCGTATGTATACAGCTGTTCATGTTAGCAGCATAAGGGGATGAGACAAAGTGACTAAGTAGAGCAACAGTGGACACATGTGGTTCTATCGTGCATACTGACATTATTAAAGTTATTATTGCACAGCTGAGTAAGTCTAGTAAAGCAATCTTCACTCCCTCTTCGAGTTAGACTATAGTGATGGGAACCCCTGGTGCAGTTATTTCCTGCTGTCTTCCTGTGTTTTTTCCCCTCTGTGGAAACTTGCAGGACATCCCCGGTTGTCGACAATATTAAAATGGAATTATTCATGTTCACACGTCAACACAGAAACCTGCCCTCTGCCCCGTTCTGCAGGTGTCCAGTTGTGGTCAGTTTTCCTGGGGAGCTCTTCTGATTATTTTGGCTGGTACAACACAAGTCATCTTTTATCCCAGAGTTTTGTTGACCTGACTTCAGTGAACAGGAAGGACCTTACTACGGACTCTACAAGCTTCCCGAGTAACCCCGTCTGAGGCAGGATGTTCTCCAAAATAAGTAAAAGAAGAAAAACTAAATCGAAAAGAGGCTGTAGTAAATCGGAACCAGGCCTCTGTGTTCATTGTAAATATTTGAAAAGAAATTAAGGGAATAAGTGGTGACTTGTTAAGGGGAGAAGAGAAAGAGCAGACTTTTCTTGAAACCCACTCAAAGTGTGTGGTTAGGGACAAACGGTGAAATAATGTATTTACCCATAAGTCAAAATGAAAAAATGTATCTTGGAAAATTGTGGTTAATTGTGGCAAGAATATGTCAATAGGATTAAGAGATCTTTTATTCATCCCACAGTGGGCAAATTTCAGTGTTGCATCTCCGGTTACAGAACAATAGGAATGAGGAGTACACAACGATAAATGAATAATAACTCTGAACTAAAATGAAATATAATCTCTAGCTTTAGCATGATAAGGAAGTAAATCTAAAATCTCCAACTTTAGCATAATGCCATCCATCCATTTTCTTCAGGGGGGTGGCAATCAGCTGCCACCCAATTCAGAGCACCAGCCCCTCACTGATCCTCCTGCAGGTGGTGAGTCCATAGCCTTGATCTTTCAGCGGGGATTCAGGCAAAGTGGGGTTAAGTGTCTTGCCCAAGGACACAACGACAGCAGACATCAGCGGGAGAGAGAATCTACAACCTTCAGGCTCAAAGGCCAATGCTCTACCAACTGAGCCAGTGTCGCCCCCATTTAGCAAAAATTAACCATAAGTTTAAAGTATTTTTACCCCCCACCACTACTATCAATATTCTAATACAGTAGTTCCCTCAATGTCAAACTTCAAATATGACATGAGCTCCCATTGATTACATGTTATTAATTGTGTGAGTGACCTTTGCTTGGTCTATGTAATCAAATAATAAAAACATGACTTTGTTTTACCATTGAGCTAAAGCAAAGTGCTGTTTGTGCGTTTAGATGACAATTGGATTATGAGGATCTCTGCTGCAGGTAATTGAAAGGTAATTGAAAAGGGCAAGCTCGACTCAGAAGGAATGTTGGACGTCTCGTGTTGAGCTGCTTTCCATTATTATTTTCTTTTGCTTGGACAAAAGAAAAGCATTACTCAGCTAACTCCATTTAGCAGTGCGGAGTGGGGCACATTCTTTTCCTGTGTCCTCTCTTGTTATCAAAGGCTATTTCGGACATGACCGTGTGGTTATATTTGACCTTTGACAATTGATAGAACCTCTAAGACACATAAACCACCCAGTTGGGAAAACTACAACATGTTTGGTTTTCATTAGACGGTGCATATTAAAACTAAATATTATCTTCATGATTATGTTACTAGTGCTTTCAACAAACTCCCGACGTTATTTTGAACATGGAAAACAAATAAAGGCAGGTTTCTTGGAGAGCTAGATGGTTTGAACTTTTATTCCCCCACTATTAAAAATGTCTACACAGATGTGTTTTTGGAAAGTCAATTTTCTTCTAAATGTAATGAATGTAACATAGACGAGTTGAACAAAAAATGTATATCCTTTATATCACAAGCACAAGTATCTGTTAATTGTGCTGTTGGATTTGTTTGGTGTCTTTGATGAATTGATTTTTCATGAGCTGAGTTTAGTTATAGGGATAAAGCTATAGACCTGGGCAAAGTGTGGCTTGGGAGCTGCTTACGGCCCAGTTCATGTTTCTATGCGTCCCCATTCCCAGCTATTTACCTCATTATCCATCAAACAAAACCAAGAAAAATAGTTTTCATTCAGAATGTTATTGTGTAAAAGTGATAACATTCTAAAAGTCATTCTAACACACAAAGAAAACATTGGATATTGTCACGTTTCCTCTCCTTGTCGTCTTTAAATATTGTTCAATCAATTTTTTATTCCAACATAGAAGTAGCTTTTTGCTAAAAAAAGGGTGCATGAAAACGGGTGTGTCCCTCCACAAGCGTGATACCCCAATTTGCCCCCCCAGAGAAAATAATTGCCCACCTCTGCTATCGAATGACTTTGTTTAAGGAAAGGTTTCTCATGTTTACCATTAAAACATAACTAACACTTTGATTATTTGGGACCCATCAATTATTGTCTTGCTACAGCTATAATTGAGCTCAAAATTATGCATTTCTTGTTGTTATTCAGGTAGTGTAGATCAAGAGGTTGGTTGGTGGATTTTTGTCTTGAAAAATATGTTATACACCAAATAGTTTGTAGAAATAGGTGATTCTCAGCTTATCTGATGCAGCCAATAGCCCTATGCCACTGGCCTCGTAGCTGCTGACTAAAAAGGTTTTGGAGCATAAATCCACACTTACTATGAATCCCCACTGATGCTCCATCTGCAAATGAAGTTCCTCACAGAGAAATCGAGTTATTTGAATTACTTTGAGTTCTATATTGGTATATTTCAGATTTCAACATACCACAATCGGCTCTCAGTCAAAAAATATTGATTTGCTTTGTTGGCCCTTTAGTCCCATTAGAAAAATCCAACCAATTCTATTTTGCATTTTTGTGGACATACAAATTCATCATCTTAAAATCAATCAATCAGCATTTCCTTTGTAACATAATTTGAACATATTTATTGAAATGCAATACTGAAATGTCCATGAGAAACCATCAGGACTCATCCGTCTTCATTGGCTTGGCTGACTCGCTTGACCAAGAACCATTTGAAAAGATGAAATTGGAGCCAGACATAAGCCACTGCTCCTTCATTTGCAGAAGCCACAGTGGAAGACGCGCCTGTTGGAAGATGGCCTTAATTATAGTGATAAAAAAACTAAGGAGAGGAGTTAATTGAAACCAAGCTTTAGCTGGAAAACTGCTCCCATATTATTGTGCATTCGGCAACTTTTGAATGCTTTTTTGCTGAAAGCTTTTTTCTCTTCAAACGCTTTCTCCAACTCTGATTTATGGACTCCGTGTGAACTACAGAGACACATATAGGGCTAAAGAATGCGGTAGACTCCTTGATATACAGGGAAGTCTGTGAATCGGCTGCAGTCAGAGATGGTGGATGGAGGGTACTGCTCCTGATATACTCCCACATAGCAGGGCCGTGACCCGAGAGGACTAGACAAGACTCTTATCTCTGTAAAGTCTTTTTCCATGTTAATACATTCGGGCAATATCAAAGTGAAACTACGCTGTTATGCATTCTTTAACGTTTTAGTAAGTAGAGCTTGGGAGTGTTTAACTTTTAGCACATTGAACTGAAATGAGAACTTTGTGATAAAATGCTTTCTTTAAAGTAAAATTCCTCCTCAATTTTTTCTTCACATGAGGTTGTGTTTATGTTGCAGAATTTCAAATAGAGGGAAGGAAATAAAACAACTAAATGGGAAAGAAGCAATGATGGAAATTCAAATAATTTTATAATATATTTATTATTCATTATTTTATAGTGATTAAATTCACCAGCCTGCCATATTATCCACATGTCTGAAAGTCCTTTCTACTGGCCAACATCTTGAATGAAATGTGGTGGTTTTTTTTTAAATTAAATATCACCACTTGTAGACACCGTTTTGAGAAAATGATTAGACCATATAGTTGATATGTACTGACATAGAAGATGTGGAACTTTGTGACATTGTTTGTTTCATTTGGATTGGTCCAGGAATGATAGATATTAGCTCCAAACCAATACTAGATATCTGTTATCGTTGGAAGTAGTCAAAGAAATATCACAATATTTTTTTGGAATATTGTGATGTCACATGAACTCAACTTAATCATCACAGTGATGGATTGTTATGATATTTATAGAAAGAGGAATATACAAACAACATCCATCAGCATTCTGGATTTAAGATGTAATTTTACACCGTTTGTTGTGCGGTTTGATTGTGAAAATAATGCATTATTTATGTATGACAATATTCTTACAGCATATATTGGGAGGTCCAGTTTTGGTTTTTTTCATCCTAATCATTTGTTTGCTGGATCCCAGACGAGCCCCCATTTGTCACAAACTGGCTCAAGGTTCAGACAAAAATGTCCACACTGTAATAAATGATCAAATATGAGGTAATAATTGCTTGAATCGAGTGGTTTTTATCTTAATATTCATTCTGACTGTCTTAAAACAATATTTGCCAATGGGACAAAGCCATTTAGTCTTATTTCAAGAACTGTTGCTCTATTTTCTCATTCCAAGAGAGACATTTATTGTACTTTTTTTTTTCACACGAAGATAAATAACAACATTAAGCATGAGAACTACTCATTCAGCATAAGTTAGAAGAGCTTTAACTTATGAGCACAAAAAACTCTACTTTTGGCATGATAAAAGGAAAGTATAAAGTACTGTGTGGGAAATCAGACCCTCGCACAATTGTCATCACTGTGTTCTACATACTTGTCTTGGCCACAAACAATATGACCATACTATTTATTTGGAGAGTAATGTTGGTCTACCATTCAAAGGGTACAGAATATGTATAAATGCATACAGCCTATAATAGCCTAAGTGTACTATGGTATGTTTACTGTGGTGGAACTTTCTGACCTGGTGATTCTTACATTCAGGTATGCAGTCCGGTCCCCTCTTCTTCCTGTCTGGTATGACCTTAAATTTTCTCCTTTTCTTCTAGACTACAACTTCCACACGTCCAGGGGATTTTCAGAAAACAATGGATTTAGCTCCCGGTCCATGGTTATGAAGCCCAGCAGAGTGATGGCTGTAAGTGTTGCCAATCTCACACTTTGAACAATATTTATTGTACTATTATAATCGTACTGTATCTACATATGTGGTAGGGTGTGGACCAATGGCTATATGTGTGTGTTTTAAATACAAATATTTTCTTGTGTTTGAAATGTTTGATTCTCTGATCGCGAATTCAACGGTTTTGTAAAGTCCTCTGAGATAAAAACTGTTGTGATTTAGGGCTATACAAAAATACATTGAAATGAATTGAAATTTGATTAGTTTTGAGGTTCTACATAAGAACTTAAATCAAAATTTAGTTCAAAGTAAAAGTTGAGGTTAAACTATTTTCTTCAATACAATTCTTCAACAATTTATCGCCTAAAAGTCATGTCTATCTGAAGCCACACTTGTAACCTATAGGAATAGAAGTATACAAGCGCAGATGCACTTTGAAGGCAGCGAGTATTGTGTATGAAAAATGCTTCCTTCCTGTAACTCTCATTGTCTTGGTTTTGCAAACTGGAAGCTGATTTTAAACTAAGAACAACATGCAGAGAGACTACAGAGAAGGTGTTGGCTGGATCTCATTGTGCAAGTTTTGGGTGGAAATGAAAGAGTTTCTTTTAAATGGAACCAATGGAAATTTTGGATACAACTATAGATCAGTATTTTTCTCAAACAAATTTTCAGGGATTTGCATATATGTATGTTTGGATAGTGCTATTGCTGTAAAAAAAAATGCAATTTTATCTGCTATCAGCTGTTTTTTACTTACTGTTTTTTACTATACAGTTGTGCTCAAAAGTTCACACACCCAGCTAGAGATTTCATTGTTTTGGTCATATATTAGAGATTATGAATGATATCACAAAGACCTTTCACTTATTGTTAATAGTCTGAAGCCATATTATATTAAATTATAAGAGTGAGCCGCTCTGAGGAGATCTCTATTGATGCCTGGCGGCCCAAAAATCTACAGGGACTGGATGCTTTTTGTCAAGAAGAATTGGCAGAAAGGATAAAGAACCTCCACTACAGGACACTATGCTGTCATGCATGTTAAAGGGGATATACAAGATACTGAGGACTGGGGGATGGAGACTTCTAATCAGGGTAACGTGAGTATATTCTGTTGCCAACACTCTATTTTATTTTATTTTTGTATAACCATAAATCACACTAGTTATCTCGGAGGAAAAACCGTCGATTGCTGCATATAATGTGACCTGCTGCTGGGTCTGCAGTATGTCAACTCTTTGTAGTGATGTTTGGTTTAAACATGGGTCATAACTAAAAAAAGATTTAGTTATCAGATACGTTAGCTGCTACTGCCGTTTAGCAGAACTATCCATCACTAACTATGAACTCTGTGCCCTGGCAGGTCCCTACTGCCCCACTCCACTCCTCTGGGTTCTCGTCCCGCTCCGCCGTGGTAAGCAACTCCAAGAACAACCACATCGGCACCAGCTCACTGCACACTTACCAGGCCACGCAGTCCCGCACTAGAAGCAGCCGCTCCAGGTCCTTCTGCCAAGCCGATCAGGAAATATTCCCGCTCACAGTCCTACCCTCTCCGGAGAGCGCCAACCACACCCTCCCCACACCACCCCAGGGCAGCCTGCGTCGCAGCCTCAGCGGGACCCTCGCCCAGTCCAGAGGGCAGTGGCAGGAGGAAGAGGTGCCCTACCAGTACATTTACAAAGGCCCGTCCCACCGCACCATTAGCCGCATTGCCAACAGACAGCAGCAGCAGCAGTACCAGCACAACTCAGGGTACGGGCAGGAGGGCTGGGTGGGCACAGGCAGAGGGGTGCACTCGCTGGGGGACGGCTGGGGTTCACAGTGGCAGCAGCAGCAGACATCCAGGTCCAGCCACGGGTTCGGGACGGGACAGTACCAGGGCCTGAACCGGGCAGCCTCAGTGCGCAGCGTGAGGAGCGTGGGAAAAGGGGCGGATGTGCTGGATGGAGCATCTATACACAGCAATGATGCCTTAGGAGGGTGAGACACATGACAGATCTTTGTTTATAATTGAATGATTTAACAGATGGGACTTGTCTCATATATTAGCAGTATAACCTTTGCCAGCTTATTCATTATGTTCAAGGGCACTGATGCATGTGTTACATCAGGGCTGAAGGATCAAGTGAATATCCAGGGTAACAACATTTTCAGAGGGAAGATCTTGAAACTCAGCGTGGCATGGTCTCTGGGATAAACCACTGTTTGGTTTACACATTTACTCATCACTGATTTACAACAATACTTAACTAAGTTGAAAAGGCTGTTAGTAAGTAATTGTTAAATTCAAAATACCATACCATACACATGAAAATAGTTATGAAATGATTTTGAACTATGTAACCAAGAACATTTCTGTTAAAAATGATCTTCTATTACTAATAGACAAGGTCTAACTAATAAACAAGGTATAATATAATATAAAACATATAGAATATCACTCTAGAATATCACTTTTCTGTTTTCACTAATCAAGGCACACGTTTATATTGAACTCAAAGTGCTTTACAAAATATACATAAATAATCACACAACATACATCTAAAATAAAACAGAAGATGCCATCCTTCAGTTAAATGCAAAGCTTAAAAGAACTGTTATTGAGCTGGAGTTTATAAACTTGACAAAACTATTGAATGAATGCTACCTTTATTACTCCCACGGAAGTATTCATCAAACATGGTAACAAGGTAATAACATCGCTAACCATATATTGTCTGAAGAACACAATTCTTTTAATTTATTAACTAGTATTGCTTATTAGACCTTGTAAAACAATCTGATTTGATCTTTATTGTTTGCTGGTTCAGTCGTAGCTAAATCAGAATGCCTCTAATATACTGTATTTCTAACATCCAGTGGAATTCTTTCAGCATGCAGGGTTTGGACATGGTCACAGCCGTCAAGTACATCGCCGAGTCCGACAGTGCCTTACAAGTTTTAGGAGCGGCCTATATCCAACATCAGTGTTACCACAGCAGTGAGGCTAAAGTTCAGGTAAGTCTGTGCTTTCCTCGACGAGTTATTATAGGACTTTTTTCATTTCACAACCTGTAACACCATGTCTTCAGGTTAGAACTTTACAAGGCATTCCAGCTTTGGTTCAGCTCTTCTCTAGTGATAACCAGGAAGTGCAGCGCTTCGCAACCGGTGCCACGCGAAACCTCATCTACGAGAACTCGGACAACAAGGCGGCACTCATAGAGGCCGGCGGAGTCACGCGTCTCATCAACATACTGGGAGAACCTGACGAGGAGCTGAGGAAAAACATCACAGGTAATAGCAAAGATTCAGATTCAGAAAACTTTATTGATCCAAATTAGTTTGCAGCAGAATTTCAGAGCAGAACACACAGACTCTTCACAAACACACAGTGAGTCAGGCCCATGGATCTATAAAAATAACTGGATAGGGTATTACTAGCTTATAGCTGAAGCACCCATGTTCGTTTTATTTAGCTCGGTCAGGCCTCACAGTTCACGCAGCAGAAGGTTACAATATAACTAACAATTCAATAATTCAATAATTCCGAGGATGTTTGGGACGTTTGAGGTCTCCTGAGGTTTATTGATTCTGTGTTTAAACTCAATGAATGTCCTCTTTGTCCTCAGGTGTCTTATGGAATCTGTCATCTCGAGATAACCTGAAGGAAAAGCTGTCTAAAGAAGCTTTGTCGGAGTTGACGGAAAAAGTCATGATTCCTTTGTGCAGCAGTGTTCCACTCAGTCCTTCAGAGAGAGACATCTTCTACAATACCACTGGATGTTTACGGTAAACACAATAAACAGTACCATATATTTGAACTCAGAAAAAAGTATATATCGGTTAAGTATTTCTGCAATTGACATATTGTGCAAGAGAACCATATAATAATTGCATTTCAATTTTCTTCTACTGTGAATTTACGCCCACTGTTGATTTGTTTTTTGATCTGTGTAGAGAAAATAGCTGTCAGTGTCACACAAGAATGTTGCCACAAAAACAAAGCAAATGGTCTGTGGCTACGTTGGCTCGTATCAACAGATAAAAAATTGAAGACTTTTAACACTAGGACTCCCAGAAATATGAAACAACTCGAACCCCCAGAGCCGTCCTTTTGACTGCTCCCATGTACTTTGACTCACTTTTATTAAGTGTGAAAACTGGTAAATTTTACTTGAAATACAGAAAAAATAGTTCTGTCGAAGGAGAGTAAACGTATGAAAAGAGCTTGTGTGTGGAGCTGGGTATGAGTTTGCTGATACAACATATACTCGATACATAAGCCCCACGATAGGATATGCGCATAGATTTACAGTAGGACACTCAATTTTAAGTGTTTCCATACAATTCAGTAAAAAATGTATCTTTTTCATGTCTAGAGTTTTAATATCAATATAACAAAGATATTGTATCTAATTAAAAAAAGAGATTAATATTTTTATGCACACTTGTACACTTGTAGATGGAAAAGTCACATTCAACTTTGTTTATTTCCGACCTATTCGGATCCTGAAATGTCTCCCATTAACGTTTTTTATTCATCACAAATGTTAGAGCTGACCTCCATCATTCAAAAAGCATAATATTGCACATGAAGGATGTCCTTGTTTGTATGTTTACTTTACACCAGCATAGAACAACATTTAGAATGACTTTTAAGATTCATGGATCTAAAATCTGGAGCAGTCTTCCTTATAAGCTCTGACAATGTTTAAATCCACGTTAAAACCGGTTCTTTTTAGTTGTGCATACAACTGAGGGATTGAACCTGCACTCTTTTATTATTTATGATTTCAATGCCTTGTGTGTCTTGTTTTGTTCACCACTTGTGTATGAATTGTGCTATACAAATAAACTTGCCTTGCCTAGATAATGCTAAATTAAATCTTTCAGTACAGTATCAAAAATGTGTTTGTTGTTTTTGTGGAAGACTATAGTAGTTTGATGATACAAGTTTCCTGCAAGTATGACCAGACACTAATAGTTTTCTTTAGAAATAGTATATCAGTGGAATGTGTGTGTTTTCGTGTGTGTGTGTGTGCGTGCGTGTGTTTGTGTTTGTACAGGACATGGTGTATTTATTATAACATGTACTGTGAACTGAGATATGTATAATCAGTTCAAATGAAAGATATCAGCTGTACACAATAAATGTAACTAAACACAGTTGAGAGAAGGATTGGGAAACGAAGAGAAATAATTAATCATGAAAGGTTTTAGAATAATAGCCTGTTTTCAAAGTATCTTTTAAGACAAAACTGAGCCTCATCCACTCAGGTAGGTCTTTCCACAACCAAGAGGCCCGGACCAAAAAAGGCCCTGTCCATTTTTGCTCTGTTGCTTGCTGTGCGTGGATCCACATGTTGTTGTGACTTAAGTCTGACTTGTGCCTTGTAGGAACCTGAGCTCTGTTAATGAGAGAACGAGACAGAAGATGAGAGATATGCGCGGCCTGGTGGATTCTCTGGTGTCATACATTCAACAAGAGGAGAGGGCAAATGACAAGGTAACGCCTGATAAGACTAATAATAGAAGGTTTTTTCACTTGACGGCACTGCTATGATCCTGGAACTGTTTATCACAAAGGTTCACTGCAAAAAGCAATGTCTTTATTTGACTGCCTTTAAACAAGATTTCCCAATGGGACTAGCAAAAGGATCTTGTTTTAAAAAGATACAAGAAATATCTCCCTTGGAATGAGAAAATAAAGCAATAGTTCTTTAAAAAAGACTAAATGGCTTTTTCCCATGGGCAGAATGTACTTTGGATCAAAACCACTCAATTCAAGCATTTATTACTTCATATTCTATCTTTTTTTTCAGTGAATTGTGCAAAACATTTAGCTCCGAAGCCATAAATGACAAGTGACTGATACAATTTGATGGTACCAAAGCCAGCTTGCATTCCACTCAATGTGGTCTGGCACATTTGACTCGAGTTAGAGCCCTGTCAACAAGCTGCACACCCGAAATACTTTGCACACATGTGGACGAAGCTTTCAGCAGATGGAGAGGCAAGATAAACACATCTGCCTCCTATGATAATAGAATAATTTCTTACAGTGCCTCAATGCAAACATACAGTATATGCAGATCGGTTAAGTATTTCTGCAATGGACATATTGTACAAGAGCGTCTAACCATATCATAATTGCTTTTACATGTGCTTCTACTGCAGCAAGTTTACGCCCACTGTTGATTTGTTTCTTTATTTGTGTAGATATAATGACTGTCGGTGTCACAAAAGAATGTTTCAACAAAAAAATAAATTGCGAATGGTCTGTGGCTACGTTGGCTTGTATCAACCATAGACTGTAAATATTAACGAACGTAGTGACACCTTTCTCCGCTGTTGAAACTTATGTGTGATCACTTTTCCCTCCTGCCCCATTTATTTAACGAGTGCATTCAAAACTCCACAGCGGCTAAACTTGGCTGGTCTAAAAAAGGAAGAAAAAAACCCCCTCAGCATTGACACGCACCTGTTGGGCCAAGAGCCGACTTTTGGACCTGGCTGTAAAGCAGTTTTTGTGAGGAATAAAGACGCCAAAGAATGTATTGGATAATTCTGTTCCCGGGTACAACACCACCGGCAAGGGGTCAGATTACGAGCATTTCAGCGCACATGCCCATGGACCCTTCGGAGTCGGGACCCGCCCCCACTGATATCAACAGTCAAAATCAGAAGACTTTTATCACCAGGACTCCTACTAGGAAGTATGAAATGACTAGAACTCCCAGAGCCGTCATTTTGATAAGATAAGATTGATCTCACAATGGAGAAATGTACATGTCACTTTTAGCGTGAATAGGATCACTCAGGTTGTGCAAAAGACAGGAAATGTGCAAACATGTTTAAAAGCTCCCATTCAGATCAATGGAATTCTTCAATTGCATTATTACTCACTTTAAAATAAGTGCGAAACTGGTGAATAACTTGAAATACAGAAAATAACTATTTGTCGAAAGGCTAACGCTAACTGGTAGTAAATTAACACTATGTTGCTATGGTTACTAGTGCTTGTTCTCTACTTCTCTACTCCATTTCAAAATTAAATGATATTTTTAGAAGAATAATGACCTACAAAACAAGTATATAAAGAAACTGAAAAGTCAAAGCTATGAAAATCAAAAATTGACACGATCGGAGTAATTACACTTCCAAAACTAAAAGCCGTCATAGAGACCAATCGATGCAAATTGGTAGTTATGTGTCTGACTGAACTGCCAAACTATCGTTGTGTCCTTACACTAAAGTCACATTGCTTAGTATGAAATTAAATTAAATTAAATTGATTAAATTGGTGGTGGTCGGCTAACAACATTTTTATTATTTTTTTATTATTATTGTTTTGGCCAAAACAACTTGGCACTGTGACCAATGTAGATTGGTTGAAAACCCAAACATTTGTTGATTGGTTGTTGTTGGACACATAGCTTTTAACTAGAGTGGCTAAAACGCTATGTTGGGGAGAAGTGTGGACTCTGTGGGAGCTGTGCTGGAGAGAAGGATGAGGGCATAACTCCAGACACCCTCTGCATGACACTGTGGCTGCTCAGTGGAGTAGCAACAGGCTAAATCACTGCACTGCCGAACGGAACGTTTCAATAGATCCTTTGTTCCTTTAGCTGTCAGACTTTGCCGCAAACCTGGATGAGTCTTCTGCTGCTGGACACCTGAATTTCTCTTACGGGGGATCAGTATAGTATAACATGCCATAGTAGTAAAAATGGACAATCACTATATAATTGAATCCACTTATATGGTGATTGGATTGATCCTGTCTTGTCTTGCAGGGTGTGGAGAATTGCCTGTGCGTTCTGAGGAATCTGTCCTATCAGCTGTACTCGGAACTTCCTCCCACGGTTCAGCTCCGTCTGGAAGGCCCCAGAAGATCATCTGCCCACAGGGAGATTGAGCCCATTGGCTGTTTCACTCTCTACAACAGAAAGAACACAGAGGTATGAGCTTCGCAGCTTCAAAGATGAATGACACATGTTGAGCGATAATGTACTTTTTCTGGGTTTAGTAACAAATGTTTAATTTTAGCCTATACTTAGGCTCGGTATACGTCTGCAAAACCCGAGAATTGTTTGTGTCTAATTTAAGTCAAAAGTTCAATGCTTGTAGGGCCGGGCACGTGGATCTGGTTGGAACACAAACAATTATGATATCAAGCATTTAATTACATTTTGATTCACTGTTGTCACAAGTTTGTAGATTGGAGAAGGATGGGGGAACACAGGTTTCTTGTTGTATGAAGTTTATAGAGTGACATGACAGAGCTCTGACCTCAGATCTGCTTGCTATGAAATGAGTTCCGAGATGCATCAGACACTACTCATGGGACAAAGGGATCTTTATCATTTGTAATCACACTTTATGATTACATTACAGAACCTGGTAGGATTCAATCAAAGACCCTGATGACATAACACAATCACCAAGAACCCATGACTTCATCATTTTACTTTAAAACTAAAAAACTACTTTAGATATTTGATGTTCTTGTTGGTGCTCAACCCAAGTGAGATGCTGCTTAAAGATGGTAGAATGTATGAGCAGTTTTATTATCAAACCTAGCGCCAATGTTCTCTGTCTATGTAACTAAAAGAACAAACTATATGTTCATGTTTATAATACTTTTTGTGTGTGTCACAAGAATGGTTAAATGCACTAATCTGTGCTACATGTCTGAGTGAGTTTTCATTCCCAAGTGTCCCCTCTCTCCTGGCCCTCGGCTGACTGACTGCCAATCTCCTCCCAGCAGTTTCTATCAAAGGGTCCGATGACGTCACAGTCTGGGACTGGTCTGGCCCCTGGTCTGGACCCGGTCTTGGTCTTCCCTCTCCACCTGAGCAAACAATGCCCCCCACCACTGGGCGCCTGATTGTGTTGGACTTTTGCCCTCGTCCAGAGTGGGAGAGAGCATTTGTTTATTCCTGGAGTTAATAATTTGTCCCGTTTTGAAAGCTGGTCATCTCTATGATTCCTGAGTGCATATTCCTTTGTCCTTGGGGCTTTTCCCCGTGCACCTTCTTCAGAGGGCCTATTTTCAAAATCATTAGTATACAACATTTTAATTATGCAACACTACACATAAATTGCCGTTTTGAGAGTGAAAAAGTGTCTGAGGTGGGACTTGAACCCCAGTATCTGGAATGGCAGTCCATCGACACAACCACTGAACTATCTCAGTGCGAACAAAATGTTACAATCTAGTAGGTACCCACTCTGACGTCACCAAGGGCTGTGAAGTTTTTTCGTCTCTAAGGGCGTCGCTATGGGGTTATTTCGATTTGGGGGGATCAGACAAAAAAAAACAACAACTGATTTTGAAACCTTTAGTAGTTCTCTTCTAATATAAAATGGTATTAAAACTGTATTTCTAAATAAATCAAACCTGGCATAAAGTCTTTAAAGCCGGATTTGGATACAAAAAGATTTCCCAAGCTTTAAACATCTCAAGGAGCACTGTGCAAGCAATTATATTGAAATGGAAGGAGTATCAGACCACTGCAAATCTACCAAGGTGGGAGAGTCTGTCCATAGGACAACAATCAGTCGTGCACTGTACAAATCTGGCCTTTATGGAAGAAAGCTATTTCTCAAAGATATCCATAAAAAGTCTCGTTTAAAGTTTGCCACAAGCCACCTGGGAGACATGTGGAAGAAGGTGCTCTGGTCAGATGAAACCAAAATCGAACTCTTTGGCCACAATGCAAAACGATATGTTTGGCGTAAAAGCAACACAGCTCATCACCCTGAACACACCATGCCCACCTCAGCTGTAGTTATCTGCAGTTCATCCAGAGTGATCATGGGCCTCTTGGCTGCATCTCTGATCAGTCTTCTCCTTGTTTGAGATGAAAGTTTGGAGGGACGGCCGGGTCTTGGTAGATTTGCAGTGGTCTGATACTCCTTCCATTTCAATATAATTGCTTGCACAGTGCTCCTTGAGATGTTTAAAGCTTGGGAAATCTTTTTGTATCCAAATCCGGCTTTAAACTTCTCCACAACAGTATCTCGGACCTGCCTGGTGTGTTCCTTTGTCTTCATGGTTCTCTCTGTGCTTTAAACAGAACCCTGAGACTATCAAAGAGCAGGTGCATTTATACGGAGACTTGATTACACACAGGTGCATTCTATTTATCATCATCAGTCATTTAGGACAACATTGGATCACTCAAAGATCCTCACTGAACTTCTGGACTGAGTTTGCTGCACTGAAAGTAAAGGGGCCGAATAATATTGCACGCCCCACTATTCAGTTTTTTATTTGTTAAAAAAGTTTAAATTATCCAATAAATTTGGGGCGACAGTAGCTCAGTTGGTAGAGCATTGGCCTTAAGGCCAGAAGGTCGTGGGTTCAATTCCCACCTCTGCACCTTCTCCATCGACTCCCACTGAAGACTGCTGTCGTTGTGTCCTTGGGCAAGACACTTAACCCCACTTTGCCCAAAAGCCCCCACTGAAAGATCAAGGCTATGCTCACACTCAGAGAGCAGCCGTCCTCCTGTGGACTCACCACCTGCAGAGGGTCAGTGAGGGGCTGGTGCTATGAGACTTGGGTGGCATCTCTGACTGTCACCCCCCTGACCCAGAAATGGATTAAAGGGTAGAAAATGGATGGATGGATGGATGGATAAGTTTGAAGCCTGAAATGTGGCGAAATGTTGAAAGGTTCAAGGGGGGAATACTTTCGCAAGGCACTGTAGGTATAAAGGAACTGCAGTGACTTTGGAATGAAGGAAGGTCTCGTACCAATCGACAATATAATGTCCTTTTTGCAGAAATGAAAGAAAGTGGCAGATAAAAAACATTATTGGCTCTAAATACGTAATAATAATATTACATTTTATTTCATAGGCGCCTTTCTTGACACATAGGTTGCCTTATTCACAAGTGAAAAGTGAATTTTAAAAACAGTTAAAATAAAAGTTCAATAAGATCAGTCAATGACTCGTACATGTAAGTTACGATCTATAGTTAGTAAACTCAGGATTTCCATCAGGATTTGTGCAATATATGAGTTTGATGTTTGTAAGATTTGTTTAGATAAATGTAAATCAGTAAGCATGTAACTTCTGATCTGAGGGATTAGCGATAGGATGAATAACTGCTGTGTTTTTCTATTTTTATCTGTTCCCCAACAGGAAGAGCTGATCCTGGAAATTGTCTGTAATCCGTTCTGTAGCCCCAAAAAGTTCCATCACTCGTACCTGCGCAGCACAGTGGTCCTCATTCTAGTGACTCTTATGGTGAGGACCGAAAAACTCTCACATAAACATGATATAGTGCTTTTTATAGAGTCGTGAGGTGTGGTGTGCAGGAGTGAAAGCTGATCTCGTTCTTTAGATCTGAGACGCAGGCTGAGAATGGGGAACAGGGAACACTCACAGCCACTCATTATTACATGAACGTGATCTTACACTTGTTGTACTTATATATGGAGAGATCATTCCATTATTGGTGGGGTAAATGGTAAATAATAGAATTAAATCACATAATTTCAGTTTTTACATTGATTTTCATTTTACCATATATTTTCTCAATGTCAAAAGAGACAACATTTGTCTTCAGATGATAGGTCAACATGAGCAAATCAAAGTGGAGTTTTTAACACTTAAAAAGATATTGGATATTTTTTTAAGAACAACAGCTTTGATATTTGTTATACGATGCCAGGGTAATTTATAATCCCTTACATCTTTGAAATTAATAACAATAATTGAGAGTCATTTGGAGGTCCACTAAAAATGGTCAAGGAGGCCCCACTTTGAAAACCAGGTGAAACCAATATATGATATAATAGCTGCAAAGTGACATTTTTTTGTATTATTATCATTTGTTTTATTTGGGTTTTTACAAGCAGTGAGCTAGTTATCAACTTTATAACAAATAAAGGCTTGATATATCTCCCTTTGTGTGTAATGAGTTTGCCAATTATTAGTTTCATGTTCAGTATCAAGTTGAATGATGGAGGTTTGATACAAGCTCAGCCCATTTGTTGCGGTGTTGCAGATGATGATCATCATAGGTCTGGCCCATGCTCTGGTGGTCTTCAGAGTGGTGGCGGCTCCGCTCTTGTCCGAGGGCGAATGGGAGTTCATGCGAGACCACGCCAACACTGTGGCCGTGATGCTGGGCGCCGTGCTGCACTACCTCACCATGCAGATCATGACCAGGGTAAGGCCCAGGGCTCATTGGGGACTTTTTTATCCATACATTTTCTACTAGTAAAATTATTTAATATTCTATATTCATATTTGTTCTATAAGATAAGGTATATGTGACAGCATCACCCACACACTAGTGGATTTCATCAGCCATAATATTTTTCCTTTCATTTATGTCCCCCATTTTTTGTTTTATGACTGTTTCACATTGTGTGCAGTGCCTCTTTGCTACAGAGCTCAAATCCGTATAAGTATTTCCACGAGCTTCTGTGAAAAGTTGAAAATGTGTGGACTATATTACATTTTCAACATTAAAAACTATTCATGAAGACCAGTCTATGAGATTAAGGTTAAGAGATGCTAGTCCCACAGTGGGGAAATGTCAGTGTTGCATCACCAGTTACAGAACAGTAGGAATGAGAAGCACAAGAGAAATTAAAAATAACTATACTAAAATACAATAGAATAACAATACATTTTTAAAAGGAGGCGGCATTATCAGTTTCAATAGAATAAAGATGCCATTAATCATTTTGTCATGGCACTTTTTCTATGTTACTTCAGTGCCAAGTAGACTGATAGCTTTGATCTCACAACTTGTTTAACTGGAATGCTGGAATGGAGAGAAAGTATTTGGAAATAGAAACAAAGCATTATCTTTTAGCAACTTAACAAAGCGGGTAAACAAAACTATATTTAGTTCACTGATGAATTGGTCCTTTGTCTTTCAGGTCAACAGATGGGTGTCTCTCAAGTTGTGTGAAATAGGTATGGCTTCACTGAAATAATCGAATACTATACTGTAGACTAGTGGAGTTCACTTGATTTCAAGTGTGTTTATCTAATCACATTGTTTTTTTTTTACTTTTTTACTCATGCAGGCTGAAGATATTTAAGATACTAGTACTTGTTATCAATATTTTCATCATTTGTTTTTTATATAGTGGAAAAATCTTGATCCTGATTTGGCTTGAAAGAACCGCATTTCCTCTAAGAGTAGCTTTTTTTATAGTTCATTTTTTGAGCCAATTATTGCGGTTTAGTTTTTTATACTAATTGAAGGAAAGTATAATCTTTTTCTGTGTTTGTGTCTGCAGAGAAAATCAATTCATCTGCGGCAAGAGAGAGAAGTTTCACAGTCAAGATGTTTACTTTCCAGTTCTTCACTCTCTTCTCCTCTCTGTTTTACGTGGCCTTCTTCCTGGGCAGGTGCAAAGACACTCTCTCACACTCTCACTGTGTAAATAAAGACACACACATACATCCTAAAATCTACCTTTTTCTAAAAAAAATTTACCTTTACTCACCTAAACTACAATGGAGCATAAGGCTCTCTCGATGTTTTTTGTTTTTGCCGACGCTATAAATTAAAGTCAGAATATTTTTAATAAATAGAAATATTATGAGAGTAAAGTTGAAGTAGCAAAATTATTAAAAAATTATGAGAATAAACTCAAAATATTCTATGAACTCTGAACGGGGGGAGCTTTGTGCATTCACAAAAGTTCAAAAGATTGTAGGGAAAACTGAAAACAAATGTTTAAATATATAAAAAATAAAAATAAAACCCTATTATTGTCCAATGTCAACTTTAGTTGGAAATGATTATTATTGTACATGTTTGTATTAAAACCTATATATAATTTATTTAAATAATACAAATATGATCAAAATGTATCACAGCATTCATGTATGTACTCATAATAATACTCGTAATAATTCTACTACAATGGCATTATTATTTCTGCTCTATGGCTTTGTTAATCATAAAAATACCTTTATAATAATAAAACTTTTCTGTTTACTTTCATACAATAATTAGTGTTCTTCCCATTTTAGGATAAATGGGCATCCTGGAAGCTATACAAGAATTTCAACCTGGCGATTAGAAGAGGTGATAAAAGTCATATGTTAAAGCTGGGGAACCTAGCTTTCTTTTTTTCATATATGTGTTGTTTCTACTAACAGAAAGAGTCTTGTAAAAGTAAGACATTTTGAAAAAATCAGTCTTCATCTCAATAGAAAATATATTTATCTTTCTAAGAACTGATGGCTGCGGGTGGCCCTCTCTTTTTCACTATTTCTGTCTCAAAAGGTTGATCTAAAAAACTTTAACTAGTGACTTTACGATTGTCACCTGCTATTTGTATGTACTTAGTGCGCTTGAATATAGTAGAAATTTTAAGATGAAGTATGAAGACAGTTGATGTCTCTCCCAATTTTACTCTTAGTACTTGTTTTGCATAAGCAAATTCCTAGTTTGTGACTTCTTGTTACGTACAGTGGTGATTCTGAGAACTAGTACGTAAGTGAGTAATCTTTATTTTTTCATAATGCCTTAGTGAGTCACACAGCGCTTTACAATTGTTGTTTTTAGGCATTTGTCTCTCACTTCACTTGGAGATGGGAGCGGGGACGCCATACTGGAGGCGATCTATTGTACATGTTTTTAGTGGTAGGGGAAACCGGAGCACCCAGAGGAAACCGGAGCAGAAACAGGGAGAACATGCAAACTCCACACAGAAAGGCCTGTAGGTTAAATAGAACCACTATGCCATCGTAGCAGTCCATCGAACTAGTATCAACATATGGATTTATACAATACAAAGTTATTGTGAACTGTTGAGGTGGGGGAAATTTCAGATTTTTAGATTAATCGCGATTTGGCCGTGGAAGAATCGAGAACGATCGCAGACATCCAAATTCCGATTATTTAAATATGGCAATTAAAACGGAACTTAAATGCAGTTAGCGCGGCTCTCAAAACGCTATATGGAACGGGCCGAGAGCGCGCATCCACAGCACACAACAAAAAGCATGCCTGGGCTAACCAACCCACCTCGCCGTGAGATCCGACCTGCTCCGGTCGCCTCGTACGCAACACTTTCCTCTCAGCGGTTACACCGTTTACTCCAAGGCGCGCTCTCGTGTCCGCCGCGCGCCCGCACTCCACTGCACATCTGAGAAAGACAAATCTCACTCTTGTACACATTGACTCTCAATTGATTGAAAATAACGCTATCCATGATCTGGATAGTTGGTTGGCGCACAGTAACCAAGTGTAAACAGGATGAGAAAAGGAAACTTAATGGTTATAGAGGTAGTCGCTGAAGTGGCCCTTCTGACCCTTTAGACCAGGCATGTCAAAGTCAAATACATCAGAGGGCCAAAAAAACAAATTTGCTGCGAGTCGAGGGCCGGACTGGTTTAATGTTTATTAACTCATTGCCTGCCAGCCTATTTCAGAACAGGTGCTCCCATATTTCCAGCAGTTACTGATGATTTTTATTGATTTTTCAAGACCCACAGAATATTGTGTACTATGACTATCTGAAATCCGAAACCAGATTCTGAAAGAATAGACTGTCTACTTCTCATCAGCAAAAACAATGTTGTTTCTAGCTTGTAATCCCCAGTTGAGTAGAGGGAAGTTTTACTGAAATCACCAAAAAGCTGAGAAAAAAGAGGCACAACAAGTGCATCTAGCTGTTTTCAAACCATTCAGAGAGCGCTGCTGCCACCTGCTGGCTTGATTCAATATGCTCTCAAGCTTATCCCCATACATATTAGATATAATAGACATCTGGGAACATGAAAATAGCGGAAAACGCAATTGACGTAATAGTACGTCATGTAAAATTCATTCGCCGGCCGGTTTTGGCCCGCGGGCCTTGACTTTGACACATGTGCTTTAGACCCTTCTGTGCGCAGTATTTGTAACTAACATATTAATGGATTAATAAAATCCGACCTTGGAAATTAATTTAACTCTGGAAATCTGAAAAAAGTGCATCAATAATTGTTTTATGATCAAATCGCATCCTCTGAATCATAATCGAATCGTGAGGTGCCCCAAGATTCCCACCCCTAGTGAGCTGTAGTTCTTGTGTTTTGAAAGTTAGGTACCCCAGCTTTAATATGCACATTGAAATGCTGTGTTTGGATTGACATTTTTGCCTCTGCTTGTGCATTGTTCAGTGCCATCCCAGTGGCTGTCTGACCGACCTGTTCATCCAAATGGCCGTCATCATGTTGCTCAAACAGACCCTCAACAACGTCTTTGAGTTCACCATCCCGTAGGTGACCGCCGCCTCTCTGCTCGTCCTCCTTTCAGATCCTTCTGAACGTGGGTGTTCTTTTTGTGGGTGCAGATGGGTGAAGAGTCTGATCAGGAGGAAAGCCTCGAGGACCATGAAGAGGAAATGCGGCTACTGCTACAGAAAGGCCTGTATCGACAGTCGAGGCCGCGTGGAGGCGTGTGACATCTGCAAGCTACGCGATTGGCTGAGGAACTACCATCTGACCAACACGGACTCTTTCAGCCTCTTCAATGAGTTCCTGGAGATGGGTGGGTCTCTCAGGCTGTAGCAAGAAAGCTTTTTAACAGTTGATTCATTGTTTAATGTGTATTTGACCAAAACTACCGTTAAGCTTAAAGTAAATGTCATTGTTACTTTCAAAGCAAACACTGGTTGGACCTGTCCCCATTCTCGCTCCTACTACTTTTCAAAGAGGCGGAATACATTTAATTCTAGATGCACAGACAAGGCCCTTTGTCATTGTCCCAAATACATGCAGCTAAAATCTAGAACAGTCTTCCTGAACATGTGAGACAGGCTTCTTCTCTGACAATGTTCAAATCCAGGTTAAATCAGTTCTATTTAGTTGTGCATACAACTGAGGGATTTCTTATGTTTTACTCTTTTTAATATGTGGTGATTATTTATTTATTGATATGATTCTGTCTACTGTATCTTGTTTTGTTCATCACTTTGAGTTGCCTTGTGTGTGAACTGTGCTATGCAAATAAACCTTGTCTTGCCTAGAGATTTAGTGCTTAGACTGGAAGAGACTAAATGTTACAAATATGTTTTAGTTTAATCGGGGCCTTCCTCTTCCACAGTGGTCCAGTTCAGTTTCACCACCATATTTGTGGCAGCGTTCCCTCTGGCTCCACTCTTGGCTCTCATCAATAACATCATTGAGATACGACTCGATGCGATCAAGATGGTGCGTCTGGAGCGACGTCTGGTGCCCAAGAAAACCAACGATATTGGTAAAAACGATTCTATTTTCAGCGCTTATAACGAAGTATTGCTGAGTTGTTCGTCTCATCCCTGGTTTGCTGTTGTAGGTGTTTGGACTCAGGTGTTGGAGGCCATCGGCGTGCTGGCCGTTATCGCCAATGGTCTGGTTATCGGAATTACGTCAGACTTTATTCCACGTCTCGTCTATCGCTACCGTTATGGACCATGTGCCACTGGGAATTCAACCTCAAAGTAATCCTTCACTGAGATCCTAATCAATCAATCTTTATTTATGGAGCACTTTTCCTACACGGGGCAACACAAAGGGCTTCACAATCCACATCACACTTAGCACAAATCATCAGATAAAACAAACACTAAAATCACCATTAAAAACACTATTACAATCACACAGGTTATGGACAACATTTCATTTAAAAGAGTATAGATAAAATCCTAAACAAGGGAATATGCAGTCTTCCAAGTTGGCTGCTAATTTTTCTAACCAAGTTTAAACATGTGACCTGCATGTGAAAGCCAGTCAGACCCGTCAGACCACTGAAGCTAAGCAGGACAGGGCCTGGTTAGTACTGTGATGGGAGTCTGTGCTCGAGCTGTTTTCAGCCCGAGTTTACGCACAGGCCGGGGCTGACGCGCAATCGACAGAGAAGCTGTTAAAAGGCCATGAAATCACTCATCTGCTTATGACAGGAGCTCAGCCTAGTTGTTAGATTCAGATTCAGATTCATTTATTTGCCATTTGCAGTAAAACCACATTGGAAAAACTGTGCAAGACTACCCCGGTGTGCACCCAAAAAAATTGGCTAAATTTTAGCTATGATTTAGCTTTATATGAGCTAAATCATATGAGCATGAACTCCACTGCAAATAATGATAAAATATGATGCAATAATTGCTTGAATCAGAGTATATCAGAATCAGAATAATTTTTATTGCCACGTAAGTAACAGGAAGTCACAGACTTGGAAATTGCTTTGGCTCAGTGCAACAGTCAGAAAGGGATAATAAAAAATAAAGAATAAAAACACTTCTAAGGAATAAATTTAAATTTAAAATATAGTTACAGTTACTATTTACAATATACAAGTGCACATGGTGCACACGATGTAAGGTGACAGCAGTAAAGTGAAGTACTGCTGTATATTCTGACTGTCTTAAAGAGAGATTTGCCATTGGACCAAAACCATTTAGTCTTATTTCAAGAATTGTTGCTTCATTTTCTAAGGGAAATATTACTAATATGTTGGTATCATTTTGCTTGTCCTAGTGGAAAATTTTGTTTTAAGGCAGTCAAAATTTGCTCAAATTAAGATAAATGTTGTCAAATTTGACCAATTTTTGACTTATTTTTCATTACTTTTTGCAGTGTACTTATGAATGACACAATGACAAAGCTGTGAGAAAACCACAGCCTTTAGACCAAAAGCCAATTTGAAAAGTTATAGAAAACATAATTGGACCATTGTTCAAATAAGCTTTTTCAGTTTGGAGATGGCTCTGAGACGACCTTCTAATGTTATTAATAATCAATATAATTGTATCGTTTTATCTTAGCCATGAGTCACTATTTGACCCATGCTTCTGTTTGAAAAAGCTGTTGTGACAGAGGCAAAAGAATACATGTGAAAACTAGATAGAACCAATCTTTTAATTTATTTATATGATTTTAGGACAGTACATATTAATCAATGTGTCGGCAAACAGTGTCAACATAAATAAACTGGAATTAGCACAATAGCTAAATTGCATTCATTGTCAATTTGTGTTTTGAAAACTAGGTACCCCAGCTTTATCTGTATACGTATGTTTAGAATCACACATACAAGAACAACAATGTAGTCATCCATTTTATTAGTCATGTTCTCCTGACTGCATTTACTCTCCTCTTTCACATTTGTAAAAAGTACTAAAGTGGGTTGGGGTTACTTGTCGTCTCTGTAATTCCATAATTGTCGTCCCGTTGATTGCAGCTGCATGTCTGGCTACATCAACGACACGCTGTCCACGGCCTCCTGGTTCCATGAGGACGTGCAGAGGGACTTCCAGCCCCATCAGATGACCACCGAGACGGGCATCAACGTCACCCAGTGCAGGTGCAGCCTTCAGCCAGCTCATGTCACCCACACCACATTACAGTCACATCTCAAAGCTGTCTTTCACCCACAGTTACAGAGACTACCGCAACAATGACGACTACTCTCTGACCTCTCAGTTCTGGCTGGTCCTCGCGGTGCGATTCGCATTCGTCATCCTGTTTGAGGTAAAAACAGACCCGCCTCTGTAACTCTCATTATTTACAATGTACAGTATGTTTCCACGTCCTACATTCCTGTGCTACTCGTTATTTCAAATTCAGCTTTGACATAAACTATAATTATGTTCCTCACTATTATTGCAAATTATAATTATTCCTTTCTCTATCTCTCGATTGAGAAAAGGATTGGTTTAAGTAAGTCAAATTAATATGACGTGAAAAAGAAAATCACACGATTATTATTTTAGATCTGAGAGCTGTCATAGTGTGGATTTTGATGATATTTATTTGGCTTCATTTGGACTTATTTTCCCGGTGGTTTTCTTTTACTTCCTGTCTTGTTCCTCTGTTGATTTTCCGCCCCGCCCTCATGTGTGTCACCTGTGTCTCTCTGTGTTAATATTTACCAAGCCCTGGCGATCCAAGATGGCGCCCTATTCAAATGAATGGTTGTGCTCAGTGGCGCTTTGTGACGGCATGGGGGCTGAAAGATTAGAGGAAGTCGCCTTGAACTCGCAAAGATCTATGGGAAACTGGCCTGTATTTGGGCATCGTCTGGTCCTCCCGGTTCTGCGCAGTGCATGATCTCCCATAATGCGTTGCGTCAAACACGCGTGTGAGGGTTTCACACCGGGTCTCACGCACGTGCACAGAGGGGCTCGGCTGCGCTCTGAGCCCCTCGTTCATCAGAGCGGGAGTTAGACGAGCAGAGTTTGTGGCACTAAAGTGTGGATTTAAAGGAAACCGAAGGATTTAAGAAGAAAAAAAGTTCAGGATGACAAGGGACACTAAAATCCCCACAAAATGCAATCTTTATTAAAGCTGTAGGTTCTCTGTCAGCTGAGGTTGAGCTGTTTTAATATGCATTGAGTTCTATGGGGAACATTTCTGGGTAGCCCACGTGAATTTAGTCTGGTCTAGTCTGCAGTACCGCGAGAATCCCCCGAGCACACGAGTTATTCAGCTACAAGCTAGTAATACCCTAACCCTATCCAGTTATTATAATAGATCCATAATATTTACCCTGTGCTTTTCTCCATTGGTGGCTGGTCCATTGTCTATGTCTGTCCATGTCGGTCTGTTTCCTGGTTCCCGTTTCTGTTCGGACTTTTTCATGTCTGTCCCTTTATTTACTTTATTGTCATCAAATCATTTTTTTTTTTTTGCATTCTTGCATTTTGGTTCCTCCTTCATTGCTCTTTGTGACAAGTGCTTGCAGTGTTATGTCCCAGGATGATAATTTTCTGTTCTTTTCAGCATGTGGTGGTTGTGTGTAAATTCATAGCTGCCTGGTTTGTCCCTGACAATCCCCTAAGAGTGAAGAATAAGCGGCTCCAAGACAAACTGGCTCGGCTGAAAGAAGAGCTGCGGTTAGTAAATGCTAATAAACTTTGAAATTCATATGCAAAATAAATAAATAAATGTCTGAATTGTAATTGTACAATGAGAACTACGAAGTCTATACACCTGCCCCTAATCTGATAATTCTGATAATTAACTAGTCACTTTACATGTTATTATTAATACTACATTATTCCATACACCAGCCATTCCCAAACTCAGTAACACCGAGGCCCCCTTAAAAATCTGACGGGTCTGCGTGGCCCCCCAAAATAATAACCAAGAAGACAACATTAAGAATAGGCTCTTCTGGTTATTTTATTTTGGGGAAATAGCCTCTGCTACAAACATTGTAATACAAAAATGATTACAGTGGATTATTCAAGTCAAATAATGAACACAAATATTTTAATATTACAAACAAAACATTATAAATTTAACATCAAATAATTATATTTTATTTTTATTTTTTTTTATGACCTCCCGCGGCCCCCCTGCAGTACCCTCGCGGCCCACCAGGGGGCCGCGGACCCCACTTTGGGAGACACTGCCATACACCATTCATTTGATATTTCTGTTCTGATAATTCACTTGTCACTTTACCTGCTGCTATTTTTACCATTGTTTATGTATATCCTCTGCTGCTAAAGGGCAATATAAACATCTGTAAATACCTATCTTTGAAACAAGTGCTCAAGTTTTATTTTATTATCTTAATACTTTAGTATTTTATTATATTGTATTAACTATTATCTTAAATAATAGATCCTGTTTGATGTGTTCAACCTGAGTTTTCTTAATTCCTCCTTTTATTCTGCTGTAATTTGTGCAACGTTGACATTGAAATTTCCCCACTGTGGGACAAATACTATCTTATCTTAATTGTTTCTTTACTCTTCTTCTACTCTTCTTTTTCAGGGAAAAAAACCGCCACCGATCGACAGAGGTCTGATTTCTCATGTTTGAACAGCGTGAACCAGATGAGCCTCTTCAGAATGCTAGATACAAGTAACTTTACATGTAATACTCAGGACAGTTACTGTCCGGCCATAAGATGTTTAATGTATGCATTGTGAAATAAACTATTTATATTTATATGTAAACTGGTGATGTTGAAAAAAATGTCATGTTTACACTTGATTTGTATTTGTAAATTTTTTTTATTGGAAAACGGACATATTGGACAACAGGGTCATCCTCACCTCCTGAAATGTGACACCAACATTTACAAACAATTGTAAACCAAACTGTGCTTGGATCATTGTGTAAATAGATGAAAAGGTCATTTAATTCTCAAGTAAAATGTGATTTGTGTCATTTTCAATACTGTTTTGTATTTTGTATTGTCTTTCCAAACCAGCAGAGGGCGCCATCTACATCGACATGACGTGTAGATCTATGTCAGCCCTGTCTATTTGTGACGCTACACCAGGTTTATAATTGACTGGCTTAACTTTGCGTCAGCTTATTTTTTATTCCCTTGTCAGAAAAAAAAACAGTGGAAGCCACATTTATACAACATAAAACTACATCCAATAATTGCCTCTTCGGTTAATCATCCCAGTAAACAACGCATTAGTTTTGCACAATATCAACACCAGCCTCTACATCTGCAGCAGGAATCATAAGCATGTGGGTTAATCTCTTTCTCTAAATACAAAAGCAATTTCTGTACAAAGTAGTATTCAGATCACACACTTTTCAATGATGAACAATTTCCCAATCGTTTCCATGTAACTGGGGGGTTAAATCAGATTAAACACACAAATCGAACTGTGGATCTTTCTTGCCAAGTCCATTGTTCAACTGTTTGTTAGTTACATTTTAATCTGTGCTGCTTTTCCATAGAGCTGCATCCTTGACCAGAGATTCACTGTAACAATCAGATGGTAACGTCAGTGAAGTCTCGACGGGAAAACCCTTTCTGAAAAAGAAATGAAAAAACACATTTGTACTTGTTTAACCCTCTAACATTCACTCCTTGAAGAAATACATTATTTTTTGCTTTTTGATGGTAAAGGTGGAAAAGGTGCCTAAAACCAAGTGAGACGCCCCAAAGAAGTAGATTTCTGTTCCAACCCTTGTGCTACATTGGTCAAATTTTCCCACCACAGATCATTTAAAACCCTTTAGACCATAATTTAGGGTATTTTTCTTCTACTTTCTACTATTTTGACGCAAGGGTAGCACATGATATTTTGTCTCTAAAAGTGATCTATTAAACCATTAAAGGGTTCAAATGTACTTTGATAGAAAATGTAAATAGATAAACACATAAATCACACATAGGGTTAGTACAGTGTAGCTCAATTGAAGGGAAACTAAAATATGTTTGACATTTGAACCACTACGTAATATTTATTATTATTTGTTAGCGCGCCAGACAGACAAGTCATTTGCATTCACTCTAGACACACTGACGACAGAAGCAGTGATTCCACATTGAAGCTTCCGACCAACATCATCCATTCACTCTCTAAACACATTCCTATTGTACATGTTTTTAGTGGTAGGGGAAACCGGAGCACCTGGAGGAAACAGGAGCAGACACGGGGAGAACTTGCAGCACAAACGCTAACCACTATGCCACCGTGTCGCTGCTGTTAATCCTAAAACGTTTACTTATGCATTCAACGTTCTGTTCCAGCAAATTAATTTGTCTTTAATTATTCTTTTGTGAATTGAAAGAATTAGAAGCTTATGAATGACTGATGAATCTATGCAATCTAACTAGGAATACAACAGGTAGAATTGAACTATATTTCAAAAATTTTAAAGTCATTTGATTTCTTCAGAACCGTCATTGTTTTGTCAAGAATTGTCATTGCTCATGGCCGCACATGATTGGTGGAATTTAATGTGACTATTTTTGTCCTATTCACTTGATAGACCATCATCATTTCAGTTTTGCCAAGTTTTAAGCAGCAGATTATGGCATGATGCACAACATTCAATTTGATTTAAAAATCCACAGAACAAGGACTGATTCAAAAGTCTTATAGCTTCAACTGTAAACTAAAATAAATTTGTGTAAAGGTTATTTATCGGTGGTCAATTAACAAAATCAAATCTAGTCAAAAAATGTCTGAATATTTGGCCTTCTAGGGATTTTATGAGCTTTTAACCACACCCCCGTGTTTTCTTAATGATATTTCGGCTTTGTTTTTTTGTATTGAATCTATAAACAAAATATAGTATTATCATTACATTTTGAACAATAATCTAATTTAAAGTAATTGTACACAGCTGTACATCTCCATGTCTCCTGACGACACCAGGCCAATGGATGCTCTTTTTAACTGCATTTTAGACCTGAAATCCTGGATGGCAGAAAACTTTCTCCAGCTCAACCAGGACAAAACTGAGGTTTTAGTCATCGGCCCTGAGGCCCAGAGAGAGAAACTTTTACCGAAACTCCAATCACACTCTTTTAATCCATCATCACAAGTGAAAAACCTGGGCGTAATCTTTGACTCTGAGCTGACTTTTATTCCTCACATCAAGAACATCACAAAAATAGGTTTTTATCATTTAAAGAACATCGCCAGAGTCCGCCCCATTCTCTCTCGGGCCAACACGGAGATGCTGATGCATGCTTTAATCACCAGTCGCATTGACTACTGTAATGCCCTGCTCTCTGGTCTTCCCAAAAAGAACATTTCAGGTTTACAATTACTTCAAAACTCGGCCGCACGTGTCCTGACTAAGACCAGGGGGCGGGACCACATTACACCGGTCTTAGAATCGCTGCATTGGCTCCCCGTGTGTTTCAGGATCGATTTTAAGGTTCTTTTAATGGTTTTTAAATGTCTTAATGGTCTTGGGCCTTCTTATCTTTCAGATTTGCTTTTATCCTATGAACCTTCCCGGCCCCTGCGCTCCTCCGGCAGCAGACTCCTAACCATCCCCAAAGTCAGGACACACACTCACGGCGAGGCATCTTTCCAGCACTACGGCCCCCGTCTCTGGAACAGTCTGCCGGAGGAGCTCAGGGCCGCAGAGAACGTTCATATTTTTAAGAGTAGGCTCAAGACGCACCTTTTTAGAGCAGCTTTTGATTAGTATTTATTATCTATTATTGCTTTTTAGTACATCTATTTATGTTTTTAGACGGATTATATTTTTATTTATTTTTATTATTTACTATTTTAAATTATTTATTGTATCTACCCATTTACTATTGTTATTATATTAGGCAGCTGCCATTTTTCTTTTTATTTTCACATTTTATTGTTCTACTTTCTATTGTATTATTGTATTGTTTTAGTGTCCCCAGTGTTTCCTCTGGAGGAGCCCTCTGCACTGAGAGCTGGGGTCTGCTGTGGCTTCGGGGGACTGGCTCTTGGATCCGGTGGGGGTCTGGGGCCTCCTCTCTCCTTTGGGTCCTATGGGGTCTGAGTCCTGGGCCTGGTGGGGTCTGGGGCCCCTCTCTCCTCTGGGTCCTGTGTCGTTGCCTGTGGCTGCAGCCGGCTCTCTGCTCCTGGTGCAGATGGCTCCTTGGATGACGCTTCTTCAGCCGGTTACATCTGCTCCCAGCCCCATGTCTTTTTATTGTTTTACCTATTTTACCTGATATGACTTTATACTTGTGTATATGTGTGTGTGTGTGTGTGTGTGTGTGTGTGTGTGTGTGTGTGGGTGTGTGTATTGTATATATAATTATAAATGTGGTTTTGGGGGGTCTGTGGGGAGGAGGGTTTAGGGCTGGGCATGTTGGATTGTTTTTAACTAAACTGTAAAGCACTTTGTGTTATACTTTTTGTATGAAAAGCGCTTTATAAATAAAATTTGATTGATTGATTGATTGAATTGTAAAGATATTCCATGTTGTTGTTGAAGTGGCTGGAGCTGGACACACATGATTCTCCTAGTCTGTCTGAGGTAAGTGCTGCACTGTCGGCCAAGACCACCGCCAAACTGCTTAGATTTTTCCCACCAGACAGAACCCAGAAAAACCCGAAAGATCCCATCAAGATTCTCCACATTCCAGCCGAACTAAAACTAAAGTAAACAAGTCAACACGCAGAAAAGTGACGGTCAGAGAAAGCCTGCAATGACCATACACCGATCGTGTAGTAAAAAAGAGAGAACCACCCTCACTCAGCCAATACCAAAGCTCTTTCTTACAAGTGTTATAAGAAGACAGCATGATGTGGCTTTACTCTGCTAGACTCTATGCCGACCAGGCATTATGGATGTATATAATCTTAATCTTAAAACAATACATGTAAGAAAATTACATATACCTTTTCTCACCCCACTCACAGGGCTCTTTCTTACAAGTGTGATTTTTGTATATTTTACCAAGACTCTTTCTAGATATGTTAGATACCTCAGCTTTAAGGAAACAATTGTCTTCCCTCTTTACAGTATATCTCATGATAGTATTAAGAAACAGCCCACATTTCCTCTTTTGTTCAAAACACAGATCTTCCTATAGAATGGATTTCTGAATTTCAACAATTTTTTTGTAACACTGAGTAACACAAAAGAATAAAACATGCTGAGATTTTCTGTTGACGGAAGTTTGTTGACTCTATGTGATGGATGCTTTTGCTTTGTTTGTGCGTCCTTATAATTGAGATTAAAAATAAGTGTGTTGCACCACTTTCTGACATGTGCGCGATGGATAGTCACTCCCAACTCAATGAAGAATCTCTCTTAACAAAATTGCTCTCAGCTATAAAGAAAAATATTTGACTTTGCTGAGCCAAAATCCCTAGATAAGAGACGGAGGCTAACAAGATCCAGACACCAGGTTCCAAGAATGGGAGGGTGAGGTGAGTGGACCACAGGCCAATGAGAACAGAGCAGGTCAAGTTAGACCCGGGGCGGATGTGAGCGGACACTGAAAGACCATCTGGAAATGCACTGTTTGCTGACACCCACTCAGACAACTTTTGCATCATAGAATCTGTGTAATTGTCAATGTAATTTTCCCAAGCGCTTTTAAGGCTACCACCATCAGTCTCCTTTTAAATCACTTCCTAAAACCCACTTTTATCAAACTTTTATCTCATAACTGTCTGTTTAAAGTCTACATGTATTTCACTTTTCCACATTGTCTTTATTTTGTCTTTCTTGTTGTCCATCTGCTTTAATCTCCTGTATTTCTTTTTGACCTGTGTATATTATTATGACTGTTATGCTTTGTGCTGACAGTGCAGCACTTTGTAAACACTGTTTTTGAAAAGTGCTAAACAAATAAAGATGTATTACTATTATGATTACACACATTTTTATTAAAAATTATCAGTATAAAATCATTTTGTCTGCATAAATTCTGTTTGTTTTTATTGTCTTGTTTTTTTAGTTTTGTGTTATGTTCTTTTTGTGTTCTTTGTGTTGATTGTTGATGTCTGTTTTGTTGTCTTTTATAAAAGATAAGTACAGTATAATAAATAAATTCTGTTTATGTTTTTAGGATTGGGCATCCTCAATTGTAGTGAAGTAGAAAGTTCAAATACCTGCTTATAAATGTAGTAATGTACATATTTGCTAATTTGGAAACAAAAATATTTGGGAAGCGTTAAGACCTTTGTCATATTACATTAAAGTCATGTCTAATGAGTGTCCACGATAGCAGAATGTGGACAGATTTCTTGACCATATCAGTCACGGTGCAGCACACGCCCAAGGGACGCACTTCCTGTTGACTCTGAGGAAGTTCTAATACTAATAAACAATGATTCTCTCTCTCTCTCTTGACAGCAACTCTCAGTCAAAAAAATATGCATATCAAAATGTTAACTAGCTTTCTCAAAACGATCTGCTTAATTACATGCATATTTCCAACATGTACTTTATGGGGAACATTTTGAAATTCAATTAATTTACCCTTTTTTCTCTAACTATTGATCCCATTTTTTTGCATGCATTTTTATGTGTTCTATCTCTTAGCACTGGTGAGGACTCTTTTCTTCATTTAGTTGTATGTGGTTTGAGCTGTAGATGGCAGAATAGTTAATACTGTACTGTATATGTGACTCACTTATGTATGCTTTATGTAAGTTTAAACCCAAACAAGTATTTAATATGTATATTAAGTATATAACTATTAAACATATTTACACTGCTACAGCCAATACTGTGGCTATTAAAACACCTGAACATGCAACTAATACATCATTACAAGATATAACATAGAGCAGTGCTTTGCCGTGGCCACCTGCACGGTCAAAATTACGCAAAAATTAAAATAATATGAGAAGATTAGAAAGACTTATTTGGCTTCGTTTGATTTTCTATATTAAACACTTTGATGAGAATGATTTAAAAAGGTTGGGCAACAGTGTCAAAGGAATAGTTGACGTGAGTTTGAATGATTTAGATAGTAAAGCATTTTTATTGGTAAGCCTTTTTGCATTTGTTAATAACAAGTATAATTTATATCCCACACATGGATTTGTTAATATCCCAAGTAACTAAGTAAGTAATCCCTAACCCTAACCCTAGTAACTAAATTAAAGCATGTAGTTGCAGAAAACATTTGAAGAATCAGCACAGAAATGGGACGAGAACAAAAGTGCAGACAACAACTTTTACCAGCCCTAAAATCATTGTTAAAGTACAATGTTGGATAGTTGTATGCCAACTACTCTCACTAAACCTGGGTGTACCTTCTGACATGATAGAGATTTTCCGTTGGTTTTAATTGTGGGTCATACGCAGGACAATGGAAAATTGCAACGTTTCTTCGCTTTCACAGTAATCCATCTTCATGAGACAGAACCGTGGCTTCTGGCATTGTGGGGGGGCTCTGTGCGTTTATCACAAGTTTGAAGACGCCCCAAAGGAACAGGGTCAAAGAAAAAATGTCCTTAAGAAAACAGAGCAGAGCGGCTGTCATTTCCTGTCTGAGGACGTGTTTTCATTTCATACTTCTGCGGCAGTTCATGCGGACTCCACACTTTACAACTGATGACAACAAGATAGATAAGTGTGCTATTTCAATGGTGGTTATGACAGCCTTGGGTCGGAGGGTGGTCCGGTTCGGGGACCACAGGATTTCTTCTCTGCTGTTTGCGGACGATGTTGTCCTGTTGGCTCCAACGAGCCAGGACCTGCAACATGCACTGGGATGGTTTGTAGCCGAGTGTGAAGTGGCTGGGATGAGAATCAGCACCTCCAAATCTGAGGCCTGGGAACTCCTTGGGGCCCCCCCGGACGAGCTAGAGGAAGTGTGTGTGGATAGGGAAGTCTGCGCGTCTCTGCTTAGACTGGTGCCCCCGCGACCCGGCAACGGATGAAGCGGAAGAAAATTGGATGGATGGATGGATGGCTATGACAGTGCTAACTAGAAAGAATTTCACCTGCACTGTTGCACACCTGAGCTGACAATATGCATAACTCCATCATGCACATGGAGGCATGTACTGAATATTGTCTCCATATTGTTCATTTTCAGACGTGGATCCCCAACATTACCATGCATTCAAATGTTGACTATCTTTTTAGAGTCAAATATGTATTCATTTCTAGTGCTCTAATATAATGTTGACAACATATATATTAATTCAAAACATAGATTCAGTGCAATGTATCCAACCCCCACTATAATGTTCGTGAATGGTATTTCAAAAGTGGCAAAAAATAAGTGAGTCTGGAATAAATAACACCAAAAGCAACAAGTCTCACTGATGGATCAAAGACTAATGAGAAACACAGAGACAGGCTTCCAGAGTGAGCGACACAACAACTTATTCCAAAGTCTTGACTCTAGGGGCATTCACTACTGTCTACTAAATCCATGAAGGCAGACACACACGGTAAAAGAGACCAAGAAAAAAACACTGCTAGCCATAACCTTATGAACAGCAGAGACTACTGACGGAGCTTCAACTGAAACAGGCTCAATAAAAAGGTTCAATAAGGTCATTTGAAATCTTTGCTTTCATGGATGTGCACATGCATGATTTCTTAATATTTGGCAATCTATTCTAATACTTTGATTGGAGCTTCTGACACGCCAGGCTCTTTAGTACTGTATCACACACTTTCCACATTACAGTAAAAAACAACAGGAATGGATTTATGGACATTGGTCACCCGCCCCTTATGGATCAATGGCTCTATGTGTTTTTATCATTGCATTTCCTGTGTTTGAACAGTGTGATTCTCCAATCTGTGTTGGCAAATTCAACAGTTTTGTAAAGTCCTCCAAAATAACTGTTCTGATTTAGGGCTATACAAGAATAAATTGAATTGAAGTGAATCGAATGCAACAAGGATTAAGAAAACAAACCAATCCTCTTGTGGCACTCCCTTCCCCCAGGCCTGTGTGTGTGTGTGTGTGTGGTAAGTGAGGCTGCCTAAACTGATTGACTTGGGTAAATCAGCACAAACAGATGGCGTGATGGAGGTCTGGGCCTGGCAGGAGGCTGGAGGATGGCACTGCCAGCGCATACATCTAGAAGAATGATGTGAAGTCGTTTGCACAGAGGTGGCTTGGGTCCCGGGACAGAGCCAGTACTGTGGAGGCAGGGAGGCTCAAATGCAGAGTTATGATGTGGGCGCCCTTGACACTCTGAAGCAAAGCCTTAAGAGTCCCTGTTACCCCGGGAGACGGCTCTATTCACACGGCGCTCTGAAGCATGTGGGCCGCTCAAAACACTGTAAAAGAGGGGCCCTGTTTGTTACCGGACAAAGAGCGAAAAGTCTTCTGCTGTCTTTATATAATAGTGACTGCAGCAGGAAAGAGAGCGAGCCAAGAAAGCTACTGCACTTACAAATTGTGTGGGTTGCAAAAGTGCCACTACAACTTGCACTTCTGCCCATTTCGCCATGTATACCACAAAGTAACTGTGAAAGCCAAATTATACATTATTTAGTCATTTTTATATGTACAGGGAGTAGCAAAATACAACTGCAGGCGGTATGATTGTAAACATGGTGAAATTTCTAAACCACAAAAAAAATCAATTGCTTCCAATTCCTTAAACGTGTCATAGGAACTTGACTTTAAAAAAAAATCTTGACTCAGCTTAAGCTATAGTAATGTGTATTGGAATTGGGTGAAATTTAAAAAGGGTAGCCAAATATCGCATATAATTATAACAAGATTATTAAGGGCTATATCTAACAACTAGGAAAAGTATTTAATTTACAAGTTGATTTGATTGTAAATTAACTTTAAACATGACATTTCTACTGAATGTGATTTAGTCTAAACTATTAAATAATGCCTCTCGATTCCCCGATGGGAAAGGAGTGGGTGTCATTTTACCAGACAGAACACTCACTTTCTTTGCTCATATCTATTATCACGAGGTTTATTTTTATCTTTCCATCCCCGCCTTCTGCCTTTCACAGTCACTCATTCCTCACAGCGCAGCCCTGGTCATTTCTTACAAAGAAATTCTCCCTATTATTGCATCTTTCGCATGACTCAAAGAATTCATAAAGTTCAAAACTGGATGCTCACACAATGGCTGAATGATGTTGCCGAACAACAACAAACATTTCTGATTAGAGCAGGCGTGTCAAACTCAGGCCAAATCCAGCCGGGCAAGTCCATTTTTTGTGTCCCCTAAAATGATTTTTCATGACCACAATCAACTTTCAGCATTGATGGTAATGCACTACAAAGGCATATTATATTTATATGCTATTTTCTCAGGACAACAGCCAATTTCTCAAATGTTAAGCCAACACATCCTTCTAAGTTAAATACTTTAATATAAATGCGGTATCGTTTTGGTTAAATCTAAAAAAAGAACACATTTTGTTTTCAGAAAAATCAACCAGAAAATAATGGTGAAACTCATGTCACAAAAAAGTCATGTCAAAATACCTTAAACATGTACAAAACAATTATAAGAAATGGAATTCCCGTTTATTCTTTTGTTCCTGACCAGTTCCTATCTTTTGTATTCGGCCTGATCAAAATGAGCTTTAGAGGGAGATACATTACAGGGTTTATGTGTGTGTGTGTGTGTGCGTGTGTGTGTGTGTGTGGCCAGTTAGATACACAGTTCTTCCTCAAATTGACTTGTAAATTCCCGCTTATCAGTCAAGTTTTCCCAGACCAGTAATTTCTGAGAGGAGCTGTGTGTAATTTGTCTCACCAGTTTGTAGTCCTTGTGCAGTTTGCTATACTGGAACATGTTGCAGAGGACAGTGGAGGCCGCCCGGGCAGCTTTCAAACTCCCAGCACTAAACAAGACACAATCGGAGTGAGGAGAAAAAGGCAACAAATTGGACATTCCATAGAAAAGACACGTCAGTCATAAATCCTTGACACTCTCCAGCAAAAGCGCCAAGGGCTACAAATCTGTCCTGAAGTACTTGTCCACTGTGTGACATGCATAGCATTAACAGAAAGCCAAGTTGATCTGAGGACATGAACAATTACCCTACTGTTGGGTTTGGCTTCTAAATTAAATGAACGTAAGATTGAAAAATTGGGGGCAAAGAGCAATTGGTAACAGTGGTCCTTATTGTTCTGCCTTCTCTCTCTCAGTGTCTGTTTCAAATTCACAAATATAATAAGGTACACATGCAGTCCCTGATGTATTTTCATCTTGTATTCTTCCAAAATATTTCAAAACATTCCAACACTTATTACACAACCTGTGCATTTTTAACTATTTGAATTAATGTAATGTCAGAATGTGAACCACATGTGTCCACTGTCACTTTACTAAGCCACTTTGTCCTATACCCTCATTTAGCTATAAAGTACAGATGTATACAATCATATATTTATTGCACTAAAATATTCAATATTCACCTGCTTCTCTATCATGGTGAAGATAGAGACTTAATTCTTACTTATTATTGAGTCAGGAGATTTTATTCTTAATTCTTGCTTCTTCACTATGCTATTGCTAGAGATATTATACTTGCTTCTTTATTATGCTAGTGTTAGTTAGAGGTTTTTAATTTTAGTGTAGAGTTATTGCTCATTTATCTGGAGTTGAGTGTTCCTCATTCCTACCGTTCTGTAAACTGCAAAAGGTGATAAAATATGAAGTGAAAATTGTTAAATCGGGTGGTTTGAGTTCATTCTGACTGTCTTAAAACAAGATTTAACTATCAGACAAAGCCATTCAGTCTAGAGCAGTCTCAGTCTTTAGTTTTAGGGCAGTCAGAATGTGCTCAAAGGTAGATACATTTTGCCAAGTTTGAGCAAATTTGTACATACTTTTTATCACTTTTTGCAGTCTGACTGGTGATGCAACACTGAATAAAGGATCTCTTAATCTTAATCTTCCCACAAGCTCCAATAGTACCTGTTGTCGTGAGAGCCCTTGATGCCCAGCAGTTTGGGCAAGCCGTTGAAGTAAGAGATGTCCCGGGCTGCCAGGGAGCTGCTGGTAACCAGGTGATTGAGGGCGCCGCACAGGTTGACCACCACCTCACTGCATGGGGACCTTTGGTGGCCGTCCGCGGGGAGCTTAGCCACCAGCACGTTCACCATGTTTTTAGCTGCAGTGGGGACAGACATGGGACGTCTTTATTCCCTGGTTATAATATTGCTCAAGTTGTATGGTGTTTGTTTCATATGTTTGTCCCACAGTGGGAAAAAGTCTGCCCTTATTTTTCTAAATCATATTTTAAAGACATCATGAGCTCTGGTGTGTGGTATTGGCTCTGTCTGGTGCACACAGGGGTGGTCTTGGACAGTTATTCTAATGTGGTTTTACTGCAAAGGCAAATAAACTGAATATTGAAGCTTGAATCTTGATCTATATATAATTATTTCAACTTTTTTAGACTACATTTTTAGACCTCTCATTTTTCTTCTTGTGATTGATGACAATATGCTAAGGTTGTTATCAAGCAACCGTGTTATAATCTGGGCAAAAACTCCCCAAATGTAAACAGACACAACCATTTCACACATATTGTAATGATCTAATATAGTTTAAAGAATCAATAACGTGTCATAATAATGTTGCAAACAAGTTCAAACTTCTCAAAGTACTGTTTGACCCTGCTCCACTTTCTGGAAACGGCAACATATTTTACTACTTTTCATTCATGATTTAAACTGTTTTAACCCTAACCCTAACTGTTTTTTTGCAAAAATAATTGTCTCCTTGTTTTATGGTTTGCTTACATAGGTCATTTTTTCCATTGTTATAAATGTGCTATATTCATAAAGGATAGTTTGTTATATGTGGTCACAAAGTTGGGAAAGAAAACACAATCTCGACAGTGTGACATCTAAACACAGAAATAATAGCTTTTCCTCATCCTAATGGGAGTATCATTTCACTGTGTGGTGGATGTGTTTACAGAACTGAAGTTGCAGATAGATGCAATTCCAAGAAAGGCCCTTTTCCTACAGATTGTCTGACTGTAAACTTCTGATTAGAGTCAGACAAAACCCTATTTCCTTCTGTCTCAGTCTCATATTTCCTGAACGTATCAAGAGGTCAACAAACTGTGGTAAGGAGGAGCTGTTATTAAGCAAGTAAAAAAGAGTATATGAATTGTGCTGTACAAAAAACTTGCCTAAAGCGCCATCCATCCATCCATCCATTTTCTACCCTTTAATCCATTTCTGGGTCAGGGGGGTGGCAATCAGAGATGCCACCCAAGTCTCATAGCACCAGCCCCTCACTGACCCTCTGCAGGTGGTGAGTCCACAGGAGGACGGCTGCTCTCTGAGTGTGAGCATAGCCTTGATCTTTCAGCGGGGGCTTTGGGCAAAGTGGGGTTAAGTGTCTTGCCCAAGGACACAACGACAGCAGTCATCAGTGGGAGTCGGTGGAGAAGGTGCAGAGGTGGGAATTGAACCCACAACCTTCTGGGCTTAAGGCCAATGATCTACCAACTACGAGCTACTGTCGCCCAAAAGCGCCTACTACAGATATTGACTAACATGTTGCTTCACAAGATAAATTGAGACTGTTCCTTGATCTAGAAACTATTCCTATATTTTCTCAGTTTCATTTCAAACTAACCTCATAAATCAACACTAAACATAATTTGAGTTATTTATCATTAAACCTTCTCCATGTTTGGTATATGAGGTGTTGTTTAGGAATACATGTCTGATCCTATTTGCGCTATTGTGATGTGTATCCAGTATAAACCCACATTTGTTGTTTTCTATTGAACTTATTTTGTGTTTAACTATTGGCACTAGTTGGAGTGCCTGTGTTTGAGTCATTTCTCCTGTGGATCCATAAAGGTGGTCAAAGTCTAAGTTTAATCCCCTCAGCAAAAACAGTGAATAGTTTCTAATTGGCCTTCAATCAATCAATCAATCTTTATTTATAGGGCGCTTTTCCTGCACAGGGCAACACAAAGCGCCTCACAGTCCACACCACACAATGCACAAATCATCACCATTAAAATACAATTAAAAACACATATGTAATTAAAAAGCATTAAAATCACATAAGTAATTTAAAAACATAAGAATCACACAAGTAATTAAAAACAATAAAATAGTAAAAAACACAAAAAGTTACAACAATAAATAACAAGGTGTGTTAAAAAGATAAAATTCTCTAGTTGTATGCACAGGAAAAAAGAAAAGTCTTTAACATGGATTTGAACATTGACAGAGAGGCAGCCAGTCTCACATCCTCAGGAAGACTGTTCCAGACTTTAGCTGCATAGATCTGAAAAGCAGCCTCCCCCTGTCTAGTCCTGACTCTGGGCACTAACAAGAGTCCCGTCCCTGCGCTCCTCAGAGTCCGGGCTGGTTCATATGGGACTAGCATATCATGGATGTACTTTGGTGCAAGGCCATGGAGAGACTTGTACACCAGGAGAGCTGCTTTAAAGTCTATCCTCTGGGCCACGGGAAGCCAGTGCAGAGACCTGAGGACCGGACTAATGTGGTCGTACTTCCTGGTTCTAGTCAGGACTCGGGCTGCAGCATTTTGAATATACTGCAGCTGTTTTACTGCATGTTTGGAGATACCTGTGAGCAGGCCATTGCAGTAATCCAGCCTACTGGAAACAAAAGAATGGATAAGAATCTCCAAGTCTGCCCTGGACACAATATTTTTAATTTTGGCAATATTTTTCAGATGATAAAAAGCTGCTGATGTTACCGATCCAATGTGGCTATTGAAGTTTAAGTCAGAGTCCATTATTACTCCCAGATTTCTGACCTTATTTAAAGGCCTTAGGGAGAGAGACTGAAGGTGACAAATGACGGTCTCTCTTTGTTTCTCGGGACCAAAGACAATCATTTCGGTTTTGTCCGCATTTAGCTGGAGAAAATTGCATTGCATCCACTCACTGATCCGCTGGATACAGTGAAGGAGTGAGTCCACTGGTCCATGTTCTCCTGCAGTCAGTGAGACATAGATCTGAGTGTCATCAGCGTAATTGTGGTAGGACACTTTCATACTTTGAATTAACTGACCTAATGGCAGCATGTAAATATTGAACAGAAGAGGTCCCAGAATCGACCCCTGTGGCACTCCGCAGGTCAGGGCCATATTATCTGAGACATAGTCTCCAATCTCCACACAATACTTCCTTTCTTCTAGATAGGACCTAAACCAGCTTAGGGCGGTACCAGCAACACCAACCCAGTCCTCCAGTCTCTGCATGAGAATCTCATGGTCAACGGTGTCGAAAGCGGCACTCAGATCTAACATGACTAAAACAGAGACTTTTCCTGCATCAGTGTTAAGCCGAATATCATTTGTTACCTTGACTAGAGCGGTCTCAGTACTGTGGTGTGGTCTAAAGCCAGACTGAAACATGTCAAATGAGTCATTAGATATTAAAAATTCAGTAAGTTGTTGGTAGGCAACTTTTTCAAGAATTTTTCCCATGAATGGCAGATTTGAGATGGGACGGTAATTTTCAAGTACCGCAGCATCCAAACTGCTCTTTTTTAGGAGGGGCCTGATGACTGCCTTTTTCAGGGCCATTGGAAATGTTCCAGATAAAAAAGACATGTTTACTATTTGTGTCAATGAGGGTAATAGACTACACATAACAGACTTCAGGAATCTAGGAGGTAGTACATCCAGACTGCAGGTAGAGGAACTAAGACCTGTGATTATCTTTTTAACAGTTTCATCATTGACAGGTGCAAATTGAGCTAGCTCACAAAGCCTCACTGGATGTTGCATTGTTACTTGTGTTGTGGAGGTGATGGTATTTCTGATACCCTGAACCTTGTCTCTGAAGAACTGTGCAAACTCATTACACCTGGATTTGGAGTAGTGTTCTAATGGCAACTCAACAGGGGGGTTCGTTAATCTATTGATTGTTGAAAATAGAACACGCAGATTGTTGCTGCAGCCTTCAATAGTTTCAGAAAAGTATAATTCTCTTGTTCTACGTAGTACTCTGTTAAACTCACACAACTTCTCTTTTAAGAGTTTATAGAATTGTCACCTGTAGAGTGCAGTATTGTGTTGGGCATCAGTGGAGAGAAGAGAGAAAAGGCAGTCCTGTGGCATAGATCCATGGTTTTCAATGCATGGGCGTTACCCGCTATGACGTCACACACAGGTTAGAGCATAGACGACTTAAATTCATGAAAAACACGTTCTTTTTATAAAATATAGGATTTTTTTTGCCGGAATCTCTTTCAGATTGACATTGTCATGCAATTTTGATATCCACAATTAAAAAAAAAAAAAGGTCTTTAAACTTCTCCACAACAGTATCTCGGACCTGCCTGGTGTGTTCCTTTGTTTTCATGATTCTCACTGCGCTTTAAACAGAACCCTGAGACTATCAAAGAGCAGGTGCATTTATACGGAGACTTGATTACACACAGGTGCATTCTATTTATCATCATCAGTCATTTAGGACAACATTGGATCATTCAAAGATCCTCACTGAACTTCTGGAGTGAGTTTGCTGCACTGAAAGTAAAGGGGCCGAATAATATTGCACGCCCCACTTTTCAGTTTTTTATTTGTTAAAAAAGTTTAAATTATCCAATAAATTTCGTTCCACTTCACGATTGTGTCCCACTTGTTGATGATTCATGAAAACAAATTTAAATTTTATATCTTTATGTTTGAAGCCTGAAATGTGGCGAAATGTTGAAAGGTTCAAGGAAGAATACTTTCGCAAGGCACTGTATATTTATCCATATTTCTCAAATTGCAATAGCCATTTTATGTTACATTCAACTGGAAAGCTTACCTCCTCTTCACACCAGTCATACACTTTCCACTTTGAAACGAATTTTGCTCTGTGTCTTTTCCATAGCTCTAAGAACAAGGTGGCTACAAAAAACACATAACAATAAAACACCTTGGAATGGTAAACTCAAAGAGAGCAGAAGGTACAAGTAGAATATTAGACGCACCCCAGATTGCCATGCACATCGCAAACGCCACGGTGCCCTCATTGTCAAACAGAATATTGACCTGTGGATGCAAAAATAATGTTGAATTATGCATTTATGTTGCTGTATAACACCTGTTTAGTTATCATCTGGTCTTTTCTGTGATTAAGAGTCTTGTGAGAAACTCAAAAAAGGGACACAGATTGCAACCAACCTTGTGAGAAATGCTGTTATGTCTGACGTATTCTAATTGTAAAACTACCTGCAAAACCCATGCCACTATAACTAGATAAATAATTAAAAATAAGAACTGTTAAATATTACCTGCGGCATCTCGCAGGGATCAATGCTTGGGCCAAAACGTTTGATTACTCACATTTATAAAAGAAGAAGAAAATGAAAGAGAAAGAAAGCTCCGGATTGGTCATTTGTTTGGGCTCATGTCTGGATTTACAAAGATAATATAACAAAATAAACACCAGAGTTGCAGAGAGCGCTAAACAGTGTATTTTTAAAGCCCAAAATGGTGAGTGTGACACAAAGGGGCTAGCTAGAGGAGTTAATTTTTCAATGTAAGTCAATAGGAGCCAGAGCGAGTTGGAGCCGAACTTTATCTATGAGAACTTCCCTTTAAGGCTTCATTGAGCTAGAGGGTTAGCAATGTCCATCTGTATACACAAACAATAATTTCATAGAACAAAATCCAAGATAGAACCCTTACCTCTGAGCTAACTCACTTTCCACCTGTAAATGATCAAACTGTACAAGAGATATTCTCCAGTCTGAGCTCCTCCACATGCAGCCTGGATGTACTACCCACTAGATTTCTGAAGTCTGTTCTGAGCAGTCTGTAACCTTCACTCACACAGATAGTAAACATGTCCCTTAACTCTGGAATATTCCTAAAGGCCCTGAAAACTGCAGTCATCAGGGCCCTGCTAAAAAAGAGCAGCCTGGATTCTACGGTACTTAACAACTATCGTCCCATCTCAAATCTGCCATTTATGGGGAAAGTCCTTGAAAAAGTTGCCTACCTACAGCTTACTAGATTTCTTATAATCAACAACTCATTTGATATGTTTCAGTCCGGCTTTAGACCCCACCACAGCACTGAGACTGCTCTCGTCAAGGTGACAAACGATATCCGGCTGAACACTGACGCAGGCAAAGTCTCAATCTTAATATTGTTAGATCTGAGTGCAGCTTTTGACACTGTTGACCATGAGATCCTCTTACAGAGACTAGAGGACTGGGTTGGTGTCGCTGGCCTTGAAGGCTTACCTTGAAGACAGGAAGTACTTTGTGGAGATTGGAAACTGTGTCTCAGATCATATGGTCCTGACCTGTGGAGTACCACAGGGGTCGATCCTGGGACCTCTTCTGTTCAATCTCTACATGCTGCCGTTAGGTCAGTTAATACGGAGAAACGAAGTGTCCTATCACAACTATGCAGACGACACTCAGATCTATGTCTCACTGACTGCAGGAGAACATGGACCAGTGGACTCACTCCTTCACTGTATCCAACAGATCAGTGAGGATGCAAAACAACTTCCTTCAGCTAAACGCAGACAAAACTGAAATGATTGTCTTTGGTCCCCAGAAACAAAGAGAGAGAGTCATCTGTCACCTACAGTCTCTCTCCCTAAAACCTTCAAACAAGGTCAGAAATCTAGGGGTAATACTGGACTCAGACTTACATTTTAATAGCCACATCAAATCAGTAACATCAGCAGCTTTTTACCACCTAAAAAACATTGCCAGGATCAAAAACATAGTGTCTAAAGCAGACTTGGAGATTCTTATCCATGCATTTGTCTCCAGTAGGTTAGACTACTGCAATGGCCTGCTCACAGGTCTGTCCAAACAGGCTGTAAAACAGCTGCAGTACATTCAAAATGCAGCAGCTTGAGTCCTGACAAGAACCAGGAAGTACGACCATATTAGTCCAGTTCTCAGGTCTCTGCACTGGCTTCCTGTGGCTCTGAGAATAGACTTTAAAACAGCTCTGCTTGTGTACAAGTCTGTCCATGGCCTCGCTCCAAAATATATTAGTGACATGAGGAGCACAGGGACTGGACTCCTGTTAGTGCCCAGAGTCAGAACTAAAAATTGGGGAGGCTGCTTTTCAGATTCATGCTGCTAAAATCTGGAACAGTCTTCCTGAAAGTGTGAGACAGGCCTCCTCTCTGACAATGTTTAAAACCAGGTTAAAGACAGTTCTGTTTAGCTGTGCATACAAGTGAGGGATTTTATATTTGTATCTTTCTTTTTAATATTCTGTGATTATTTATGATTTAAATGCTTTCTTATTTTGTTCAGCACTTTGAGTTGCCTTGTGTATGAATTGTGCTATATACAGTAAATAAACTTGCCTTGCCTTGCCTTACCTATCTACTTCCATCATGGCACCTCCCCAAGCCGTTAGAAGGAAATCATGAGATAAGAAGTTTAAATTGAGTTAAAAAGGTTAGCTCGGAGAAGAATACCTTGGCGTAGGTGCATGTGTCTGAGAGCTGCCACACGCTGCACCTCTTGTCACAGCGCGGACACATGATGATGTTGGAATCACAGACGTCTTTACTGGGAACAAAAATTAGTCGTTTTGTTAACTGATATGATTTCAATCAATGTTATTTTCAGCTCAGAAGAATATGAAATTGACACTGTGAATGCCACTACATTGGATGATAAATTGAAATTTGGTAATGTGAAGCGCAGCCGGCAAAGAATTTACCTTATGCATAAGTTAAACTCCTTTTAGGTCAGCTCCACTATTTTTTCTCGGTTTTATCAGGCCTTCATTGAGAGAATTTTGTGCTTTTCCTTTATCTGCTGAACTGTCTGACATTTCCTGTGTTTCTATGTGTTTTTTTATGCCCTGTCCTGCTCAAACTAATTTCCCCTGGTGGGATAAATAAAGTAGTCTGAATCTGAATATGAACTTACATTAGAGGGTTGGTCCGAAAAAAGGCCAAACCGTAGAGAAAGGCGACAACTCCCAGAGCAGCGGCTGGCACTAAAAGCTTGGTGTACCATCCCAACCAGAGGTAGTAGAGAGCCACCTTCTCCCCAAAGTAATTCCTGACAAAGAAATGCATATGTGAGAATTAAAGATAATTAGTACTACAAACCTGGTCTGAGGCTTCTGAAGTGAAACAAAAAAACAATCAAAAAATATGTATTAGATGATAGTGTAGTGCAATTTGATCCTATTTGGTTTCATAATTATTATTTATATTATATATTATGACTATTTTCTTTTCATTTTTTTCTACTTGTATTGCCATAACATGTTTGTAACAAGAAGTCACAAACTAAACATTGGCTTTAATCTTGTACTTGTTTGCACTGAGAGGCAAAGCAATTTCTTAGTTTGTGATTTTTTTGTTACTCACAATGGCAATAAAAAAATTCTGATATACCATAATCATATTGATTATAGTGGGAAGAATCTATTTTTAAGTGCTTTAAGTGATTTTCCAGCATTCAAGCAACCATCGCTTAGATGATGTCTCTTTTCACCACCTGCCTTTACTTCAAGTCAATACCAAAGGCCACATTTGTCCTAGAACAAGCTGCATGTGTTCCAGCTTCCTGGAGTCACACTTTGGAGGACTTAACACCATTGAGAGATATTTAGAATCATATGTGAACCATCCTAATTCCCCCATCCTTGTAAAAGACTTGAACACATGTTACATGTGGACAGTTTGTATACAACACAGAGACTCACTTGACACGACCCAGTGGCTGCCCAGTGAACAGCCCAGTCCATCGAGCCCACTTCTTCCCCAACGACTTCTGCTCCTTTCTCTAAAACAGAAGGCAAAGTTCAAAAGCCACAAGTGTACATGTGCATATTATGAGAAGACACAAACCTCATGAAGGCAGAACGCTGTCTCAAACACATCGTGCTTCAGGAGTTCGCTCAGGTTCTCTGTGGGAAAGGAAAACATGATTATTTTAGACTAATTCATCAGTTTTTAAAAAGTTATTTCCCGTATGGAAATACCGGTGCCTGTAATAGAAGTACATTAGGGTTTTTTTGGCATACCATTGTCATGAAAATATGTTTTTACTTTACTGTTTGTTGGTATAAAACCCATCATATGCAGGAAGAAGGTGCGCCTTTAAACATTCCCAGGACTACAGTCACTAACCTCCAGTGTTGGTGTAGGTGTTATGGAGGATGAAGTGCACTATCCGTATTCTGCAGAAATGAATAAAGATCAACCATTAAAATCATAATAAATCAAACATTCCGGAGGTGAAGGCTTAAGGTATGTATTCAATGATGAAAAAATGAGAATGTCCAAAGAGGTGTAGATATTCTTGTAGAAGACATTGTGGTATGTATTTGAGGCCAAAGCTACAGAGCATCATATTAGTAATGATATAGAGATTTCAGGATTTGATTGGATTCTCAATACAGGACCCATGATCTATTATGCATTTGTTTGCCTTACCGTGTAGCTTGCATGACGTCGGATGCAAGATCTCCAGTCCAGTTACAGGAGTCCGACACTTTGAGCAGGTACATATAGTCTTCAAATACTTCCTTTGGCGCTCGGACACCATAGAATATCTTTTCCTCATTCTCAATTTTCTGCACAAATCATATAAAACAGAAATTTTTGGTAAAAAAAGGACAAAATAATTTTAGCTGCAAGTGGCGATGGATGGCCCTCATCTTAGCCAAACCGAGATGAGGCTATGTCAATCGACACAAAAAGGCCAGGAAAATGCAGGTGGCACCAAATGTATTTGACCGTCTGATCAACGGTCCCATCACAGGCCTGGTTAGTTCTGTGATGGGAAACCTCTGTGAAGACCAAGTGCTATAAATTGCCAAACTGTTCTTGTTTCCCAAGGCAAGACACTTCACCCAAATTGCATAGGATGAGTCTGGGGTGGGTGTGTGAATATGAATGGTTAATGCTATGGAGTGTCTTTAGGCAATCTTTAGTTGCCCCGGGCAACCGTTAATGTTGAGCCCTGCATGAGCCAAAACTGCTTTTCCTTCGGCCCCCTTCGAAGCCCGAAGCAATCTGCTCTGAAGTGCCTCGACCCATGTCCTACTGCAGCCACTCCATGCTTCCATTCAAAACAAAATCACACACGGGCCAATCACAGTGGACCTTCTCTGCGCTGCCAGCTGCTTAATTAGAAAAATCCGTGGGTGCATGGGTGGTAGCGCAAGGGTCTTGCGTTGATCCTTGAGTGTCAAAAAAAGTGCAATACGAACTCACAGTGATGCTGAAATTTTTCCTCTCCAGTTGATGGATGAAATAATTAGCTCTTTGCTTCTTCAGGTCTCCATCATCTTCATATTTATGAGACACCAGCATATAGTCAAATGTCCTCTGAGGAGCCTGAAAAACGAGAGAACATCAACATAAGGTATAGGTTGCATTCACTAAGAATATATTGTAGCTAATACATACATGTATAATATAACATATACAAATATACATGGACTTGTAACTGTTGTTTCAAGTGAATACTTGTAAGTGAATACACTTTTAGTTTACCTTGAATTCTATGGGGAAAGTTTCTGGGTAGCCCACGTGAATTTAGTCTGCAGTACCACGGGTGCCCCTTGTGCCCAAGGGTGGGACAGCTATAAGCTAGTAATGCCCTATCCAGATATAATTATAGATCCATGCGGCTAACGCATGCGCAAATGCGTTCTTTTCACATTTTCCTGCGGGAGGGGCTGCCCGCGGCCGTTTGGAAAAAGCCTCATAGAAGCCAAAAGTGATGGCACACAGTTTCAACGGTGGAGAAAGGCATGACTACGTCCGTTGATATTTACAATCTATGGTCCACTCCTGGCTCTAGATGTAGAAATGCGGGAATGCGTTCCCGGCCTAAATGGGTTTAAGTAATACTACTGTGAGCTAAACATCCCTTGCCCGATCGGGCAACTTGCTAAGACAGCGCACTTCTCCGTCCCAAATCTTTAGTTGCCCAGGGCAACCGTTAATGTTGAGCCCTGCATGAGCCAAAACTGCTTTTCCTTCGGCCTACTTCGAAGCCCGAAGCAATCTGCTCTGAAGTGCCTCGACCCATGTCCTACTGCAGCCACTCCATGCTTCCATTCAAAACACAATCCCATACGGGCCAATCACAGTGGACCTTCTCTGCGCTGCCAGCTGCTTAATTAGAAAAATCCGTGGGTGCATGGGTGGTAGCGCAAGGGTCTTGCGTTGATCCTTGTGACATCAGGTGACGTCCCGAGTGCTCAGCGCCGCACGAGTGTACACAGGGCTTTAACTCCATGGATACTTTTTGCTAGTAGGGGTTTTATTATCTAGGTGTTATTCTAAATGCTAAATGCACTAGGGGCAATACAATCACTATTGATTGGGTAAACTTCATGTGAATTATTGTTGAGCCTGGTGTATTTATGTTTTCTCTCCAGGTTGCCATCTGTGAGTTGGTAATTGCTCTGCTCTGTATTTTCCCTTTATATTTTATCTCTCAGGTTATGAATGTGGAGTTGTAAGCTCTGCTCTGAAAGTGTATCTACAAATACTAAAATGTGAATGCATCCTTAAAGGACCGATGGTCTTCCTGAATGAGAATCCTCAAAACCAACAAAGAGTGTCTGGTAAGTTACACTGCAATCGATTAATGTTAAAGATATTCACTGACTTTTTTGATCTAAACAACTTATTGATTAGTTGGGTAATTATTATATCAATCTGTACCAAAATAATTGTTGATTACAGCCCTATTTGGTAAGATGAAAGTATATAAATCTAGAGTACCTACATTTTTTCCCCCTTCATGTTGTAGTCTGATTTGTTCATCTTACAAGACTGTTGGGACAATCAATTACTTATACATGCTGTATTTACATTTCTCTTTTGCAGAATGTTGCAACAATACCTGAAAAAAAAAAAAAAACTCCATACCAATTTTGATACCAAAGTGAATATTTATAAATGCTCTTTTTGGACAATAAACTAAAATGTATCTCAATACTATTTATGGGGCCAATGCTCAAGAAATGTCAAATTTTGTCCTGTTTATGTAATTTTATTTAGTATCTATACTTGATCAAAATAGTATCTAGTTTCTATACTATTTTTAGTATGGATTAATATCTGATTTGATACTTTTGACAGCCCTCGTTTAAAGAGATCTGGGGCTGTATCCCAAAGTATTTGTTTTATTATATTTTCAAAATAAAACACACACACATACACACTCACACACACACACACACACACACACACACGCGCGCGCACAGGCACACACAGGTCCAGTGAAGAAAACAAAGTAGAATGAAAATCTGTAGTGATAAGGTTAAACTATAAATTCAATAGACAGAAGGGCAGATAGGGCCTTAGCCACCATCTCCAAGAATATAGCCACCTCGACACTCCCAAATCATGTGGAAGTAGGTTTCAGCCACACCTCCACAACACAATGTGCAGGTCGGATCTGGTTTGCACTTCATGGAAAACCTAGCGGCCTAATTCTAAGAAAATTCTAATTCTACTTTAGGGTAGGGTTGTTAAAAGTATGTATAAACTAGTATAGAAACTAGATACTATCTTGATGCACTGACTTGAGCAAGTATCTATTATTAAACTTTATTAGAAGAACTTGTGGCCCCATAAACATTATTATGTAGTTTATTGTCCAAAATCAGCATTTATAAAGAATCACTGTAGTATTAGAGTATAGAGTAATTTAGTATTGTGACTGACAACACTACTTGTTTGTGGTATATTGGAAAGCCAAGCAACGCTTATTGACCATTCACAAACACAGCTGTCAATGTGCAATAGATTTAAGATATAATTATGTCCTTTCAGGATGTCTATGTGATGAAGAATGAGGAACTTGAGCAGATTGACTTGGGCGTTTATAAAGTCACCTGTGAAGGCGCACAACCTGTTGACTCCCTTGAAGATGAAGTATCGTGATTGAAAGATGCTCTGTGCTGCAGGATCTTGGAGCTGTGGTGTGATGTACACTTTTGTTTGGGCTGTTTTACTGCCCCAATCTGAGTTATCCAAAAATGCTCCGCTACACATTTGAGTTAATCCAGAAAGTGCTTTTGGGACTGGACGATAAAAAACTATCAAACTAAAGTGCTCAAGAACGGACTTTGCCAACTGGAGTCCAAAGGATTTTTATTTCCTCATGGGAGAGTAATAAAGCATGTTACATTTTCATTTTTTTTATAAGAATGAAATGTATTCGTGAGAAAACCATTTTTGTTTAATGCACTCAGAATAGTATTCTCACGATCTGCTGTATGCAGTTATTTTATTTTGTAAGGAGAAAAAGGGACTTTTGTGTTAATGAAATCATAAGTAATATTATTTTAATCATAACTAATATTATTAATTAAAGCATAACTAGCAGTGTTTATTAAATCCAAGGTAATACTGTCAATAAAATGAACACCTTTTGATTAAGATTAATCCTGATCCTGTATTCGTCACACAGTGGGGAAATTTCAGTGTTGCATCACAAGTTATAGAACAGCAGGAAAGAGGAGCACACAGCACAAGATAAATGAACAAGAGTTACACTAATTAAAATAAAACAAAATCTCTAACTCTAACATCAAATAACAAATATAAAATCTCTATCTTGAACATAATAATAAAAGTTTAAAAGTTTAATACCATTTAACAGCATTCATTAGAATGTAATCACGCAAAGCTGTTACATTTATATAACAATTTCACTTGTTATATACAGGTTGCAGATAACAATACTATTATTTCACAATTCACTTTTGTGGAAAAGTGTGCCACAACTTTTTTTTTTCTTGGAGTGAACAGTAATCCAAAATGAAATAAAAAATGCAATCTGACACCTAAATGGACTATCTGTCAAGTGTATTAAGTTACGTTTAGGGCTATGGTTCACTACGGTTAGAGTTAGGATTAGGGTTATGAGCCCAGTATAAACTTACAACTGTGATGCTGGACCGTTTATTACTTGGTGATATCAAATCGTGCCACAAAAACAGCTATTTCAAACATTTACAACAACATAAAAATAAGGTGAACGCCATAAATCTAGCCTATGTTTTTTGTTTTAACATATGGACAAATTGATTTTTTGTCTTAAATAATGATGAATAACACTAAGCAATGTGACAACTTCGTCCTTCATTAGTTGTAGATTGGTGTGTTTTGACATAATATAGATATTGCGATAGAACAACATGGCTCTGACACAAAGATGAAGCCTGAGAAAGCAAGTTAAGTCTTGTTTTCATGAACCAGTTTCACTTTCATTCAGTGAGGCACTGAGCGGTGTTTCAAGATGCAGTAGAATACTGCACTGCAGGTCATTAGTTAAGAAACAAGAGCTTTAAAGTGTCACAGATGCAGTGATACCTGCAGCGCAGCTATGCAGGGAATCGCTGCACCTTGTCACAGGGGCTTGTGACCCCGGGTCATGATGCACCCTCTGGCAAATATTTGTTGACACTTATGTCTCTTGGTAAATTAACATACCATAAGCAGTAACTGCAAGTCTAAAACTACCAGTTCAAAAAATGTCAATGTGAGTGTGTGTGCCTGCCTATGTATGTGAATATGTATGTATTCACCACTGTCAGTGTCTGTGCAAATGTTTGATCCTTGGCTTGGATAAAGTCTCTGTGGTGTTTAGTGGGAGAAAATGGGTTAATAAAGTTTACCACAGATGGAAGAAGAGGCTCCTTCAGCTCAAATGTTTCCTGCTGGATAAACGAGAAACATAAAAAGTCAACCATTTTTAATGATGATTTGATCTTAATCTAATGAATTCAAATTCGTAGCAACTTGAATTTAGAGTATTTCATAGTTAAAATCCAACTAGAAACTTGCAATGGCTGAAGCCATTGCGATTGACTGCGGAACAGATCTAATGTGGAATTTAGCTGAAAAATCCTTTGAAACTCCTGAAGTATTTGAAGCTCCTGATATCCTTTAAACTGTTATCCTTTATACTGGTTTACATGTAAAAACCCCTATTAAGTTGCATTATACTGGTTTACATGGAAAAATCCCCATTAAGTTGCATTATACTGGTTTACATGTAAAAAACCCTATTAAGTTGCATTATACTGGTTTACATGGAAAAATCCCTATTAAGTTGCATTATACTGGTTTACATGTAAAAACCCCTATTAAGTTCCATTATACTGGTTTACATGTAAAAACCCCTATTAAGTTCCATTATACTGGTTTACATGTAAAAAACCCTATTAAGTTCCATTATACTGGTTTACATGTAAAAAAAACCCTATTAAGTTGCATTATACTGGTTTACATGTAAAAACCCATATTAAGTTGCATTATACTGGTTTACATGGAAAAATCCCCATTAAGTTGCATTATACTGGTTTACATGAAAAAAAAACCCTATTAAGTGGCATTATACTGGTTTACATGAAAAAAACCCTATTAAGTTGCATTATACTGGTTTACATGGAAAAATCCCTATTAAGTTGCATTATACTGGTTTACATGGAAAAATCCCTATTAAGTTGCATTATACTGGTTTACATGGAAAAAACCCTATTAAGTTGCATTATACTGGTTTACATGTAAAAACCCATTAAGTTGCATTATACTGGTTTACATGGAAAAATCCCCATTAAGTTGCATTATACTGGTTTACATGGAAAAATCCCTATTAAGTTGCATTATACTGGTTTACATGGAAAAATCCCTATTAAGTTGCATTATACTGGTTTACATGGAAAAATCCACATTAAGTTGCATTATACTGGTTTACATGAAAAAACCCTATTAAGTTGCATTATACTGGTTTACATGAAAAAAACCCTATTAAGTTGCATTATACTGGTTTACATGGAAAAATCCCTATTAAGTTGCATTGTACTGGTTTACATGGAAAAACCCCTATTAAGTTCCATTGAAACTGTATAGTGAAAGACTAGCAGAATTCTCAATGCAGAATTTTTGTCCGATTGGCGGAAAACCGGAAAACGCTGCTGAAGTCCCAAAAGTACTATGCAATAATCTCCCAAACATGTGGAACGTTTTGATGTATAACCTTGTGGAAATTGTTAAAAGTGAAAGCTGTGAAACGTGTCAAAAAAAATGACGGAATAAAGAAATACAAAAATGGTTGACTGCGGAAGGTTCCGCAGTCCAAATCAATAACCATAAAAACTTGCAATGGCTGAAGCCATTGCGATTGACTGCGGAACAGATCTAATGTGGAAATCTGCTAAAAAAAATCCTTGAAATCCTTTAAAAGGCCTTGAAACTGTTAAAATACTTGATAGATATTTGAAACTCCTGAAGTCCTTGAAATTGTTGAAACCTTTAAACTCCTGAAATCCTTGAAACTGTTGAAACATTGAAACTCCTGAAATCCTTGAAACTTTTTTAAACCTGGAAACTGTTGAAAGTGTGGAAACTCCTGAAATCCTTGAACCTCCTGATATCCTTGAAACTGGTTAAATTCTTAAACAGTTGAAATCCTTGAAACTACTGAATGTATTGAAAGTGTCCTTGAAACTGAAAAATCCCCTCACCGCTGAAACAATTTGGTTCCTGTAACTAAGGAAACCTGGTCTGTGGTCATTATCTGGTGGTGGTCTGAGTCTTCGTTTGGGTCTTGGTCTGGTGGTATAATGCAACCTATTAGGTTGCATTATACTGGTTTACATGGAAAAATCCCTATTAGGTTGCATTATACTGGTTAACATGGAAAAATCCCTATTAGGTTGCATTATACTGGTTTACATGTACAAATCCCTATTAAGTTGCTTTATACTGGTTTACATGTAAAAACCCCTATTAGGTTACATTATAGTGGTTTACATGTAAAAACCCCTATTAAGTTCCATTATACTGGTTTACATGTAAAAACCCTATTAAGTTGCATTATACTGGTTTACATGAAAAAAACCCTATTAAGTTGCATTATACTGGTTTACATGGAAAAATCCCTATTAAGTTGCATAATACTGGTTTACATGGAAAAATCCCCATTAAGTTGCATTATACTGGTTTACATGAAAAAAACCCTATTAAGTTGCATTATACTGGTTTACATGGAAAAATCCCTATTAAGTTGCATTGTACTGGTTTACATGGAAAAATCCCTATTAAGTTGCATTATACTGGTTTACATGGAAAAAACCCTATTAAGTTCCATTATACTGGTTTACATGTAAAAAAACCCTATTAAATTGCATTATACTGGTTTACATGAAAAAAACCCTATTAAGTTGCATTATACTGGTTTACATGGAAAAATCCCTATTAAGTTGCATTATACTGGTTTACATGGAAAAATCCCCATTAAGTTGCATTATACTGGATTACATGAAAAAAACCCTATTAAGTTGCATTATACTGGTTTACATGGAAAAATCCCTATTAAGTTGCATTATACTGGTTTACATGGAAAAATCCCCATTAAGTTGCATTATACTGGTTTACATGGAAAAATCCCCATTAAGTTGCATTATACTGGTTTACATGAAAAAACCCTATTAAGTTGCATTATACTGGTTTACATGTAAAAATCCCTATTAAGTTGCATTATACTGGTTTACATGGAAAAAACCCTATTAAGTTGCATTATACTGGTTTACATGTAAAAACCCCTATTAAGTTCCATTATACTGGTTTACATGTAAAAACCCTATTAAGTTGCATTATACTGGTTTACATGAAAAAAAACCTATTAAGTTGCATTATACTGGTTTACATGGAAAAATCCCTATTAAGTTGCATAATACTGGTTTACATGGAAAAATCCCCATTAAGTTGCATTATACTGGTTTACATGAAAAAAACCCTATTAAGTTGCATTATACTGGTTTACATGGAAAAATCCCTATTAAGTTGCATTGTACTGGTTTACATGGAAAAATCCCTATTAAGTTGCATTATACTGGTTTACATGGAAAAATCCCTATTAAGTTGCATAATACTGGTTTACATGGAAAAATCCCCATTAAGTTGCATTATACTGGATTACATGAAAAAAACCCTATTAAGTTGCATTATACTGGTTTACATGGAAAAATCCCTATTAAGTTGCATTATACTGGTTTACATGGAAAAATCCCCATTAAGTTGCATTATACTGGTTTACATGAAAAAAACCCTATTAAGTTGCATTATACTGGTTTACATGAAAAAATCCCTATTAAGTTGCATTGTACTGGTTTACATGGAAAAATCCCTATTAAGTTGCATTATACTGGTTTACATGGAAAAAACCCTATTAAGTTGCATTATACTGGTTTACATGTAAAAACCCCTATTAAGTTGCATTATACTGGTTTACATGGAAAAATCCCCATTAAGTTGCATTATACTGGTTTACATGAAAAAAACCCTATTAAGTTGCATTATACTGGTTTACATGAAAAAACCCTATTAAGTTGCATTATACTGGTTTACATGGAAAAATCCCTATTAAGTTGCATTATACTGGTTTACATGGAAAAATCCCTATTAGGTTGCATAATTACACTGAAGTCCTTGAAACTGCTGAAGTCCTTGAAACTGCTGAAGTCCTTGAAACTGCTGAAGTCCTTGAAACTGCTGAAGTCCTTGAAACTGTTGAAGTCCTTGAAACTCTTGAAATCTTGAAACTGCTGAAATCCTTGAAACTGTTGAATCCTTGAAACTGTTGAATCCTTGAAACTGTTGAATCATTGAAACTGTAGAAATGTCTGAAAGAGCTGAAGTCCTATTAAAATGCATGGGCCTATTAAAATGCATTGCAGAATTCTCAATGCAGATTTTTGTCCGATTGCGGAAAAACCGGAAATCGCTGAAGTCCCAAAAGTAATAGCAATAATCTCCCAAACATGTGGAACGTTTTGATGTATAACTTGTGGAAATTGTTGAAAATGTGAAAGCTGTGAAACGTGTCAAAAAAAATGACGGAATAAAGAAATACAAAACCAATGGTTGACTGCGGAAGGTTCCGCAGTCAATCAATTATCAGTTGAATGTCAAAATACTAAAATGTCCTCACTATGAATGATAAATAACAATTATACTTGGTATTGTTTATTATACTATCTAGTAGGCAAGGCAAGGCAAGGCAAGTTTATTTATATAGCACAATTCATACACAAGGCAATTCAAAGTGCTGAACAAAACAAGAAAGCATTAAAATCATAAATTATCACAGAACATTAAAAAGAAAGATACAAATAAATCCCTCATCAACACCAATATCAATAAGTGACAAAATAACACTCTAGTGTATAATAATCATGTCAGTATGTTGTGTGTACGATTCCATTGGCTCTCATCATTCATATTCATTGTGATAAATGGTGTTAATCTTTGGTCCCTGTGCTGCGAGCATGCCCTGACCTGTCTGCCACCGAAACTTCTGTGCACAGCTCTCCACACGCACCTACACAACTTCTTCTATCTTCGGTTTACAGTGAAGAAGATAACATCAAACTACTCTATTTTATTGGGAGGATAAACCTTTAGCATAGGCGTGACCATGTCCACACTTGCTTCATAACGAGCTTACAGCAGAAACTCAGCCGCCCTTTAATCCAAACGTAGTTTCAGTTTATTTGTGTTAAGATCACAGAAGAGCAACAGAAGGACCAAACTTACATTGAACTAAAATACCGAGTTACAATTCTCCTGAACCTGAAACTGATACTTTTTATTTGCCAAACGCTCACTTTTGTTATTGTTGGGGCATGAACATGAACTATAAAATGGCTAAATAAATACGCCTAAAAATAGTTCAGCAATAGGCTTGAGAAAAGGCTTTTAATCACACAGACGCATCAAAATATATTTCCCAGCCATACTATAACTAAGTTTCAAGATGTATGTGTGTGTGTACGTACGCCTTTGTTCTTTTACCTCTTTAATTTATTATTATTATTGATGGATTCATCAATAATAATATTATATTTCATATATTTTTACAACATATGTCCTATTCATTTGTCATCTAAGCTTATGTACAAAGTAAACACACACACACACAAGTAGCCCACAAAAGTCACCACATTGTTATAAGCATGTATGGTGTTTTCCCTCAGTCAAACGGAGCTGCTTACCTCGGCCTTCTTGCAAAAAAACATGTTGAAAGCGGTGTCCAAGTTTCACCAGCTACAGCAGCAGACATCCAGCTACAGCAACGACATCTCCACAAGTTTATCCCGAGTTTAGACCATAGACTGTATGTTTAGACGCGCGCGCTCGGCCTCAAGGCTCCATCCTCGCGGCGGAGTGGTTCCTGTTTACGTCTCTGCCATAAAAGCGTTTGCATTACTTCAATACGGTGCGTATAAACTGTTCCTTCCGCATTCTTTTGAGCGTTTTCTGCACAGGTGAACCACAGACTGTAGGTGAGCTCGTAATAAGGAGTGCCGCGTCTATGGTCTTTTTTTTTTTTTTTTTTTTACCTGCGCTGCTGGGAGAGGCGTTCAGGTACGGGCACTGTGTAGGAATTTACACACTATTTGCATAGAGACAGTAATGAACGCTTAGCACATGAGAATGGTCCAGGCTGTTATGTTCTGTTGTAAAAGTGTAAATATAGTTACAGCCTTTTTTATTTGTTTTCTAACAGCAGCTGACATGTTTGAGGAGTAGGGTTGATCACAAGGTTGAGGTTACAAAAAATGTGATCTTTGTTTTAGGGAAGAGGTAGTCCATGATGACTTCGTATTTACAGACCATAATGAAGACCACCCTTAAAGTCACAAGCACCATCTAGTTGTTAAAAACAATATTAACTATCATTATAATATTAATTGGATTATTGTTGAATACTTTTTTGCAATACAAATCTAATGTAGGTATGGTAAATAACTTCCATTTGTTTCAGATGCAGAAGAAACAACAGTTCTGTGGAATCAAAATGTAAATTTTCTTAAGTTGTGCCATTTTTTATTATGATTTAGGTCCACAAGAACAACTGCTTCAAAAGTGATATGTTGAGCGGTTATAATATAGCAAGTATATAGTATCTATAAGTATTAAATAAAACACAATAGACTTAGTTTTTTCCTTCTAAAAAAACAATTGACTTTTAATTCTTAAAGATGATTTACACAATATCAGTTTCTACTGCACATAAAAATAACAGTTTCAGACAATGTTTAACTGGACACATTATGGATCTAAAAAATAAGGCCCTATTGTCATACCAAAATACATATTATACAACTAAACAGTGCATGCAATTCAGCCTATTACATTGGTACCAATAAAGTAGAAATGTGAAAACAAAATGTATTTAGAAAGTAGCTAAATAGCATAAAATTGCTTCTTTCTTTTTCTTTATCTCTAAATCTCAAATGCAAAAGATAGTAAACGCCAAGTTCTTTCAATCTTTAAAGCCAAGCGGCACTTTAAACGCTTATGTTTGTTATGATTGGTTGGCAGAGCTTTTTTTAGCCACCTGGTCCAATGACAACAAAGATGACGACTATTCCAAAAACCTCACAAGTTAAAATTCTATGTATTGCTTTAGTGTCTGCTAAGCTTGCCAGTCATTCCTTTCATTTAAAGAAGGCACATAAAAAGGCAAAACGCACAAAACAATAGCAATACAGACAGATTAGACCAGCAAGTGGTGTCATTTCTTTTTTTAAAGTTATAAGAGTCGATACAAGACAAGACACTTAACATGCGTTTCTCTATAATCAATGTTTGGGTCCATATTTACAAGGAAGACAAATGTATATGTAATATTACAGCCTAAATTGTCTAGTGAAGGGTACACCACCAGCTTGTCTCAAAGATGTAAATGGTTTGGAATGTTCTACAGTATAGGATTAAAACGTATCAATCTCTATGTTACCATGTTACAGGCTCTGTAGTTTTATAGTAATTTTAAAAAATCTCCTTAATTACATGCCAGAAATTGTTGAAAATGTATCACAAAGCAATGGGAAAATGCAGATGGTGGACCCCACAACCAGAAAAAAACTACATAGTGCACTTATAACTTAAACAATATGCTGCCTTGTAACTCGAAACACCACCAACAACCATAGGCCTAGTTATGGCTACTCTCTTCTGCGGGCTTTCTGAACATTTTTTGGTGCGTTTTCTTGAATGAGCCAAATCCTGTGTCGGTCTGTGTAGCCTCTTGTGTTACTCCGTCTCCCTTCTCGACACTAATCAGTTTGTTCTTAATGTCCAACTCGTCTTTGTTTTGTTTATTTTGCACTTCTTTTCTGTCTCCCTCCTCCACATCTTCATCCTCATTCAAATGGCTTAGACGCATTCCCTTCTCCTTGCTCAGCTTTTCTGTCTTGCTTTCGAGCGGATCCTTTCCGACCCGATTTGGCTTGGAGAAGATTATTTTGTCGTGGATGTTACAAGAGTCCCGGTTCACTGGCTCGTCTTTTTTCTGCAGCAGACTGGCCAGATACTGATGTGCCACCCGGCTATTGCCCTGGTCGCTTGTTTCAGCGGTATCTTCCAGACTGTAGCGGGTCCAGCGATCTGGGTTCACCAGATAATCGGGCACCCCTCGTTTTTTGGTGGGGATGGGGCTGTTTGAAGGAGGGTGGCTGGTTTTACGGCTGGGAGGAGGGGGCAAAGGTCGGGCAAATACGCCATCTATGACATTGTCCTGGCCCAAATTGGAGGACGTCATCTTGGCCATGCTGTCCAGGCAGTCGAAGATGCTGTGACTGCGGCTGGAGAAACTAGAGCTACCACCTTTGAGGCTGAAAGGATTGGTTTTTGGGGAACCGTCTTGACCGAGGTTTTCTACTTTGTTGTGGTCTTCCTCCTCATCCTCGTCCTCCGCGTCCAGCTCTGGGTCAAACGGTGCATTGCTGGGGGCCTCCTCTGGCTCAGACTCATCGCTGGCCGACAGCTCATTCTCTTCATCACTCTTCGGTGACTTACCATGTTTGTCGTCACACATTTTACCACAAGTGAATGTTGCCAAACGTCTAAGGGGCAAACAATAAAGGTATTAGAATACTGCAAAAAGAAACATTTACTATAAAACATGTTTGTTTCTATCATTTTGTTTTTATGAAGACTTCCCATCCCCAAAATTGAGACATTGTTGGTCCAGTTTAAGCTCCACTCAGACTACAGCAGCCCAATTATGTAGGAAGATTAATGTAGATTTACAGATTCCTTTTTTTCCCTCATTAATGATTATATTGCAGCCAACGACACAAGTTAAGAGGTTGTCATACAGAAAGATCCTTATTCTGTGTCAAATATGAAAATCGTTTGAATAGGGTTAACTTATGGCCGCGAATATAATATAAATATTAAAACATCTCATCGTCGGACTTCTATACATTGTCATGCTTAACATTTGAGACCAAATAGTAATAATAATGGTTCAAAAATGAGTTGTAGACATATTTGTGAAAAACAGTAAGATCTGTAGATTACTGTAGTAATGAAATAAAAATGTGTTGAAGGTGTCAACACATTTGCGTGTATGTGGGGCACAAGTGAATGGAACTAACCCATTTGCTTTCCACTTTATTTAGACTAATCTCGTGTATAAAACACCACATTTCGTGTGAACTCGTAGATGGGAAATTGTCACGTTTGGCAGTGACGTGCCTGTTTTTGTTTTGACGTTAGCTTGCTAGGTTAGCGTGCTAATGCTAACCACAGCCACATTGTGCGCTGCGAAGTCTGAAACCCGTCAAACGGTCAGATCCGCGACGCCCTGATACAAGGGCGATGTTTGCAGCGAACAATGCAGCTGCAACATGAGAGTGGTTGATGACAGATGGTCATCTTTTACCTTTTCGCTGGCACAACGACCTGTGCAGGTTGTGTCGCCAGCTACAGATTCTTCTACTGCTACAAAGCGTATGAACGGCACCAGACTAGACAACAGCTCCATCTGGTGGCATACACGAATATCACAAGGGTTGCGATTAATAGTAAAACGTGAACACCAGTTTAAATCATTATCATTACTTTGATTTTTACATCCCACCTTTCATTAGAGAAAATAGATATATTGATTTGCATTTTTAAAGTGTTGCTAACTTATACTCAGAGCTGTGACACTGCGCATGCTCCGTGTCGCTGTTATGACAGGCCAGTTTCACTTTGCTCCATTGGCTCAGCTCTGCAGACCGGGGAAAGTTTGAAAGTGAACTGCTTTGGGTGTGTGCGGTTTGGACATCTTTGGCACACGGACGTCTCTTTCGGCTCTGTCTGAGTTTGATTTGCCGCAGTCTGGTGCCAAAAGTGTCACTGGTGAGATCATGGCTGAGGTGGTGGTGTCGGATTTGGATTCATACGTTCACGTCGAGCTCGATATGGAAAACAACAACTGCGAAACCAGCCCCAACAACAACGAGGCCTCAGTGACCCAAGGTTTGAGAAACAAATATCCCACATGAAAAACCATTACGTTTTAAAAACAAACGCTGAAAACCGCGTAAATGCCTGTTTTTATTTATTGTAGTAACGTCACAATTCCTGCTAACATCTACTAGGGTGTTGATGTTTTACAAGCTGCAAAAAATAAAGACCAAATTATAATGCACTAGTAACTAATAATATGGTGGCTCTACTTTGTATTCAACCTAGTTCCACGCTGTATTACAATCTTTTAATTATGAGTTTAATTTTGTACACTACACACAATAATAAATGTGACTCTATTCTAATATTCCCCCACTGTGGCATAAATAAAGATTATCTTATGTCACCCTATAATACATAATAAAAGTTCCACTATAACTGAATATTTGTAAAATAACATTGCATATATATATATATATTTTTAATATAAATAATGTTAACCATTTATTTTTATTAGAATCAGATGTTTTTATTTCCATTGCAAGTAACAGGAAGTCACAATCTAGGAATTTGCTTTGGCTCAGTGCAAACAAGGTATAAAAGTGAAAATGTTTTTCTAATGAGCTTTTGGCCACAGCTCTGTTTGAGGATGCAGAGGAGGACGAGGGCAGTGAAAGCAGCGCAGATGACAGTGGCACGGACCCCTTTGGCACGGAGCAGTCGGGCACACAGCTGCAGAGATGTGAACCCAAATCACACTCCTGTCTCCCAGACACTTTTCAAACCAGCCACCTGCTCTTCTATGAGAGATTCAAGGCCTACCAAGACTATGTGCTGGGTAATATACACTAAAGGGCTTTGTGACACTGATCTGTGACAAGCAATAGTTTCATATGGCTCAAGTAAATGGAAGGGTACTAAAACCAGACTTCTTTTTTTGCTTTAGGTGACTGTAAGCCGTCTGAGGTGGAAAGCTTCACAGCTGATTATCTGGAGAAGGTGGTGGAGCCGTGTGGCTGGCAGGCCCTTTGGTGCACAAACGTCTTTGATGTTTTGGTAGAGGTATGTTTTTCTTTTAGTTTGATATTGATACAAATTGATATATGTAAGTATATACAGTAAATTGTCCCTCTCAAGGCAATGTGTTTTTTCCCTATCAGTGGCTTCGCTCTACTATCTCACATTCCTACTGGCCAAGGCCAAAGATTATCAGGTCTCTCTACACAACCCTCACTTGCTGCCACCAAGCTACGGATCCCCCCCTCCCCGTTATCCCCTACCTCTCCCTCCCTACCTCTCACTCCTTACTTCTCACTCCTTAATGTCTTTCCGGCTTACCCCGTCCCTGTCCCCGCCCCCTCTCACAGCCACATTGGGCAGGCGGCCGGAGGTGCTCATCCAAAGAAAAAATTCCGTGTTTTACACAAAGCACACTGTGTCTATCCAATTGTCTGTGAATCTGTGTTATTGCTCTCTGCTGTTTCTTGCTTGCACACAGCGCCGCAAATGGCGAAGTGGCACGCTCTCTGCCAAAATAATTTCCAAGTGGTAACTTTTGTTTGTTACTTACATGGCAATAAAAATGATTTTGATTCTGATATGAGACACTGCTGGGATCTGAGGTTCTGGGACATATACTGAGGGTGTAGAAACCATAACCATTCAAACTATTGCACTATACAGCACATTTGGACTGAAACTCGCTTTGTGACATCATCTCCTGTTCTTGTTATCTTCAATGTTGTGATTTTACTGTGTCTGCCTGTTTTTAGATAATTATTTTCTGCAAAACCAATTTCCCCAAGTGGGATAACAAAGATAAGATGACAAGCTTGGTCTCTTACTGTTCACATCACATTTTCCTTAGTTTATCTTTCTGCCTTCTCCATGGGCCTTTTTGTGACTTAATGTATTGTTGTGGTACCTGCAAATTACTTAATCAAATAAAAATAAATTGAATTAAATGAACATTTAATTATCTCAAAAACTAGTCTGAGTCATAATGTGCTTGGCCATGAAATATGTCCATTTAAGATGTAAAGAGGCATTTTGGCTTTACACAAAATGTGAAACTACTTAAACCTGCAAGATGGTCAAACATGCCAGTGTATCCATATCCTTTGGATATTGTTTTCTTCCCTCCTTTTATAACTTCAATACCAGCCAACAAAGGGATTTGAGAGAAAGCATGTCAGTGTTGTGTGTCCTTCTTCTTTTAACTGATTTGACCTAAAAATGAATGGGTAAGTCACAACTATCCTTTGCCCAAATGAAAATCCGGTCTAGCAGGTTTACATGAGGTTTGTCTGACACAATACTTGTAAATAAATGGCAGTTTTTATTTTCCCATTAAAGCAGTTAAAAATCTCTTCAATGTTAAACATAAAAATGTGATGTTTCAGTTTATAGAAGGGCCTCAGTATATTTCTGTTGAATTGCCAAATACTGCCTTTAATATTGTCTTTGTCAAAATCCCTAAAAAAAAATGTTATGTCCATTTTGCCCAGTCCTAGTTCAAAGGTACATGGCCTTGATCAGCATGTCTGTATGGCCCTGCTTAATTCAATTCAATATATTCTTGTATAGCCCTAAATCACAACAGTAGATATCTCAGAGGACTTTACACAATTGTTGAAATCGCCAACATGCATCAAAGAATCAAACGGTTCAAAAACAATAAATAAAACCGAGAACACATTGGGATTGGTTCAATAAGGGGCAGAGGACCAATGTCCATAAATGTCCACAAATGTTGAATGTTGAGTGTTCTGGATTATCACCACTGTCCTTTTAGTTAGATCCTCACATCTTGCAAGGAAAAACTCTAAAACCCAGTGGGAAAAGTGAGAAAAGAGCTGGGCCATGCATTTGTTTGTTATTGACATTTGTATTCCCATTTGTGTTTATAGGTCTGTGATGTGGACTTTAAGGAGCTGAAGGCCGTGGTGCGCCTGGTGTTGCCCATGCAGTGTGAGCCTAAAGGCTGTGATCTGAACGAGGACAACATGAAGTCAGTGCTGGAGGCCACTCGGCACCATGTTCCTCTGAAGGAGCTGCATGCCGTCTACGATGAGTCCGGAGAGTTTGATCAGACCGCGCTGGCTATCGAGCATCTGAGGTGGGCGTTACCGGCTACAAACATGTCCATGCCATGTGTTTCAATTTATTGCAAGTACAGTATATACAATAGACAGTCAAATATCACACAAAATAAGGGAGAGACCGACAAAGACTGTTTAGTCAGAGCTCTTCTTACTACAGTGGCCAGCGCAAAAATATGTTCATATCTATAACTAAGCCCACACTTTAAAGTGATAGTCTGTAACTCTAAATTAATTGTAGTAAATTGACCTCCTGGCCTTAAATGTTGATATAAAATAAGTAATTTTATTATTAATTCTAATATTACTGGAAAGTCCCGCCTTCCCTTCTCTTAGCTAAAGTTCAGAATCCACGATGCCGTCCACGTTAACCAATCGAGTCGTGCCAAGGGCTGTCAATCATCGGCGCTGATGCTCTCAGCTCCGCGCATGCTCAGTTGTTTGTTTTTGCGGATCCTCCGAATCAAGCCTCTATTAGGCTCTGGAACTGCATTAAAACTGAACAAAGAATTCTGAACATCCGCGCTGAGTTACCTTTGTATATACTGAACCTATATCCATAATCAGATCCTCTGCAGATGTGTCCTACAATATGATAATAGCTTCTTCCGGGTTTGCCGCGATCGTTTTTGTGTGCATTAAAACATCATTTTTTTCATGAAAACGTTAACAAATATTTCTGAAAACCTCCGTGCATGTGTATTAATAATGTATATGTATAAAGTGTTCTCTGATTAACATTTCAAAGTGTTACGGAAACGTAGGTGTAGACCAATCAAAAAGGAAGGGGGAGGGAGCTTGCGTCGTTTTTTTCATATCAAGTACCTCTCTGTCTCAGTTTCTGACAAACTCCAGACAATCACTTTAATACATGATCAAATAAATCAATAATGTTTTTGTACAGCTCAAAAGCAGAGAAACTTCAAAAAGATTGTCTGGAAGAAGGACAATCGCAAATTAAATAAGATTATAACTTTCGGCTTGTAAAGATAATTTGTAATGAATGTAAGAACATAATTCAATGTTATATTTTCTCAAAATATAATGTTAAAAAAAAAATTAACAAATGCAGAGCATGGCTAAACATTTGATATTTGGGGTTCGACCTTTTTGCTGGGCTATGCTTTTTTTTTTAAATTAACATTGGGTGTTTTCGGTTCACACACAATTCAGACAACACTTGTACTTGCTTCCCAGTTAAATCCCCACACAACATACCAGACAAAAACTTCAGTTAACATACAAAATGGTCATGTAAACACACAATTCAAACAGTTCAACCAATGGGATGTAGTAGTAAGACTATATTTCAAAATGTATGCAAAATAAAATGATATAAACAAGATACAAGATAAAATAAAAAAGAGACTCAAAATGAACAAAAATAAACAGTTTGAAAAGGAGGCTGGACAAAGCAGACACTTATTTGGCTCCAACCCCTCTCATTCATTCAACACAACCCGCACAATCACATGCACGCAACACAATCACACACACAACACACACACACTTGACACAATCGCAACACAACACAAGACAAGACTCAGGCCCAAACACTCTCTGACCACACACCTCCCACTACTCACTCTGGGCTGAAGTCCTCACTCCTCCACTTGCTTCTTCAGCACTTCGTCCTTGATCAGCTTTTTAAACTGACTCAGAGAATTCAATTTCCTGCTGTTTTTCTGTTTTTAGATTTTTCTACAACCACATCTGGAGGCAGTGGGACGATGAGGATGAAGATGATGACTTTGATTACTTTGTCCGATGTGTAGAGCCCCGCCTCAGACTGTAAGTAGTTGTACACCTCCTACATTTTGCTCACTCCTGATGCACCTTTTTTATATTTTACTTGCTTGTTTTTAGCTACTACGACATCCTGGAGGACCGGGTGCCATCGGGTTTGGTCGTGGAGTACCAGACGTTATTGAACAACTGTTCCAAAGTTTTCCAACGCTTCTCCGTCCTGCGCATGAGCGGCGACTCGGACTCTGAACTGGACAACGTGTCGATGGTGGAGGGCTTTAAACTCTGCGACCAGCTGGAAACCTACAAACGCAAGCTCCAGATCATCGAAAATCCCTTATTGAGGTAATTTACAACAGCGATTCCCAACCAGGGGTACAGGGGCCACCAGAGCATTACACTTGCTTGAAAGGATTTTTTTTAAATTGCGAACATTGAGGGTTAGAGTTTAATATGGGCTTCTATGGCATGTTATAAATTGATTTAAAAGGTTATTTTCCTCAAGACCAACGACATAATTTATTATAATCTAAACATTGAAGCCAGAACACAATAATAATAAGTTAACTATCATTCTAGAATAATAAGCCCTTTTTACTTTGGTCAATCTCACCAACTAATTTTGTTAAGAAAAATCAAAATTCAATCATAATGTTTAACAATAAAATGAAGCAAAGAAATGAATAGTCATGGCCCATAAACACATGTTCCACATAGAAAATGCTTGAGACCTCGATACAACAGTAAAGACTAATAATGACTGCCGTGGCCCCGGCCCGAAAACAAGGTTTTCGAGACTCAAACATTCCTGAATGCGTTGCAGTTTCTCACGTAGCTCTGCTGTTTCAGGTATGTTCTCGGGTACAAAGGTAACGCCAGGCAGCAGTGCGTGGAGAGCCGAGGCCTCAGAGACTCTGGCCTGAAGGTGGTCCACATCGTCACCTCCTCGTGCTCCACTGTCCAGCTCCAGTCCCTCCTCAATGACAGACTGTTGCCCATGTATTCTAATGAGGACACAGAGATCAAGGTGGGTCAAAGATTAGGTAAAGCGCACACATCTGCAGTTCTTTCAGTACTTCAAGGTTTATCTTTCAAATCCCTCGCTCCCCCAAACACAATACCGAGTGGATTACAGATAGTATTGTTTTGGCATGGGCGATTTGTTGATGTTGGCCAATAATTAGCTATATTATTACATCGCCAAGGAGTAAGGGAATCATCTTTTGAGGTGATCTGAAATTCTTTTGATGGGATGTTATGTTCGGATTACCCGTGATGATTTATAAACTTCACAAAAAAGAAAATTTACATTTGAAGGAGCTTGGTGTAAAGCTGCTGCTCCTCCACAATGTCATTAGTCAATTTAGGGAATATCCATCTTATCCAGGACAAGGTGGAGGAACTATATGTCAACGGCCGTTGTATATTCCTGCATGAGAGATGTGCATGTGTGTTAGAAAACTGTGTGTTTCGGCTTAGGCTGCTGCCAGTGTGATCTGGCAACACATACAGCGGAAGTATACGAATGGATGAATGGAGGATTTTGAATAAATAACCAAAATAATGTATTTCTATAATTCTATTCTATATCAGCATTTCTGGCACTGGATACAGATTTGTAATTTCTCAAATAAAGACAAAAATCTATCTGTTTTTCCATAAATGTTTTATTGCTAACTATTGCCAAATTCAACCCTTTTTATCCTAGTTTTATAGCGACCCAGTGTCTGCTGTGGACTCCTGTCATGAGGGCGATGTGGTCATAGTTCTCCCAGGCGTCTACAACGTCACCAGCTCCATAAACCTTCCAGATTCCATCACAATGGAAGGTAATATTCAACTTTAATGCAAGAACATATTCTTGCATTTTGCAGCTTTGTTTTACTCTTTGCAGTTTATTGACTCCTTGTTTTGTGTTTCTAGGCTTTGGTCTGCCAGATGAGGTTGTGATTGAGAAGAAAGGCAAAGGAGACTCGTTTATTGAATCCACTGGAGCAAACGTCAAAATATCCAACATCAAGTTTATCCAGCATGATGCTATCGAGGGCATTCTGTGTGAGTGTCATTCAGTTGTTTTTGTTGTTCGGTGACAACAGTTGAAACAATGATTTCGATCTTGCAATAACATATATTTAAAACACACTTTTTAAGGAAGTACAGTATATGGTGAGTGGCAAGTAACAGCAACTAAAACTCACATAATACTTCTTTGCATTACAATTTTAATTGTACTGGCCCCTGATACTTACAGATAATACATTAACCTGTGTTGAAATTGTTTTTATGTCAATTTCCAGACCACAAAAAAATAACCATGTAATAAATACGATCCAACTAGCTCCTCTCTCTCTCAGTAATCTGGTTTTAGTTTTCACATGCATGCATTTTTAGCCTTTGTCACAATGCTTTTAGGCAGGAAACTGAAAAAGAGAGGATCAATTAGCTTTCAGCCCAAATGGTAAAATCCGGACTCAAAGTTCAAGGTTCAACTTTATTGAGCCCCTCTGGGAAATTTGTAAACACGTTTACAGAAAAAGGGGATACATGAGAGACCAACAAGGAGACTTTTCAAGTTATCGCCTTTTATTGAGCAGATAGATAGATATTTTATTGATCCCCGAAGGAGAAATTCAGGTGTCCAGTGGCAGGAGAAACGCCTCCATCTGTACAAACAAAACAAATAATAATTCTAAAAATAGCTAACAATATTATTAATATGCAACAGCACTTTATGTCACGGCAGCAGAGGTGGTGTTGCCGCTAGAATAGTGATAGATGCTGGGATAAAAGAACATTTACATCTGTTGCTTTTAGCATTGTGTCACAGCAACTCACAGGAACTTACAAGAATGTGAAAGATGACATGTTTTCTCATAAGAGAAAGACTGCGTGGGGTGGTCAGTTTTGTTCCCTACATTTTACTTAAACAAGACACTTTCTGCTGGGCCAAACTTCTATTATATATGGAAACAAAAAGTTGAACTGTCAGTAAAGGTCTTAAGAGTGTTAGTGTTGTTTTGTCGCGTAGGTGTGCGTCAGGGGAAACTCTCCATGGAGAACTGCGTGTTACAGTGTGAGACCACCGGTGTCATCATCAGGACATCCGCTCATCTGACCATGAATATCTGTGATCTTTATGGATCCAAGGTAACATTTACACGACAGTATTGAGCTGCAGCAAGTTTAATAACAAGTTTAAGATTGATCGCAACTATACAAAATATTTTTAATCAAATAATCCAATGTGTATATTGTCATTTCTATGAAGAGGTCCTCTTAGGGCATTACTGGAGCTTTGATTTGTCCAATGTAGAAAAACACATTCACTGAGCTTTTGGGATCCAAACCAATCTAATAATTTAAAAGAATAATTATCCAACTATCAGTGATATTTTTGAAAATAATAATTCATTAGAGCCCTATTGGAGAATTACTTTATGGTGTTTATGGTAATGTCTCATGGATATAGTGAGACTAAATCAAATCAAACCTCTAGAAAACCAACTTTTATGTGTGGCATCTATTAAGTCTATGTTTCTGTAGGGAGCTGGTATTGAGATCTACCCTGGGAGCGTGTGCAGTCTGATTGGAAATGGCATTCACCACTGCAAAGATGGCATTCTCATCAAGGTGAGTGTCCAGCATATTTTAAGCAACACTGTAATTTCAGTTACACTTTTCTTTGTTTTTTAATACTTCTATTTAACAGGACTTCACTGGTGAGCATGATGTCCTGCCATCCATCACAATGGAAAACAATGTCATCCATAACAATGAAGGCTATGGAGTGATTGTGGTGAAGCCCAGCGCTGGGGACGACCAGGTCGTTCCTCTTGACAAGATTGAAGGTAAGTTTTGTCTTAATTCCTTTTTGTAAATTGCTCTGACGTAATATGGTTCAGAAACTTCATTGACCAGAGATGTTTTGTGAAACTGGGAGGAAAGATTGAATTCCACATGACCCTAACCAATGTCGTCCAAGCAAGATTTATAGCCTTTTTCCTCTTCAAATGTCTTTTTGTTTCTTTCAAACCACTAAAAATGAACGATGTATTAAATTCCATCCTTTAATACATAGTTTTCACATTTATGTATTTTTGTGTAGTTTTCACATTTATGTATTTTTGGCCTCTGGCACAGCATACCAGATCAGCTTTTACAGACCGAAAACAGAAGACCACCCTCACAGCCAATTCTAGTAATTTTTTAGTACAATCAAGACAGCTGTTGATGTTATGTGGTTCATAAATTATACTTATGGAAAACTTTGTTGGGAGAAAGAAATGCGTATACAGTATTTTCCAACCTCCATAATATTTTAATGAAATCTTCAATCTGCATTTATTTTTTGCACTCTCGCTAATTGATGTTGTTACTACCACTCAATAATTTGTATTATTCTATTTCCCAGAAAACTGCATCAAGTTAGTAGACAAAGCAGCAGGACCAGTCCCTGAGCCTCAGATCTCCACCACGTATGCGTCTCCCTCAGAGCAGCCCACCGGAGAGGGCAGCCATGGCCATGACGGCGACCTGCTCGCTGCCTCCGCCCGGAAGTGGCAGTGGTGTCGCCAGCTGAGCCGCAGTAAAGAGGCCACGTGCAGCCGGCCGGTCCAGGACCTGCTGGAGCACCGCATCTTTGTGTCCATCGGGGGAAACCAGTTTAGGCGCAATGGGATGGGAGACTTTGGCACCTTCATCTGCTGAGCTGTACCGCCTCCCTTTCCTCTGTCTTTCACTCCAGTCCATACAGTTTGCTCCTGCGTATGTAAATATAATGGTACTTCTGCTCCGGGTTGAGATTCGCTTCACTATAGCCATATTTTGCATCCGCACTCGTGAACTGAGCCTTGACGAGAAATGATGCAGAGACTGTGCAATTTTCACACATGCTTTTATCTTATTTATTTCTGTGGGCTAACAATACATCTGACTTTTAAAAAAATGTTTTAAAAAAGTTGCTTTGGAGAACACTTGTCACTTTGAAATCTAATTTAGCTGTCTTACATGTTCGAGGGTTTGTTCATAACGTTGCACTGAATATGACACAACAGGAAAAGGTTCACTTTTGAGTTTTTGCTGGGGTTTTTTCAACATCACTGGTTTGTCTTTTAATTGATGTTTTTATGTATTGTTTACAAGCCCAAATAAAACCCATCAACTTGATTTTATTAGAAGTAGAAATGTGAGAGATGAAGTTTCAATGTATTTTCTTATTAGTAAAATGCAGCATTTTTATTGAAAATGTACTGAAATAAAGGCCATACATCGAACAGTTGGAAAAATTGATAGAAATAAACAGTATAACACAGTATTTAGATGTTGATCCACGTTTTTGTTGAAACCATATCATGTAGCATTTGGACATTGTTTCTTGTTTAGGCAAATACAGATTTGACAAATATTTGTACCGTGAACTCATTAATCCTTTGCGTACCTTAACCATTTCGTGGATCACCTTTTGAGTCACTATATTTACTTGAAGCTTTGACCTGAAATCTACCTCTTTGGGGCATCTCACTTGGTTTTAGGCACTTTTACCATCAAACTGCATCTGAACTATTTGGTAAAGGCCTATAATTAAAAACGGTACAAACGGGTTATTAGTGGTAAGTCTTAAAATAAATTGCATATTGCTTTCTTCAAGGAGTGAAAATTAAAGACTTAAAGTGGCCATGACGTCCATATGTTGCATCTGGTCTCAACAAAATTAACTTCACATGAGTAATTTGGTGAAATGCTGAAATGCAAATCTGCAAAACCCCACTTTAGGATACTTAAGCTGGGTTACTTATCTTTCAAACCACACGCAATCAATTTCACATGCTCCTTGCTCTCAACAGTTTGGTTCTATCACTCAAAGATCAGATTTGTGGCCTTTAGACAGATATTTCAGACAGAAAAGTGAAAAAGAGTGCACCACCCAAAGAGTCAAATAGTGACTCAAAACTAAGATTATGTGGAGTTCATCTCCTAATCTGAGCAAATTCACGTTTTCCTTGACTTTTAGGAGAAATAAAATTAATTCATTGTTACAAAGTCGGTGACAGCTTTCTTGAAAGTATCCTACAAAGTTAATGCACCCCTAATGTCTGCTGCCGTTGTGTCCTTGGGCAAGACACTTAACCCCACTTTGCCTGCAGCACCCTTGAAAGCTCGAGTCTATGCTCTCACCGACAGAGCAGCCATCCCTCCTGTGGACTCAGCACCTGCACCAGATCAGTCAGGGGCTGGTTCTCTGTGAATTGGGTGCAGCTGACTGCTCAATACTACAAATACTACAAATTCTCTGCTAGAGTGATACATAGTTTTTCATGTCGAGTTTGCGAATCTTTTAAAATGTATTTTATATAATACATACTGCCAAAAGTATGTTTAGATTCCAGCAATAAAACAGTTCACATAAGGTTTAATACATTTTCCTATGCAAAGTTACACCAATAACAAAGAGAAACAAAGCTAAAGGCACAGTACATAAATCAACATAAGGTGCTTTTGCATATGCACACGATCGTATACATGGAAATACATTTGCACGAGACCACTGCAGACGCCACACCCTCTTCACAGTCATCTCTCACTCAAGTATAGGACTGTTATGTTCAGCTGTCTGGCATGTGAGAGCAAAAAGCACAAAACATGATGAGAATATTAAAAAGATTTAGAAACATGATCTGGTTCCAGTGCATTATTCTTACGTAATTCTGTACACATGAGGCAACATCATGTATGAGTGCAATGTTTTTTGAATAATACCCACTTAAGGCAAAGTCTTTCGGTGTTCAAACAGGATAGTAGGATCTTTATGTAGAAAAAATATGAAAATGTTTGTTTTTTTCCTGTGAAAAAGGAAATATACTCCGGTGTGGGCTTGATTGACAGCTGTAGTCCAAATGTCTTGTGAAATGATGTTGGCAGGTATTGTCCTCGATGACCTGATTCACTGGTCGTCGTCAGAGCTGTGCGTCAGGCTGCTCTCCTGCACCTCCAGCTCCTCTGCGTTCACCATCTCGGGGCTGATGGCCGCGTACCTAGTCCCGTGGAATTGTCTCAAGTGGATCTGTGGTTACAAGACACCGCATTAGTCCACAAGCTTCTTTCACAGCTTTCCTAAATGAGTGGACCCCCAGGAAGAGTAGCGACCAGTTTTGGAAGCTAATAAAGGCAGTGTTTTTTTCCTCTAAAACTATCTATTATCATCTAATTGCTCCAAATAATGTGCGGAGAATAAAACAAATTACTGCGCTTGTTTGATTTCCTATATAAACACATAAGGAGATACAATAAAAAGAATATGCGTCTACTCTTGATGAAGTCTTCCTCCTGTTCCCACTTTTCCCACCCCTGACACCGTGTCAAACTCATTCTGGTCAGGGGCCGAATTAAAAACAATAGGAACTGGTTGGGGGCTGAAAGAATGGACATTAGAATGAACATTATGAAGGTATTTTGACATCACAATTATGTGACATGAGTTTCACTATCATTTTCTGGTTGCTTTTTATGAAAACAAAATGTGTTTATTGATTAGATTTAACTAAAACTGGGCCAAATATAAAGTTAAACACATTGTTTTATATTGAAGTATTTAACTTCTGATGATTTGTTGGCTTAAAATGTTAGAATAAAAAAAACATGCCTTGATTGCCCATAACCATCAAGTTAATAATAATATTTGAAATCATATTAGGGGGCACTAAAAATGGTTTTTGGGGGCCATATTTGGTATATTTGATTATTCATCACATGTATTTGACAGTACCTGTATGTAGAGATTGACCTCAGCACTGCGGCACAGGTAGGGGAAGTTTCCTCCGGTCTTTAAATGTGCCCTCCTGGCGTTAGGATACAGCTTATACATCTCCTCCTTTGCTTCTGACGACAACGCACTCTGATCAAAAACCTTAAGATGAAAAAAATAATAATCAACTGCTATCACCGCATCTTAACAGACAAGAATGAGTGCATTTAATTGGACTTCATGACAAGTAAATAGTTATTAAGGCAAACTTACATCTATAATGGTCACAGCAACGTCCTTGATTTTGTGCGGCTCCACATAGGAGTTCTGGCAGTTCAGAGTCAGCCGAGAGGCGAGTTCGCTTTGGTTTAGGGTTTCCAACTGTGTGACATAAGAAAAAAAAACATATATATATAAAATAACAAATAAAACAAACTACAAAGGTTGCTAACCTTATATCGTCAGGTATAGAACAACCCAATACTTTTAATAACAAAATAAAGTGCCTCTGAAATCTGCAACGAATCTCATACATCTTTAACTCTGCAGCTCTCATCATCACCCGGACCCACCACATCACCCCCGTACTCCGACAACTCCACTGGCTTCCTGTTAAACAACGAATCAATTTCAAAATACTCCTCACCACTTTCAAAGCACTTCACAACCTGGCTCCTCCGTACTTATCTGACCTCCTCCACCCTGCCACTCCTGCCCGCACACTCCGCTCCTCCTCCACTCTCACACTCTCCGTCCCCCCAGCCAAACTCATCACTGTGGGACACAGAGCCTTCAGCCACTCTGCCCCCCAGCTCTGGAACTCTCTCCCCCCTGACCTCCTACCATTGACTCTGTTCCACTCTTCAAATCCAGACTCAAAACCCATCTGTTCAGACTGTCCTACCCCATCTAACACACACGCACCCACCATTCCGTATTTCACTTGACTACTGTTTTATTCTGTTGATCCTGTTTTTAATGTTTTTTATTATGTCCTGTACAGTGTCCTTTGGTGTCTAGAAAGGCGCTTTTAAATAAAAAATGTATTATTAAGTGAAACTTCACCAAAGATGGTGACCATGAAACTGGACTCAAAAGCTGATCTTGAAACCTGGTTTTATTCCCACAATAAAAAAACGCTAACAAGGAGCATTGCAACTAACTTGTCGTTAACCACTGTTCATAAAATAATTAGGGTCTGATTCTGAATCGAGGACATAGGGCTCTAAGTGACAAATCGCCATTGTTGAAAAAATTTATATTTTCAGTTCTGAAATAACTATGTACCGTGAGGCTACGTCACCGCACGGGTGGAGGGAGGCGGGCTCACAGGGGAAGGAGCAGAGAACCAGTCGTTATAATTGAGGTGACATCACCTCTATGCAAGAAGGGGCAATAATTTCACATGTTTTGAGTGTTGTATTGTCCATCCATCGATTTTCTTCCCCTTAATCCATTTCTGGGTCAGGGGGGTGGCAGTCAGAGCTGCACCCAGTACACAGAGCACCAGCCCCTCACTGATCCTCCTGCAGGTGGCGAGTCCACAGGAGTTGAGATCTTTCAGCGGGGGCTTCAGGCAAAGTGGGGTTGAGTGTCTTGCCCAAGGACACAACGACAGCAGACATCCGTGGGAGTCTTGAAGTAGGTCTTATGATGGGCTCGAACCCACGACCTTCAGGCTCAAAGGCCAATGCTCTACCAACTGAGCCACAGGCCCCGTGTTGTATTGAATATCACCCAAATTATTATCACAAATGTGCTTAGACTGTAAAAAATGAAGAAGTGTGACTTATGGGACCTTTAGAACCAAAAGACTAAGCTTTCAACTCACTCTATCAACCATAAAGTCAATAGCGTCTGCCATCTTTGGATCCACGGGTCCTTTAGCGAAGTTTCCCAGGACAATCTTCTTCAACATGAACGCTGGCATTAGCCAAAAGCTGCACAGAGAAGACAAAAGCATGTTTAAAAGCTACTGTTAACATATTTTAAATGGTAAATACTGTATGTAAGCTGTGAGACCTGTTGGCAGTCCATGTGTGGTTAAAGATGGAAGTGTCACTGAAGGAATTGCACAGAACGAGAGAGTGCACCCTCGGAGACTTGTGCGTTGTCTCCGCAAACTTCTGGGCCAAGAATCCGCCGAGGGACGCCCCAAACAAATGGACCTACACATGAGGAAAGCGTAGGTGAATATTAAGTGAATGCATTAATAAAACCAGCGACACACGAAGAACAGCGGCTCACTTTATCTAGTTGGAGGTGATCGAGCAGCTTCCGGAAGCCGTCACAGAACTCCATCAGGTCCCAGTAGATGGGGTACTGCAGCTGCAACACAAAACCACACATAAACGTTAGCTCAATATGGTCATTTCAATGGTTTTACTAAAGCGGGTTAATCATTCAAGGCTTTTTCCAAGACTGCAGGTCTAACTTTAGAGCAAAATCGCTGCAATCATATGAAAACATTGCAATGGTTTTTAAAAATCTATGCATTCCCAGAAGCTCAAACAGATTACCCCAGACTCCAGACAGAGGACAGGTCCAATACATTTAAAGCTGAGGTCACTTTTAAACTTCGTGTTATAGACAAATTCTAATATTATTTGTCAAACAGTCAGCACCACAGTCTGTCAAACTGGTTTGTAGAAACTATCTCTGCAGTTACTGGGCCCAGTTATCCTTTCCCCTTACCTTCTACACAGTATGGTATTAGTAATCAGTTTGAACAAATATAGTACAATATAGAACAATTAACTTTAAGTACACTGCAAACAATGATAAAATATGAAGTAATAATTGCTTGAATCAAGGGATTTGTTTCTTAATTTGAGAGGACAAAATCATTTAGTCTAATTTCAAGAACTGCCGCTTTATTTTCGCATGTGTATCTTTTTAAAAACAAGATAATTTTGCTCTGTCCCATTGACAAATCTTGTTTTAAGACGGTCAGAATGTGCTCAAAGTAAGATACATTTTACCAAATTGGAAACATTTTGGACTTACTTTTCATCCCTTTTTGCAAAGTATTTTCACTTTAACCTAAAATTCCACGCCATGAAGTTACCATTAATGATTTGAAAATCTTAGTCACAATCGCAATTATCCCGTGCCCTACATGTCATAACGCAGTCGTTTTGACGGAAAACATTTTTTAAGCTATATAAAGGGGGTAATAGATGTGTGTGTGTACTGGGTAGATTTCAAAATATTGGCGTTATCCTAATTGCTCCCATCTTTTAAGCAAACTAGATGATCTTCCAGCGAGTATATGGCTCATGCCTCGGCCCAACTCTGTATCCATTATGATGAAGCAGCAGGAAGGCGCATAAGAAGAGGGCAGGGGGTGGAAGCAGTGATGAGATGAACTGTGGGTGAACTGTGCGTGGTTTTAACAGCAGCTTTTACTTCTTCTGTGTTGAGCTGTGGAGGGTGAGTCAGACTGGAGTGGGCACAGTAGAATGTAACAACTGCCCTATAACAGAGACATCTACTTTGAACCAGGGCTCTAATCGCCACTAATCGATTATTGAAATGGTAAAACCTAAATTAGTAATCAATACATATTTTTTTTAACCTTGTATAGACTTTAACATGCTGAGAATGTTAAAGGATGTTCACTCCCATCCAGCGACTGTTCCACCTGCTGCTCTCGGGCCGGAGGCACAGGTCACTCCCTCCTTGAACCAGCAGAATGGCCAACAGCCTCTACCCCCAGGCTGTCAGACTGTTAACATTAACTTTTTACATTTCTATGCTGATGAGAGGTTTATGACTGCAGAATGTGGTTTAAAGGTTTATGCAGAGAATAGATTGCATTTACATGATTCAGAATGATGATATTGTGTCTATTATCTCACAAAGTGCTATTTATACCATTGCAGAAGAATAAGTGTAGGCTTTTTTGTGTGAATAAGATGTGAATACTGAAAATGAGCTCCATCAATGCAGTCCTGAAACCAATCCCATCCATCCATCCATCCATTTTCTACCCTTTAATCCATTTCTGGGTCAGGGGGGTGGCAGTCAGAGATGCCACCCAAGTCTCATAGCACCAGCCCCTCACTGACCCTCTGCAGGTGGTGAGTCCACAGGAGGACGGCTGCTCTCTGAGTGTGAGCATAGCCTTGATCTTTCAGCGGGGGCTTTGGGCAAAGTGGGGTTAAGTGTCTTGCCCAAGGACACAACGACAGCAGTCATCAGTGGGAGTCAGAGAAGGTGTGGAGGTGGGAATTGAACCCACTACCTTCAGGCCTGAAGGCCAGTGCTCTACCAACTGAGCTACTGTCGCCCCCTTGAAACCATTTTGCCATAGTCCCAAATTTCTATGTTTTGGATTTTTTTTTTTTGTGGGGGGTGGACAACATATTGAACAATGGATTTTGTTTTGCTTTAAAGTATGTATACTTTAAAGCAAAATAAAATGATTTAGATAAATAAATGATAAATCGATAGATAGATAAATATTAGCCCAGGCTCCCAGAGGAGGCTGCACTGACATTGAGGTTGAACTTCCAAGTCGGGGACCACAAAACCTCTTCACAGGCTGAAAGTTGTTTTTGCCTTTGATAATATTATTATTATTCATAATGACTTATATACAAACATTAAAGTACATAGACATTAAAATAGGCAGACAAGAACAGACATGCACTTCTATTGAAACTGTTTTTGTTGATTGATTTCACATTTAGCTAGTTTTCTGAGATTGGAACGCAACTTCAGTTATCATTTTGGTTAATCATGTGTGGCTAAAATTCACTTTGGTGCCGGGAGTTCTGAGGGAGCCCACATAGAGGGGAGCGGGCTTTAAGGATGCTAGTGGAGAAGGCCTTGTCACATTGTCCTTTTGTTTTCTGTTGGTTCCTCTTCCTGTGGAAGGTGTGTCTTATCTCCTGCTATACTGCTTTGCCGCCTGACTAAGGTCAGACATGTTTCTGGACACGAGACTGAGCTGAACTGTGCTCTGTTCTCTTCAGGCATGTCTCCTTGGAAAGGCAACCAAGTGATCAAGAATGCCTGAACTATTGTCTTTTGTCCATGCGATTTTGTCAGGAAGGACTGTAAATTACAGCATTAACATTTTCTTTTCTATATTTGACTTGCGCACACAGGGGCACTTTTGCACATGTGTTTCAATGTGATTTTATGACAAATGGCGAATAAAATGAATCTAAATCTGACATAATATCAACATTGAGATCCTGTTTGACTCACTGAGATGACCCTGTAGCCCCAGCCGGTCAGAGCCAGGACTTGCTGGAAGAAGACCTCTGCTGTCCCGCTGACTGGAGGGAAGAGGATGATGGGACAGCGGATGCTCTTTGGCCCAGCGTCGTACAGAGACCACACCTTACTGTCATCGTCGTCCACAATGATCTGAGGAGTGCAGAAAAATAGAGTTGTAAAGATAATGACCCAAATACCATCATTTTTCAACAAATACTGAAAAAACCCATAAAAACCATGCTTACTGCAGGGCTACATAACTTTAGTCACTATTTGAATTATTGGGCAGACAGTTTACTGGCCAAGTGAGGGTGGTCCTCCTTTGGCACTTTTCTGTCTAAAAAAACTGATGTGAGCCAAAGAAAAAACGCAAGTTTTAAAACTAGTAATAGAACTACACTGTTTTGAGCGTGAGGAACATTCTTTCCTACAGCTACACTGTTTGAAAGTAAAGTACCTCAGCTATAATTGACTTGCCATTATCTTAACTTTAAGCAAGGCCAGTGCATAGTTATTCTATATATTTAGATCCAGAAAAGCCTGAGCAATGTCATCTGATGTCAGAGATTTCTCAAAAGCAGTAATTTAAACCCTTATTTCATTTTTCATGTCATGTTTGAAGCCTATACATACAGTAATCTAATAAACTGAATAATCTATATATTTATTTGCGGCTCTTATTAGGTGTAACAGCCACTATTGTACATTTTGTGTGCTCCTTGTGTGTTCTTTTGTCCTGTACAAATACGGATCTCACGTATCGCTTATTCCTGAATATACTAACACAACGTTACACTTGCCTGTCCAAGTCTATAATATATTGGCTGTGACTCTACCAAACATATTTAATACAGAATCATACTTTTTTTCAAAGAATTCCACTTGAACAGATATGAACAACTACATTTAAATAGGCACCCAATTGATTTTGATATGTAGCCATTTCTTTGTCATGTAAGCCTGACGTAGTAACAATATCACCATATAGGATTTATAGATGTATTTTGGATGTATTCTCCTTCATGGATCTCTATAGTCCCTACAGTCAAAAGTTGTCTAAAACATATATATATTTCCAGAATTGTTTGTTTAAAAACTACAAATCTGGGGCTTCAAATCCAAGGTGCCAGTAATATTTAGATTAAGATTAAAAGATCCTTTTTTCGTCCCACAGTGGGGAAATTTCAGTGGGAATAGTAATGAAGAGCACACAGCACAAGATAAATGAGTAACTATACTAATTAAAATATAGTAAAATCTATCTCTAGCATCAAATAAATAAGTATAAAATCTCTATATTTAACATAATAAATAAGTATAGAATCTCTGTATACATTTGAATGATGTCACCTTTAGACCCAACAGCGAGGTCACCACATCATCACAAACTTCCTCCACACCAGCCAAATGTAAACATGTGATTGCGTGACTGTCACAACTCCTGAGAATCATGTGTTTGTATAGTGAGAAAAGCCTACATTTAAAAACACGACTCTACAAAGAGACCACATCAACATTACCGGGGGAAACGAGTTGCCTCTGAGCCCTGGGCCAGCAGCTTAGCATAGTACTAGTGCCATAAAGGAACAAGAGCAGCTATTGATCCAACTGCCATGAGTGGAGAGTAATGTGGGAGAAGGTAATGCAATGAGGCCAGCACGAAAATGCAATTGACTCAGAGAGGAAGTGGCCACATGTTATAGTGCAGTGGTTATTAGTTGGCACCTTGATGTGGCCTTGGGGAGCTTGAAAGTTATCTGAATTATATTGGAAAAATCCTCATTACCATTTTGCTCAGTTTGAGAATAATTCCAAATGACTACTTTCAAACTTAACCAGTAGATTGAATAAAAACCAAGTCATTGTTTTGACGTTTCACTTCACAGCATTCAAGGGGACAGGTAAAAAAAGAACAATTATGTCTAATTTGTGTTTTGTTTTCATGTTATATTTTGTATGTATACAATTTTGGAATAAACATGTAGAATTACAACTATTTAACCATGTTTGTGTTTGACAATTCCCTTAAATTGCACATGTAAGACCCTCAAAAGTGGACGCAAGTCTGTATATTTGTATTTTAAAACTTTTGCAATGCTTTGAAACTACTATCCACTTTTGTCCAGAAGTCATGCGCCGCCCCAAATCCTTTAATACACACTGCTCAGGAATGCCTTTTGAGATAGTAGAGTCACAAGACTTTTAAAGCAACCTTTTAGTTAATTCAATCACTTGTAATTCACACCCAAATAACTCCTCTTTGCACTGACATGTACAGCAGTTGTAAGGCAAATGAATATTATTGCAAAAGGGAACTAACTTACCTTTTTCAGTGGCACTGTACTCCTAAACCAGTTATAGTCTGGAGACAGTTTGATCTCCTCCATCTGCAGATATAATACACAACCATGCGTCAAAACATTGGTTAACATGTGGTATTAGCTAGTTTAGTTCCTCAGAGTCAGATGAAACATACTGTAGTGGTTATAGCTAGCTGTCAAACCAACCAAATACTATGGTCCGATGTGACCACAGTGGTTCGGAAATGACCAATTATGAGCCAAAGCAAATTCACTGTGTCAAATTGCAATGTTACCGTTTTCGCCTTGGATATTAGTCGAATTTATCCATATCTATGAAGCATTTTCCTTTGGCTCCTGCGGCTGCTGCTGGGTCATATGACTCCACTTTTAAGAGAGGACTTCCGCGTAGACTCTTCTGCCTTTTCTGTTCCGCGAATCAAACACAAAAAAACCTCTATTGACCCCACGGGCAGCAGACAAACAGATTGTCACATGTTAATCTGAATAAGTTAGCAAAACGCATGTGTAAACTATAAAATGCTAGTAGCTTTACCGTCTGCGCTGTTTGGGACAGTCTACATCCAGTGCGCATGCGTACGTCTGCCTGTCCTCCATGACGGCTGCAGTACCGATAGTGGGCGCACGATGACGCTATCATTTTACATCGTAAGTATTGTATTTTTTTTCTCTTTATTTATCCTTCCCCTTCCCTTGTTGGGGCCGTTGACTATCATCTATGCTTTGAGCTCATTTAGACTTATTTTCTGATCCACTCCGGAACAGAAGGTGGCGTAATGCTCTATCACTTGGTTACCAACCGCCGTAAACCCCAAAGAAGAAGAAGAAGAAGACGATTTTGGACCGTAGAAGAAAAGCGGAGTGTAAACAACATGGCGGTCATTCAGTATCATGGATCTATAATAATTCAGTATACGTGATGAATACATTTTATTAGCATTTATATTTGTAAAGTAAAATGGCTAATAATAACCAGTTTCACACTTCGGATGCACCTCCACCTCCCGGGTTTAGTAATGAGTATGTCCAAAGCTCGTACAACAGACCTCAGGTGCCAGCACAAACCATGCCTAGCACATTCGCAACGGGTACGCTTCTTATATTACTCAAATAGATAGTGCCTTGTCTTTAGCATTGTGCCAGTTAAATGTAGCTCTTTTGTGACCAAATTAATGACTGTGATTGTGGGATAGCGTTTATTTGTCAGACATAAAGTGGCAGACCAAAGTGTACAACGGAATTATTATGCAATCCTTTCTAATGTTAATATATATATATATATATATATATATATAAAAATCCACTGAAACTATATTGTGCACGTTAGACGTGCTGTGGTTCCTGCATGTTGATCGGAACAGTTCCAAAGACTAATCATGCAAACGATCCTAAACGTTTTGCTTATTTTGTTTTTCATTCTTTCGATCAAAAGATGAACTGTATCGGATCTTTATCTAGTATTTTGTGCATTGGAGTTAAAGGTTGTATAAAGAGGAATAGTGATATCAATGTATTGAGAAATTTAAAAAATAAAAGTTCAAGAAGTAGTATGACAGCATTATCTTTTATATGCATAAAGCTAATGCATAGGATTCCTGTTTGTTAGTTGCTACAACAACAACAAATCTCACCTGTCATTTTTTTCTACTAGGAGGAAATCCCGGTTCTACTTGGAACTTCTCACAGATGTCTTTTCGACCACCATTTCCAGGAACAGGGAATCTTGGTGCCCCTCCTGTGCCTTTTCCATATGCCCCTAACCCATCCCTCCCTCCACATCAGACGGGATACCAGCCACTCGCACCTCCAGGTGTCCCGTCTTCTTCACCTGCTAGTCATCCAGGCGGTAGTCTTCATCCTGGTCCAGTGTCACATCCTCCTTCAAACACTGGTTATTATTCTGGGCCTGGGCCAAATTTTGGACCACCCACAGGTCCACCTCCTGGTAATAATTTTGGACCTCGTCCACATTCTCCTTCACTTTCTGGCTGCCTTCCTAGTCAACAGCCTGGTCAATATTATGGCCCACCCCCTGGTCAACAATCTGGTCAATATTTTGGCCCACCCCCTGGTCAACAATCAGGTCCACTTTCTGGATCACTAACGGGTCAATATGGTTTTCCATATTCTGACCCACCCACTGGTCAACAATTTGGTCAACCACACGGTCAGCAACCTGGCCCATATTCTGGGCAACAACGCAGTCAACATACGGACACACTTCCCCAGCAGCAATCTAATCCACTTCCTGGTCCAAATTCCTACCCACTTTCTGATCAACAAGGTGCTCCACCTCCTAGTCCTCATCAGAGTCTTCCGAATAGAGGCCCTCCCTATGATCCTCGCCCTGGTCCACAGTTTGGTCCACAGTCTGGGACTCGTTTTGGTCCTCGTTTCGACCATAATTTTGGGCCACGTTACAGTTCACATTTTGCTCCCCACTCTGATCCATCATATCAACGTCAAGCTTATGATCATAAACAGGAAGACAAAGCCACAGTACAAAGGAGAAAAGACCAAAAATGGATTGATGAGTTCTTACAATCCAAAGGAAGATTAGTCAAAAAGGTCCAGTTGTCTGAGAGTCCCACGTCTTCTCATATGTCTGTTGGCGAGATGAAGAATGCACTGTACGGCACGGCTCAGCTCGTGACGCAGCTGTCCACTGTATGTGAACGTCTGATGCAAGACGTCGACCAAAATGGTTGGAACGAATCTTATCTAGAAGCTCTGAAAATGAAAGAAGAGATACAGAGCCAATTAAAAGTGGTCAGCGACAAGGACAATTTGGAAAAGGTGAAAGCGAAATTAACAGCCATTTCAAAGAAGAGAACTCGCAAGCGCAAAGCAAAGCTTCAACTGCAGATGGAAGAGCCACTCAGGGAGGCTCGAATAGCGGAGAAAGACGCTGCGGTAGAGATGTGGAGAAAGAAGAAAATACAAGAGGCAGAGGAGAAAAAGAAAGTAAGTATATGAGTGTGTTCACAGTAAAGTGACAATTGAAGTATCTGGACTTTAAAAGGTTATAACTTAAAAACTAAAATTACTTTCATAGATTGGAAAAAAGATTTCAAACACAGACACATTGAAGAGATAGTGTGGAAAAAATCAAATGGAAAGATTGACATAAAAATGTTTAGCAACATTTTAAACGACCAAATGAGCCTCTGATTGGACCATTCTACTGTGACGCCAGTTACATAGAAAATAAAATGTCCTCAGTCTGAAAAAGCAGAAGATGAAATCCCACCAAAAAAAAGTAATTAATTAATTAAATGACCCCTGAAAAATGTATAACGGACGTGATGAGGACGGTCCTCTTTTCTCTAAAAATTAAACTTGAGAAAAAAAAAAATCTTGTCTGTTTTCACATTTAATTGCTTGACAATATGAAAGTATCACTTTGCATCTACTTTGTGTAAAAAAATAGAATCTCTGAATCAAATGTGGACATCTGAAAATACCTATCAAACTGCCACAAAGCTCATTCCGTCAAATCATCACGTCCGTTACATAAAATAAACAGGGCCGCTATAGGAAACGTATGTATCTTATGTATAAAACAGTTATGTTCTAGCAACTTCTAATGAACAGAGGAGGTGTTTGGAAACATGAAAAACATAAAATATCTTCTGATTATTAAAATCTAATTTTTGGCCTTTTGTCACACTTTTGTGCCCTTTAGTGTGAACAAGCCCAGATTGTATTAAATAATCATGCTCTCTTCTTCTTCCTCTCAAATGTGATTCAATAGAGATTTAGAACAGCTTTTCCAAAATACTCATTCAACACACCGGAGTATAGCTGTGTAGATCACTTTTTTACGCATGCAGTCATGGCTGTACTGCTTATTGTGTTTTAAGTTTGTAAACCATCAGCACTGCAACCACATTGCCTTGTGTTTTCAGGAACAGGAGCTGAAAGAGGTTGCAGACGCGGTTCTTTGTGATATCAGAAAGAAACTGTCTGATGTGAAGAGAGCTCAGGACATTCTAAAATCCTTGGAAAATTTAAGAAAATTGAGAAAAGAAGCCACTATGAGAAAAGGTAACATTTATACTTTCTTCTTGCAGTTTTAAAGATATGTTAGACTTGAATGTATGAGTAATCCTGAATGGAGCTGAAAGGTGTCGTCTGCCTCACTGTAGTTTTACCTAACAAAATATCTAATCCCATTTCTCTTTAGATACCGGTACTAGTTCTTTTCTAAATCCAGGTCAAACATGTTGTGTTACAAAATTACATTTATTTAGAAAATTGGCATTTTTTTCCTACAGTAAATTCCATCTTAAACAAACACCGCTGCTGGCTATAATGAAATATAACTATGAGGCCATAATGTAAAAAAAAAAGAAGCAAAAATAGGATGTTTTAAAACGCTCCTATTATTTACCCATATCAACTTTGTGGTATATAGTGAACAAAATGTGTGTTAGCTAATACAGACATCCTTCATAAGAACAAACGTCTCATTCTTTTCTTTCCTGTCAGGCATCCACACTGACCTGCAGTCAGACAAAGCCTTCAGCTCTCTCCTGGAGGAGCTGAGGAGCGTGGCCAAGAGGAGGCTGACGCTCTATGGCCGAGAGGAGAAGACTCTGATGGTGATGCTGGAGGGAGAGCAGGAGGAGGAGAGGAAGAGAGTGCTGGAGCTCCAACACAAGAAGGACAAGGACAGGCACATGCGGAGGAAACGCAAAATAGAGTCGATGATGTTTGGGGGTAAGATTCGCAAAGCCTCAGTTTACAGGGGCCAGTTGTACTACACTAATGGATTGATTAGTTTTTCTGGTTTTGATGTTTAATGCAAATCTTTACCAACACATGGATGATGGACTATCATGTTGTGATTTTTTTTACATTTTCTGACACTCTTGTGAACCGAACATTTCCAATTGCATTTTCTTCTTCAGAGGGTTATACTGCAAAAAGTGAAATTTGGCAAAAAGTATCATAATTTGAGCACCTTTGGATTGCCTTAAAACATGATTTGCCAATAGGACAAAGCAACATTATCTTGTTTTAAAAAATTGCAAGAAATGTCTCCCTTGGAATGAGAAAATAGAGCAACAGTTCATGAAATGAGACTAAATGGCAAAATCTCCCATTGGCAAATATGGTTTTAAGATAAGAATGTGCACAGATTAAGATAAACACTTGATTCAAGTATTTATTTTTCTAATTTCAATTTTCTTTATCTCCTACTATCAATATTTATAGCATAATTCTATTCTGTTTTACTTTCAGAGGACACGCCCCCAGATCCGTTCATGCAGCCTTTCAGACAGTATTACACCCAGGCTCAGGAGTCACTTCCAGCTTTAGTTCAAATAAGGTACAGAACAGGATATGAAAGCGTTGTACACTCAAAAAGCAGATGTCAAAAATATGATGTTTATTGCATGACATTTAGACCATTATTGCCCTGATCAAGTCGCATAACCTGACTGTCTAAATGTAAATGTAAATAATATACTGTAGTTTTCAGTGTGCAATACTTTCTTTGCCCCTCATCATTGTTTGTGCATAATACCACTTTTATTTAACACAACAACATATGGCAATGAGCATGTTTATGATTCCGCTCATATCAAGCTATTTGTTGTTATGTTGTTTTGAATGTTTAGGAAATTAGTATTCTGCTGCCCTCTGCTGTTTGTTTCAAGAATGACTCTTTGCTTTTAAAAGCCTGATGTGTGTTTGTGCTGCAGGAGAGAGTGGGATGCCTTCTTGGTTCCTGCAGACCACCCTGAGGGCTGGTCTGTCCCTCTGGGATGGGTGTTTCCAGAGCCTCCTTCAGATCAGAGCTGGGCCGAGGCTCTGCACACCTCTGATACGGACTGTGAAGACAAATACATGAGACTTTCTTGACTCCACTCAGCACCTTCAGCCATCTTGTATTACTTTACATAACTTTTTTACAGTTTAAATATTGCATAATGGACTATTTTTGCATTCATCATTTGTCCACAGGACTTTGGTTCGGGCCAATCACATGTCTGCACTAAATTGTAAATAGCTAGTATCTAGCTCTGCGCTTGCTTTGACAATAAACACTGGAATTTTGGTAATACTTATTTGAGCGGCATTTTGATTTCTAACAAAACTGTATTTTTTAAGTATTAATGAAATAAGGAAATTGACATTTATTAAAGCTGGAATACCTATCCTGTTTTTGGTTTCAATAATACATTTTTTTTGTCCCAACAGAAAGACTTTGTTTAATTAACATTTGTGAACAAATCAGACCACAACGTTCTGTCTTATCTTTATATAGTTTTATCTTTTGCAAAATAAAGTATTGTCATTGTCACAGAAACATTTATTACATTGTCAGGGTCATCATAATAGGCAAGGAAAGTTTATTTACATAGCACAATTCATACACAAGGCAACTCAAAGTGCTGAACAAAACAAGATAGAAACACCAGGCATTATTTTGTTCTTGTTATTAAAATTGGGTACCCCTGCTTTAATTGGTATTAAACATAAAGGTCCATGTCCATAGACTGTAAATTAAATCCTATATAATGATAAACACACCTGCTTGAACAGCATTTATAGAAACAGAACAGAAGATACTATACATTAAAGTGGATATAGTTTTCAAAGTATTGGCCAAAGACAATGAAACCTTATGAAGACAATCGCTGGTTAGACCCGCCCATACTGACCGTCGCAGCCTCCTGATTGGCCAAAATTAACACAAATATTTGAGGCCCCTTATCATTGTTTTAACTGTTGTCCAGCAAATTTCACTAGTTGTAAATACTCCATCTGAAATATATGATCATGTTCAGAAATTTAAATGCAATAGCTGACCTATTTACTACTCATTTATAACAATGCATTTGCTGTGACTAATAAGAGTGTAGTTCATGGGTTTATGGTTTAAGCACCTTATTTAAACTGTCCCATTCTAAGTCTGCAGGTACTTCTGTTTATGCCTGTCCAGTGTCGCATTCACAGAATCAGTGACGGAGGCTCACTGTAAGTCAACAGATAAGGGGGCTATTCTTAAGCAGCTCTTGAACCAGCGGCATCACTCCAGTCTGTCACTGTCAACACAAGTCTCTCTCACAGGTAAGATCAGGCACTTTTTATCATACTTTTAAAAAACAATATTTGTTGTAGTCTCTAAAGGATGTATTTGTAGGTCAATGGGATAATAGTATGTACTCAGTCCTTTCTACTTTCACTGGGTATTTAGATAGACAAAGACGAATGAATGAAGGATGATCAGACACAAATGTATAACCCCAAACTATTTCTGCCTCTCTGTGAAATTGTATTGAATCTAACAAATCTGTATTTTTGAGCAGACACAACCCCTTGCTCGCCATGTGTTACCTTATACTTTATACACTACTACTTTATGCATTTTATTTTTAATGCACTTTACATTATAAATAAAACCTCAAAGTGTTACAGCCATTTAAACCTCAAAACATTGTTTGTTTGGAGAAATTCACACAGACATATGTGATATATTTAAGTTCTACATAAAGCTTATAAAAAAAAAAGCATGTATCCGGCTCTTCTTACATCTTAAGCTCAACTAGACGACCACACTTTCTCATCCAATCAGCTCTCAGTCCAAAGAATAGTTACTCAAAGGGCTCTTTCTTGGAAGTATGCAAAAATGTTTTCTAATAGACAGATGGGGTCTGATTTGTTCTCAACATTTTACTTTTACAAGATTCCTTCTGTTGAGACAAACAACATGTATTACTATATTAAAAGTTAGATACCTCAACTTTAAATATCCTTCTTAGTTTTCATGTAGTGCGTTTAATTATTTTTTTATTATCAAACAGGCCTACTGTATTAGTTTTACCTCTTTCCTTTCAACATAATACTACAGTTTGTGGCAATGATATGTTTCGAATGGGGCAAAAAAGGCACAAGGCTCATATAGTGTATTGTATGTGTCAGTTGCACAACAATGACATGTAATTGAATATTTCTTAGCAAAAAGGGAACAAAAAGTAGCAACATACATTGATTACAGCACAAATCCTGTTACAACGGGAAAATTGCTTCGACATCTTGTGGATAATAGCTGTTTTTCTTGTCTTAAACTCACGCACCAATCCTCTTTACCCCGTCTGCTTGTATACCTGCTGTGTGTTTTCCACCACAACATGTAATAGCCCAGCAGAGAGTGACCTTATCAAACACCTGTGCCCCGTGCTCTGCCTAGAGGCGAGGACCATCTGGTTTGGGTGTTACTGGAGCAAATATCCCTTTAGCCCTCTCAGGACAGACGCGCCATGAGGCCATTTACCTCACGGCCGGTCTGTCTGCCGGCTGCTCCTCTCACGACCATACGTCACTGTCACCGCACCTACGCACTTGTGTTGTTGTTGTTGTTGTTGTTGTTGATGTTTTTGAGTTGGGTTCAAGTTTGGAAGTTGTGTTGCATTGATTACTGTTAACAATATAGAACCACATGTGTTACTGTCACTTTACTGAGTCACTTTGTCCCAGTCCATCCTGCTGCTAACATGTACAGATGTAAACATTCAACTATGTATTACTTGCACTGGAATATACATATACACATTATACTTGCTTACTTGCTTACTTACTTTTGTACTTAAGTCTTGCTTCTTCATCATGCTAAAGATGGAGATTTTACACTTTTACACCTCTTTCCTTATATCCTAGAGATTTTATACTGCTTCTTTTATGACTGGGAAGGGGGGGGGGATCAATGACTGACACCTACCATTATGTGTAAGTCAATCGAACCAAATGCGAGTTTTGGTACTAGCCATTTTCAGGCTCAGCTCGTGAGAAAGTGACCTCAGCACAAGAGGCCTTTATCCGAATGTTACCAATGGATTTTGATGCAATGTTACTCATATTATGATCTTGCCATAACAATATTTAAAGGAATAGATATATAGATAAATTAGATACTTTATTGATCGCCCGTAGGAGAAAATTCTAATGTCCAGCAGCAGAAACACATCCATCTAAACAAACAAACATACATTATAATTACATAAATTATAATTGTTTCTAGCTAACTAACAAGCAACAGTGCACAATAGTCAAATAGGCTTTCCTTTTCTGCAAATATCTTCTGTGGTAGTTATGGATGGTAGTTATGGATGAGGTTTTTTCTTCTCCCTGATGTTAAAGCGCTCATTCTTCGTGGCAAAAAAGCCTTCATGAACTACACATTTGAGATCTCCAAAGATTATGTTATATATTAACATTGAACATAGAATGAGTTCAGAGAAGATTCCTTTCTTTTAAGTCTCTTGAATGAACCTGCTTTATTACTGCACACACAAGTTGTAACCTCTAATCTTATTATGACGGTCAATTATGCAACACGCTTCAGTTTCTGAACACTGGGAGATTTGCAGAAAAGGAAAGTCTATTTGCAGCCATTACACACGGCTTTGTGGCGTAGAGTAAAGCCCCCAGAGTGTCCTCATTGGACTCTGTTTGCTATGTTTGCAGAGAAACTATAGGCTCTTGTTTCTTCATTCCTCATTTTTTCAGGGAGTCATGTGCACCCCTGCTACTTATTGGTCTTTATTAAAACCTGAACCAGCTGATTGAGATGTTGGCCTTGTCTGTGTGTGTGATGTGTTATTGAAATACAATATGTGGAATTGAAATGTCTCAGGTAATAACCAGACCTGTCGTAGTGTAGTGTTCCAAAGCATAATACTGCATTCGCACAATCAGCGTTTGCACATAAAACAATGAAAGAATGGGATAATCTCTCGAACTGAACTCAAAAATCAAAAAATATAAATTATGTATTTAAAGAAATATTTATATGAAAAAAAAAACCTAGGAAATGTAAATGTAACTGATGCAGAATGATTGTAAGGAAGTGAATTGTAAAGTGGTTTTGATAGAGAACAGATGGATGCTACCCCTTTTCAAACCTGTGTTAGTGTAAATATATGTGAAACTGTGTTCTGCTGGTTTGAAATGAATAAAACTAATAACTCTTTTTGTTTGCAGGGTGTAAACCGGTATGGAAGGAATCTCTTTGAAAATGCCAGAGTTTTCCTATCAAGAAGAACTCATAGAAGATGTGCACGTGACTGTCCCAGACTACCTTAAAGTACTCAGAGAAACAGAGGTATTCTACTCTGATGTGATTGTGTAAAAAAATAAATACTTTTGGCCCAGTACCTAATGCTCCGCCCCATTTTAACAAACAATACATAATAATTGGTGCATTTAACTCATTTATAAATGGTTAAATTGTGGAAAAGTATTAAGTTTCCTGCTTCTGTTTGCAATGTGTGGGTCTAATATACTGATAATAATAATGATATCTATCTAACAATCTATAATTTATCCACTTACCCGGACCCTAATCCTAATATCTATATACAACTGTAAGACTTTGTCATTGTTAGACTTGAACAGTTGTTTATAATAGTTTTGAAATACAAAGTTTACATTCTTGTTCAACATAATAGTTAGGGCTTGGTCTGATATTTTTCATGTAAATTCAGTCGTACAATATTTGTCAATTCTTCTTGTCTGCCTGAGTCTCAATGGCTGACTTTCTACACATGATATAGTTCCATTAACAGACTTGCAAAGTTTCAGTTTTTCAATTTATTTATCCATTGTTATTGTTAGGGCAGAAGCAAAAACACTCATGTAAGTTCAACAAAATCATCCAGTTCGGTATCTGTCCAGGATAGACTGTGACATTTTGTTTCATCTCTCTGCTGAGATTGTTCCATGACTGAACCCTACAGCACTTTGTATTAGCAAATAATGATTATACAATACAAGACAAGTCTTATCTTATCTATATGAAAGATGAGGGATGAGCAGGGTTAAGTATCCGTGGCAAAAAAGATCTCAGGATAGCTTAAAATGTTGTTTTCTGCCAAGTCAATTCTCAATCACGTGAGATGCAAAATTATCTTGGAAACTGTCTGGCTTCTAAAAACTCAAATTTGCCAAATAAATATAGTGCAGGATGTTAAAGTCAAATACATGAGAAGGCCAAAAAAACAAATTTGCTTAAGGCAGAGGGCAAGACTGCTTCAATGTTTTCTAAAACATATTAAAATGATTGCATATAATTGAACCAAGACCAACCACATTACCTACTGTAATGATTAATCAAATAATCTAATATTTGTGTATGGCTGCCAGTCATTTCAAGTGAATACATTTGTCAACAGCTCACAGACAAAAACAAACTTCCTTCAAAGAGAAAACACATTTCCTGAAGATTAAATGAATAATCCAAAATTTTCTTCTCTGAAATACAATCCCAGAGGCCAAGAAAATTCATTCACGGGGCAGATCAGGGCGGATCGGGCGGATCTGCTTTGGATCTATACAATGCATGGGACTGGATGTGTCAATGTACTCATGACTGTATACGTAAAACTGGTAACTTTTCTCCCTCCTCAGTACGACTTCAGCCTGGAGAAGTGGGTGCTGGCGGGCCTCCAGAACGGCATCATGAAGCTGCAGTGCTCTCCCACCTCCTCCTCCTCCTCCTCCTGCTCCTCTTCCTCCTCCACCTCTTTGCAGCCCACCTGTCCTCCGTACTGGATGATGTTCAGCAGCCCCCAGCAGAGTCGCCTCGCCAGCCGCCACAACTCAGACTTCTGGGAGCCCAACCCCCGACAGCGCTCTCACTCCCTCACGCTCCCCGTCCTGCGCACCAAGTTCACCATCTCCGACTTGGAAGACGAATCCGAGAGCAACAACAATGTACGTCTACTACAGAAATCACTATCTCCACTTGTTGTATGCATCTTAATGGATCGTTGGAAGATATGGATAAAGGGAGAAAACAAAAATATATAATTGTTAGCTGATTATTGGATCTGATATTTATTATATTTATATATTTATTATAATTACTTATCTACTTCAAGGCTTAATAAAGATGCAAAATGAACATGAAGCGAACTGAAACCTATATTTTGAGTTTCATAATGTATTGTCGGTACATAAACTTTTGAGCTGTTTCCACGATAACATTTGAGCTGCAGATGTTACAGTCACTCTTTTTGCCCATTTATGACTTAGTTCTCCACTTTACTGGTTTCAACTCAGAATGTTGTAGTTATCTCATGTTATAAACTACTTTATGGCACTTGGGACTGGGAAAAGAAAGTTACAAGATTATGTAAGACATGTTTCAAGTGTCCTTGTCTGGGCCTTTTAACACAATGTAATGCTGCAATGTAAACTTTACATCCCAGCATCATCAATTTTCACTTATCTGAGATTTGTGTGTGTCTAGTTCAAGTTGTAAAGCACCCTTTCTTCTGTCTCACTTTGTGGCACTATCGCATCATTATCTGTAAAGCATTAAACAATCCATTCAAATGCATCTTCATCACAGACTTTCACACAAGTCGACAGCGTCCCTCTGGCCTCGACCAAGGAGTTGCCCGCAGAGAAGCCCTGCCGGCGTGGCCAAAGGAAAAACCAGCAGAGAGCCTTTGTCCCGGACCTCCTGCACCCCCCCACGTGCCTCAGCAGCCTCCCCCACCAGCGCCGGAAGAACCTGCGTCAGTACTCCCTGTGTGCCCTAGACGTGGACCAGAACACGGCCCGAGACAAAGGATTCATCCGCAGTGACTCTGTGGGCACACGCTGCAGACCGAAGATGGGGAAGGTAAAAACTCTACGATCATTTGGTCTTCAGATAGAGATAGAGTTCATTCTTTAATGTTCAGATTGTACACATACAATACATACAATTGATGCAACAAACAATACAATGTAAAAAAAAGTAAGCAGAAAAACATATTTATGAATGCCTACCCCTTCATTGCCTACTTAAATTAAATGTGTGTGTAAAAGTCAGGCTAACAAGTTCTTCTCAAATGTGTACATTTGAGAAGTACCGAAGTCAGAAGTACATGTATATACATTTCAAGTACCTGACTGTTGAATAAACAGGACAAGCAGAGCAGTAAGAAACGAGCCTTACATAATGGGCATCATGGAGACGGTATAGAAGGCAAAGAGGAAACATAATTTAGGCACATCAGTTAATCAACTAATCGTCCACCTGAAAGATTCTATTCATTCTCGTATATGAAAAAATATACAAGAAATATCATGCAACAAAACACAAAGCAGAACAAGAGCAACTTATCGGCCAACTCCGACCACTGTAAAAGAGAACCACATTAAAGATCAAACAATATGGGCAATTTCAGTTTTTCCCACATCACCCGGCTCTATCATTGTAGATAGATTACCATAGCGTACTGGTCACCAAACTATTATTTCCAACTAATTATTATGCTAATGTGGTAATACTTAACCCTAACCCAACCGTGGTTAGTTTTGGCAATAAGCCGTTGTTTACATGACTAAATAATAGTACAGTATATTTCCCTTGAGGTATACAACGTACAAAAAATATAGAACAACAATGAGCCTTGAAGCACAATTTTAGCTGAGAATAAAAATACTGTATTCCCCCCGTTTTTTCCCTGATATTGCACTTTTAAACGGTTTTTGTTTTGTTTTATTATTTATCTTTTACATTTATTACTCAATTCCCTTGGTCCTGTCATAATTCCTCTCTGCATAGGTTTACAAGTGCAGCAGTGTGTTGCCCTCTAGTGGACACTTTGAGGAACTGCCAATGCTTACGTATGCCTCTTCCTAGTGCGGACGTGATGGATTACACTCGATTTTAAGAAGATTTGAAACTCAAAGTACATTGCTTAGTTATTTCAAAGTACAAATAACAAGACAGAATTTATAGTAATGCCAGGAAGCCTATATATAATCCCAGTTTTTATTCCTTGGAGAAGCACCCTATGAATACAGCCTAAAGCCTGTGGCATTAGCTTCTCCTGAGCGAGACTATAAATTTCCACACATAAGCCTTTGGAAAGCCACAGATCACTTTACTATTACATGTCTCTCCTGCCAGCCAAGTCAATGTGGAGTTAGCACTCTACTCTCTGGCACACAATGTTTATTCTATACTTTAAACACACACATTTCCTAATCAATGCTTTTTAACCTATATAATCATTATAGTATGGATATTAGTATTGCCGTCTAATCCTGTTTACTTATCGAATGCCTGATTAATATCAGAATTTATGTTTTTTATTTTAGTATTATTTTTCATTACCCTAAAGTAGTTCCAATCCGACACATGGAACTACTTTAGGGTAATGAAAAATAATACTAAAATAAAAAACATCCATCCATCCATTTTCTTCCCCTTAATCCATTTCTGGGTCGGGGGGGTGGCAGTCAGAGCTGCACCCAGTACACATAGCACCAGCCCCTCACTGGCCTCACTGCATTCATAAAAAACATGAATGCAGATATTAATCAGGCATTCTACTGTATATCCCCTTCGGATTAAATGGTCTTGTCTCGTGTTTCTCTATATTCTTTGTTCTTTATAATTTGTGCATGCTTTTATCCACGTATTTGCCATTTGGTTCCACATTGAGAAACAGGAAATGCCAAATTAAATATTCATATTCAGGGTCAGATTGAACACAAATGATGCATTTAAATTAAAGTTAGGACACTGAAGGAATTGAGTGAGATCCAGACTATAAATAAAAGCTTTCTCAAGGAAACAGGTCTAGTGAAGAAATGCAATTTGAAAAAGGGAAAAATAGGTGAATAAATATTATATAATGTCATAGAAATAGTCATAATTTATTGTTTATGTTTTTTACATTTTAATCTATTTCATTTTTTTGTTTTGTTTTATTCATTTTTTTGGGCGCAAGGGTAGCACAGTGGAAAAAAAAGGATAAAAGAAACGAAAAGGTGTCTTGCTACATTGCATCTATTATGGGGGAACTAATGTGTGTGAACTAATGATTACACAATAAAGTAAAAAGAAAAAAGATTATATATTGTTTTGACGATCCTGGGCTAATATTAGACAAAAAATATCCTTTGTGCCAACAGATTTAGCTGTGTGATTTTGGATCCAAATCAGGTGCAATACCAAAAAGGAACAGTGGAAATAGTCTGAATGTTTAGTGGGATCTGCGGTCTAAAAATACCGTGCGTGAAGTCTGGTGTCTGGATACAGCCAGGTTATAAAAGGTTCAGTGGGATTAGGACGTGAAAGTACTGTCTTTCAGCGGAGCTCCAGGCCTCCGCCATGAAGAGGGCAGTCAGGTGAACGCACACATCTGACCCAGCTCTGCCCACGCCCCCAAGCCCCAGACATGGAGGGGACGACAGATATGGGACGGAAAAACAGCTCATTAATATTTATAGCATTAGCTGAAACACAATATTATTCCCACCTCTGCACCTTCTCCACCGACTCCCACTGATGACTGCTGTCGTTGTGTCCTTGGGCAAGACACTTAACCCCACTTTGCCCAAAGCCCCCGCTGAAAAGATCAAGGCTATGCTCACACTCAGTGAGCAGCCGCCCTCCTGGGGACTCACCACCTGCAGAGGGTCAGTGAGGGGCTGGTGCTATGAGACTTGGGTGGCATCTCTGATTGCCACCCCCCTGACCCAGAAATGGATTAAAGGGTAGAAAATGGATGGATGGATGGACAATATTTATTTGGCCTAAGTTCAGTTTGGTCAAGTCAAGCCATTAGCCATAAAAATAACAAATAGCGTTCTTTTCTGACTTCAAAACAAGAATCAGATTAAGATTTAGAGTTCCTTTAGTCGTCCCACAGTGGGGAAATTTCAGTGTTGCATCACAAGTTACAGAGCAGTAGGAATGAGGAGAACGCAGCACAATATACAATGAATAATAACTCTAAAATAAAATGTAATCTCTAACTCTAGCATAAAAATAAGCAGTTTACAATCTCTATATTTAGCACAATGCAATACTACAATTTAGTCCAAAATCTCTAACGTTAGCATGATGAAGACGCAAGACTTGAGTACATAAAACCCTGACTTTAGCAGAAGGAGAAAACTGCAGTATACAAGATTAAGAGTTCCTATCTATTCATTTATTCAACATTTCAGTGTTGCATCACAAGTTACAGGACAGAAGGAATGAGAAGCACACAACACAGCACAAGATACACAAACAATAACTCTGTATTAAGTAAAATAAAATCTTTAGAATGAAGAAGAAACAAGTAGACAATCTCTATCTTTAGAATAATGAGTAAAAAAACGGACTTAAGCATTATAAAAGATGGCGCCGTGGCAAGAGCTCTGGTGTGTGCCGCCTGGTGCACAGTTTTTCCAATGTGGTTTTGCTGCAAATGGCAAATAAATTAATCTGAATCTGAATCTAAAGAAGTATAAAATCTCTACCTTTGGCATAATAAGAAGCGTGTATAAAGTACTGTGTATTCTAGTGCAAGTAATACACATAAAATACTGTAAAAATTGTGGTTCTCATTGATTACCAAGTATTATCGTCACTCCATTATCCAATTCCAGACCAAGCCACTCTCACATTCCTCCACTCTGTCCTTGGGTCATGGATTCACCGCTCCCTTCCTAAGCCCTGCACGCGTCCAATCACTCCGTCTCTTCCCTTACAGGAGTCAATCAGTCCAAATTCCTGCCTTAATCCTGGCTCGGCCCCTCGCCCCCTGGGTCGGCCGTCAGCTGCTTGTGATTCCGCCGTCGAGCTCCTTTCTGCCCTGAGCCCCGAGGAGAGAGAGCTCCTGGGGGTAATCACCTCTCGTGGCTACCCCCTGCGCACCGCCATCATCGCCCTGCAGAAGACCGGCCGCCAAGCCCCCGAGAAGGTCATTCATGCACGCTGCTTTTCATCACCGGCTTTTCAGAGATGTGTCTTGTCCGCTTCATGTCTAAAAAGGAGACAGAGCGATGTGTTGTTCTGCAGAGTGAGACATGATAGAGAGAGATGATTTCCAAAACAGCATAAAAGATATTCACTTTGATTTGTCTCCATCTGTGTCCCAAAAGCCTCCTATGGACAAGTGTTGACAAACAGCATGGTCTTGCTATAACACTAAAGGCAGTGCTGGTCTGTTCAATTTAACTGTTGTGTTCATATCAAATAAATAAATGAGAAAAATAAATAAATAATAGAAAATAGTACAACATTTTTGAAAGAGCATTGAATTTTGGAGGTTGTTGCAGAACATTTTGTCTCTGCAAGATCCAACTGAACTTATGAATACATTCTATCATATTAGTTTGTAAGTAAGTAAGTCATGTTTATGTATACAGCGCATTTTACAGACCAAGGTCACCCAAAACACTTTACAATGTTTAGAGTTCAAATATATTTACATTCTCCCATGCCAAAAACCATCCATTCACTCACTCATTACAGTTATACCTACATGTTGTACATTTTTTTAGTGGTAGGAGAAATCGGAGCATCTGGAGGGACCCATGCAAACTCCACACAGAAAGGCCTGGAGGTGGAATTGAACCCAGGACCTTCTTGCTGTGAAACACAAGCTGTGTCACTGTGCTGCATATTAGTTCTATGAATGGAAAGAACGTTTAGTAGCTAGCATTTTTAAAACAAAAATGTTACTATGTTAAAACAACATTATGAGACAGTAGGGATGCGATGGTTTGACAGTTTTTTCATGATCAAAAGATACCACAGCAGGATGGTGTGCCTTGGAAGTGCTGGGTGTAGTTGTCGCAAATGCGTAGTTACTGTTATTATATTAGTACTTTATTTTATTTATTTATTGTCCATGTCCTCAAAATACATAATAATATCATATTTATTGTCTTTACATTAAGCAAGATGAACAAACAGGAACAGAAGGAGACACAAAATTGTGTAAATCCTGTCCCATTTTAACATTTTCACCCCCAACATCACCTGTCACCAATCTAGCATTTTTCTGTACTAATCAATAACAAACTTACATCTCACTTAAATATTTTCATTTTCTTTATAATACTCTTTAAATGGATTCAATCTTAGTTATTGTCATCAGTTTTTCATGACAGACCAAAAATATTTATTATTGTGATCTGAGCTCCAGCCAGAAACAGATCTACTTTGTACTCACATGAACTCTCTGAAACATTCTCTGAGGTCATGTGGACTTTCCCTGAGTTTTAACATCTGCTGAATACACTCAAATATCAATTCAATAAAGACATTACATTGTAATTTCATCGTCGTAATGCCAACAAATTGATAGAAGGCACATCACCAGCTTTTCCCGTCTATTTCCATCTAATCACACACCATTCTTATTACACAAACAAGCTTTTCTTTTCTCTCCTATTTCGGTTCAGTCTGATTGAACGCTGCAGATCCTCGCCTCAATCAGACGTTCACTTATCGTTTGACTTCTTGCCACTCACCCAGACATGATGTGGCAGCTGGTAAATGACTTTAATGGGAGCCAATTAGCTGGGTAGGCGTAATCATCTAACGGACTGAATATCGTGTCTTACAATTTGGCTCGGGCCACGACGCTCTCACACGTACTGCCTTTCTCTCCGTTGATGTCGGGCCATATTTGATCTATCTCAGCCAAACAGAGCAACAACACCAAAAGGCTTTAACTTCTGCTCACACTGCAACCAACTTTCCAGCGTGGTTTTTTTCCTCTCAGTCTCCTTCTGCTGTCATTTCTAATTCCACATAGCAGACGCTGATAACTGAATAGGGCGAATTGTTGAGAGGGATTTCATTCATATTGACAGCTAATTGCAAAGAGGCTGGAGCAGACTGCAGACTTTGGGGGATTAAGCAGAATGGCTAAGGTTATTAAGGGCTGGAATGAGACACGCACACGCCAGCCTGGTAAACATCTTCTATGCCTAATTAGAGATTGTTTTGATGAATGCGCACTCAGGTAAATAGCGAGGGATTATAAAGGAGGATCTAAAGGTCAATGCGAAAGTAAGTTACCAGATTGGATTTGTAAGCATTTGCTGTTCTCCTCTCTTAGGTTTTGAGCTACTTACTGGCGCTCGACCATCTCTGCCAGCTCGGCTACGACGTCACGCAAGTGGAGGAGGCGCTGGAGATGTTCCAGAACTGTGAGACAAAGGTAACTTAGTCAACAATACATTTTTCTTATGGCCATTTAATTGCCCCTAATCATGCCACTGCCTTTAAGGGTCTCAAACCGTCTCAAATTTGTCTAATTAAATGAAACGAGTTGTTGCATTCACCACATTGCTGGCCCGAAGGCTTATCGGGCATTGATGTTGGGTTCAAGAAGTCAGAAACAAGTCGAAACTTTTCATGTAACCTTTTATTAAGTTTATTAATTCCACATGACCTGAAGGAGGATTAAATTGCAACAGGGGAATTCACCAACTATATATGAATTAACATTTAAAACTGGAGTACCGTTTTTTCATAAATCTCTTTTTTTATTATTACAGTACATTACAGTATTGCGTCTGTCATGTGGCAGTTTAAGACAAAGTAAAAAAATATACAGCGATAAATCAACGGTCTGCTTTTAAGCCCATGTCGTCAATGCATAACACTCTAAATTCTGTATTTCTGGACAGTCAAAAAATTTATTATTCTACTGTCTCAGATGTCTACTGTTTATCTGTAACTACTGTGCAAATTAGTAAAGCTTTGGCCCAGGTTTACATTCCTTGTGCCCGATGTGATGGCTTGGTTTGTGGTTCGTGTTTCATCCATGGACTTTATTTAATATCTATCTATTTTTAGAGCTATCCTTGTAAGCGGTACAAAACTGTATCATGGGTTAAGGTGGATTAGATTGCTTTATGGGGGTCTCACGGTAATCAATCTATTATCCATTTTTTTGTTGCACAAAGTTATAAATGTTTGAAATTTCTAAATCCATTGGGGAGCTACTACAGACAAATACAAACTAAAATCTGCATGAGAAAGCCAGATCCCGATCTCAGACCTCTGAAGCTAAGTAGGGCAGGGCCTGGTTAGTACTGTTATGGGAGACCTCTATGTGAACACCAGGTGCCACAGCGGGGCGGCTGCGGCTGTAAAGTGCCAAACTATCTTTGTGTCCTTATGCAAGACACTTCACCCACATTGTATAGTATGAGTCTGGTATGTGTGTAACCAATAGCGCCACTAGCAGCAATACGTTGGTCTTTTATTTTGAGAATTTTGAGCGATTGTTATTTGTCGTTTTTTTAAGAACAAAAAGACCCAAGACTTAAACATGGCATTAATCCGTGCACATCCTTAACATCCGTGTCTAAAACGTAGACTGATCTTTCAAAACAAGGTTATTTGGATCCATAGCATTACTTATAGCTGCTTTAATCTTCTCCTTTTGACTGCGAGTAAACACTTTTGAATGGTTAAAAGGCTCAAGGGTGATTAATGATATCTTGATCTGCAGGCTGAGGAGTTCCTTCATCTCCTGAGCCAGTTCAATGAGATGGGCTTCCAGCAAAACGCCATCAAAGAAGTGCTGCTTGTGCACGAAAACCACCGTGAAAGGGCCCTGGAGGAGCTCATGATGCGTGTGGCATGACAAGAGCAGATCCAAGCCCAAAAGGACTGTATTTGAAAATGAAACGCTGCACAAAACAATATCTGGGTGAGTTTGTTTAGCTTCAATTGCAGGTGTTTGTGGCTGCATCCAAATTCAGAAAACATGCATCTTTTCTTTTATTGATCTAAATGGGATTGGATTTGAACTAGATAATACTTGGATAGGTTCTCAGACCTTTTCAAGTATTATCTACTTGGAAGAGTATTGTGTATCAATTTGGAAGCAGCCTTTGATTTGGGCAGATATTCGTTGTGTTGTCATTCCAAATGATAGGACTGTTGTCATAGTTATCACCAATAGGCTGGATTCACGTTGTAGAATTGCATTTCAGTTGGAGGGCAGGTGTTAATACAGCTTTAAGGGAAAGAAGCCATAATTGAGGAATATAAAGGGTTTTCCCAGATCATTAGTTAATGGTGATTAGACTCACAAACCCGCCATAATACACACAGCGCCGCAAATGGCGAAGTGGCACGCTCTCTGCCAAAACAATTTCCAGGTGGTAACTTTTGTTTGTTACTTACGTGGCAATAAAAACATTTCTGATTCTGTTAATATTATTATTATTATTATTATGCCTGTAAGTTCTTCCAACAGGCCAACCTCATTCATTTGTTTTTCATTATTGTAACCACAGACACCTGTTATGTGAACAATCTTAGTGAGTAAGTAATCATTATATATGCAGTATATACTGTATATATTAGTAAGTAAGTAAGACATTTTTATTTATACACCGCCTTTCACAGACCAGAGTCACAAAACGGTTTACAATTGTTATTATTCTTATTATTTTTAAATATACATGTATATATAGTGCATTTTTACAGACCAAGGTCACCTAAAGCACTGATCAATATATCAACTATTAATGTACTGACAACAAAGATTTGGAACTTTTAGTGTTGGGTTTATGTGAAATATTTCAACCACACAAATACTTACTTATTGGTTCCTTTAAAAACGTAACCTTAAAATAAATTTCAATTTTAACTGAACCAATACCTACAGAGCGAGAATGGTACTTGTTTTACCATTTACTGTACATAACATACAACATAACAAATTATGCAAAATAGTTTTAATTAAGGACTGCTCAAATCAAGACAATACATTTGTAATTCAAGTTTTGTAAACAAATCCAGAATGTTTTTGCTGTGCGTGATGGTGGCCTTTGCAACGGAAATATGATTGGGTTGTAATATTCTTGTACATTTTCAAAAAAATTTTGTTTATTCATTCTTATTATTCTTTTGTTATCAATCAATTATTCAAGTTTTTGTCTTTGTTTTCCTTCTGTTGATTAAATAAATGTAATAAATGAACATATTTTTCAAGTGTTCTCCCATTTTTTGTTGAAAAGAGAAAACTACCTGTTCCAATACCAGTCATTAAAACTCACACAAGCACATAATTGATTTAATATTTTGATAATCTTAAGAATCTAGATTTTCTTGGTTTATTAGTTCAGATCGTGGATTCCATTCTGAAAGGGATGTTTGTTTTCTAACTCTAAAGGAAAGTAGACTGATAAAAGGTATTAAAAACATTGTATATATATATTTCTTTTACAAAACGGCAATGAGCTGCACAAGTAAAGGTTGCTTTTGAAACAGAAAGAAAAAGCCTAATAGAATAATAGTTTCTTTATTTGTAAATTATTCAAAAATCTTTTTGGTTTAGAAATACATATATTTTCAAAAACATAAGAAACAGTGGAAAAAAACTGACCACAATTGAAGATGGACCATAAAACAGCCATTGTCAAAAGTCCTCCATAGTAAAATACAAGTTAAAAATGTAAAACCATAAAATCAAGAGGTTTGCTTTCTGGGCAGATCTTGATTGTTAAAGAAGAATAGGTCACGAGATGGAAACACTGTTCTTGCTTGTAAATAAATAAACTTTTACTTGCACCGACCTGAATCCCTTAACACCCCTTTTTCCCAATTTCTCGGCTGACCTCAAATATTTTCCACACATCTCACCAAGTTTCTTCGATGCCCAACGATGTCTCCAGATCTATGTGTGGGCGCGCTCACGGTTGACCTTTCTGTGAGAGAGAGCGTGGCCTGAGGCAGTCTCATGAGAAAAGTATAAATAGATCCAATCCTCCCAAAACCACTCATCTCACGCTTGCTCCTCCACTTGTAATCCTCTATTGTGTATTCTGTGGTCACTTTGCGGCTTAGCGTGAACACAGAATCTCCCCTCACCGCCGCAGTGAACAAAGAACCTTTACTGTTGACGTACTGGCCCGGCATGGCGGTCCACTGGCGCGAATTTAGATTATAACAATCCATGACGCATAGCAAGAAGTCATTGCAGGGCCCATTCCGCATCACGTACAGGTTGTCCCTATGCCCCACCATGCAAAGTCCGTAGCTTTGTTCGCGGACAAGCGTGGTCTCCAGTTTCCATTGATCTTTCTGCGGCAAGTACTCGAAAACCTCTGTGACGCCTTTACCTTTCCAAAGACAAATTAAAATCCGGTTTAAAACTGTTGCTGAGACGGTTGATGCAGACGGACGTGGGAGGGGAGAAATACCAGTCCAGCAACCGTTTCCAACTTGATACTTTTCAACCGATGTCAACTCTTTGTGTTCGCACTCCCCTCCAATCGCAAAGAGACATCCTTCGTGGCCGACAAGTGTGAGGTTGTAGCGTAGTTGGTTGGGTCTACAAATCGTTGACCAAGAGTTATTCAAAGGATTGTAACAGAACCCGCTCTGCACGATCTTCTTGCTCACATCGTGAACCCCTCCGACAATATAGAGCTTGTTATTGAGAACAGCAACGCCGGACATAGTTGTGCTAGAGTTTGAAGGTAGCTGAGTTAGCACTTTCCATTCTTTAACTTCCTCATCTAGATAGCACACAGTCCTATGGCAATCCTCAAGCTTGTCTCCCGATGGAGAATGACTACAAACGGCCATGTATCTAGCCGGGATCAACGATTCCACGTATTCCGTTAATGTTTGGGGCAAGGCGCGTAGATCTTCTTTCAAATCTGCATACATGTCTCGTATAAAAAGAGCCGAGTCGTGGAAAAGCTCCCAAACTCCGTAGGTAGAAGCAGTGTGGAACATCAGCAAGCAATTTTCTGAGTCAATGATGTTGATAAGATGCTTGGTCAGAAGGGGCACTTGAAGAAAGGCCGTGCACTCAATCGCCTCTACGATTTGGTCGCCGTTGAGCATCGGTTGACTCCCTTCCAGGACTTTTAGCATGACTCCAAATCCCAGAAGTCCCACGCATTGCAGGCAGATCTCATCCTTCTGGCATTCCTTCATTCCTGACTGGAACAAGGCTCGAAAGTACTCACAGTGCTGAGCGAGAAGACCTTTCTTTACAACAAAATAATGGTTGTCAACGTTGACGCGCAGCAGTAGCTCACACTGTCCCGGCTGGAGAACTGGACAGCTGGATTCCATCACTTCGGTGCAATAGATCCTCATTACACCCCACAGTAAAGATGCAAGTTCTTCCTGTTTGAATGGGAAACACTCAGGCGCATCTGTAGTTTTATCTTTCTCTGACGATATACATCAACGGCATCTAGTCCTGAGCAGATGGTAGACTTGGTCCCACTGCAATGAGAACAGGCTCTATACATAGTAGGCAGACATTACGATGACAGGCGGCCAAAAGAGAAAGCTGTGCAGCCCCCGTTGAAAGAGGAGATGGATAAATGGCACGTCTCTCTCTGTTGATGTGTGGATGATTCATATTGCTCTTTGTTTGGAGTTGACAGTTGGGGGACAGCTGAAGACTTGTCCTTGGGTGGCGCTGAAACAATGGGTTGTTTCCTAGAGCCGATTTTATTCATGCCGCTGTCTACCGTTTGTTTGCCTTAAAAATGGGCCGCAACAATATAACAGAGATGATATCTTCAACTCCATTGTGAAAAAAGTATCAATCATTCTTGACATTGAGACTGAACATTTAGAAATTACTCGAGTTTTGTCCTATTTCACATTTAGAAGTTACAAATCCTGTAAAATCTACTACTTTGTACGTTTGAACAATGATTCTCTAAGTTGAATCTGGAACAGTCCTCCTGAAAATGTGAGACAGGCTTCTTCTCTGACAATTCAGGTTAAAAACAGTTCTGTTAAGATGTGCACAACTGAGGGATTTTATCTTTACTCTTTTCAATGTACTGCGATTATTTATGATTCTTTTGCCTTGTATTGTATCTATCTTGTGGCCTTGTCTATGAACTATTCAAACACCAATCAACTTTTTTGTAGACCGCAATTGGTGTACAAGGCAATCCAAAGTGTTTTCCTAATTGGTGAAATGTGTAACAAAACAACCTTTCTCAGGCTGTTTTGATAATTCCTTGACTCTTTCTGCTTTTAATCACTGCATTCTTGCTGCTATGGCAACGATAACCCTCGAGCCATACACATTAACTTTCCCTTTGAGACGTGGGTGTGCTCTTACAACACAGGAAATGGTTTAAAACTCTTGGTTTGTTTGTGTTTGGTTTGTTTGGCCCCTGTCCAAGTCTCCAGTGTGATTATGGATGTGTGCTCCTTCTCTTCATCCAGCCTCCGTTTTATGAGCCTCGTTTGAAGTGTTCTTCCTAAAATGGACTGGACGTTGATCAGATGCAAGCATGGAGCCGGGCTGTTTCCCCCCGTCGTCATACTTCTGCTGCTGATACCTTTGAGACAACTTTGCCACACTCAGTTTACCCAATAGCTCCAGTCGTTATGGGCATTTATATAATTCCGAATGGGTCTTGTTCAAAGTGAAAAATATGTTTTGATTTGAGGGACTACAGCCTGGAGGAGCCCGTCCAAGTATGTCCGTGATGTTTGGGAAAGTTAAGGCTTGTAACTTGACAGTGGCTCCGGAGAGATGTGCTAATGAGTGTAATTTAGTGCTGCTGGGTGCGACTGGCTCCGGGAAATCAGGTAAGATTATTGTACACACAAACACACACCCTCACACACACACACACACACACACACACAGAACCCACACGCACACACAGAACAATAATTTGCAATATACCTATTCTTATATATGCTAATATACATACCTCTACAGAAATGCTATAGTGCTTTTTTAATGCTAGAGTAAGATATTTTATTTTATTTTAGATTTTGGTTTGTATAGAGCTTTGAATAGTGCTATTATTCAATTTTCTTGTGCTGTGTGCTCCTCATTCCTACTGTCTGTAGTTTGTGATGCAACACTGGAATTTCCCCACTGTGGGATGAATAAAGGATCTCTTAATTTTAATCTACTTGTATAAATCTATGTTGATGTTATTGTTGGATTTTAGTACATTATTATAATGAAAGATTCTAATACTGTCTGTACTGCTTAATTGCTCATCAAGCATGAAAATAAGTATTATATTTCTATTCACTCCTTTTTGAAAATGAGATACAATTGGAATATTCGAACTACAATAATATTACCATTCTTACAATACAATAAATAAAACATCTTATTTGGTATACTACATACATATAACTCGATATCTATGTTACTCCCCTTTTCCAAGATTTCAAGTTATGTTATGTACCTTTAGACTTAGTTTTTTATGTGTGATTTCATTTAATCACATTCAAAAACAGAAATATACTTTAATCAGGGATTCATCTTCCCCAGTTTGGCATCAATCTCCATCAATATGCTCCAGTGTTAATTTCTTTCATATAAATTCCACCTGATAAAAAAGATACAAATCAAATCCACATTTTTATACAAAGAAATGTTTTTAAATAATACCATACAATGTAATGTAATGTTATATGTGTAACACTTGTAACTTACTATTAGTGCTCACAATTACAGAAACATTTCTAGTTATAATTGCATGTTTATATCCTGCAGAGAATCTTAAAGACCTGTATAATTATTTTCATTTTTGCTTTAATATTCAGCCCCAGTGGCTTTTTAATCTGTGGGTGATTTCTAAAAAACATGCACTAAAAATGAGTCATTATTCGTAAAACATATTAAAACTTGTGCACCTTTCTCCTTGTAATTATTGAACCGTAGATTGGCGATTCAGCTTTTTCACATGTTTACCATAATGCAACACACTAATATGGCCCCATTTCTATTTCTAATGACTTATTTAATGAAGCACATATTTAGATTATTACAGCACAAGGCTGGAAATGGGAATGTTTACGCAGCAGTGGTTTTCTCATGGCCCCTTTGACCTCCTCCTCTGGGCCTGTAACTTTACCGTTCTGTTCCATAATCACTGAACCACAACGGTTTGGGTGAAAATGATGTTTTTTTATGAATAATATTGTGATGGATGGATTTGCCTGAACCTAAACATAGCATTGATGATAATGAAATATATTGGTCTGAAAGAATACCTGCTTGTGTTGGATCTGGATGATTGCGTATGACCGTTTCAATTTAAATGTCTAAAATTAAGATTAAGGCATCCTTTATTCGTCCCACATTGGGGGAGTTTCAGTGACTCTATTTTGGTTTCTATACCTTATGAAAAAAAAAGTGTCCATCAATGCCATTAAAAACATGAGAAAGGCTTACATTTTCTCTTTACCAAGAAGTTTCTTTAGAGCCAGATATATTTTAGAGCAGTAAAAATAAAGTTTAGCACCACAAACATGCTGAAGGTTGTTCAACTTTTTCTATATTTTGAGATATTTGTTTGTGTAAATGAACTCTTATTATATACAAGAAATATTTTGTATTCAGCAAAATCAGTTATTTGGATAAAAAGCATAATAAAGTCCCTTGTAGATACTGTTGAGATAGTATTGTATAGAATTGTGTGTTTTGAGATACATATCGACAGGCTCTGTTAAAGACAGTCATTCATGTTCTTTGAGCCATTGGTGAATATCAACAAACAGATAATTAGCGCTGGGAATAATCTTCAAAACTGTACAACTTTATTAACCTGGTTTACGTTATGTATGTGACCCTCAAATTAAGTTCTAACTGTGAAATCACATTATTTACAAGTATACAATTGTACTGTTCCAAATTCCATTAACCATCTAAACATACAGTATGAAAAAGGAAAAAAATAGGGAGTTGCAAATGTACAAATGTTACTATCTGAAAAACATATTTTTAGCACATGATGGGATCAATGCATTAATTGCATTTACTGTAGGTACAGAATAATGAATATCTGCTTTTTGGCATTGTGTCACCGTCTCTTTAACTTTAAGAATATAATTTTTCAGTCCATGAGCTCATAGAAAGGCAATTTTTTGCTTCCAGACCCCAGCAATGGGACCGGGAGAGGCAAATAAATCTCACACATATGTTGACATCCAGGAATAACTTTTTTGTTATTTGTTTTTATGTAGGATACTCACTCAAAGTAGAAAATTTCAATAGATTTTCTTATTTCCAACGGTGTATCACCCAAGCATTCAGGACAAAGTGTTTTTTTAATAGAGGTATTTACGTGGCGATGGTACAAAAGCAAAGACGGAGAATAAAACAAGAGAATAAACAAAACAACTCAACCAGTGAACACAACTCAAGCTAAAGTAATTGCATCCTTTGTGATTTTGTGTTTTTGTATTGATGTTGCAGCTTTGATTGTAAAGTTCCTCACAAAGCGCTTCATCAGTGAGTACGACCCCCGCCTAGGTGAGTCATCTGCATTCACGCTGTAATTATGCATGTTTGTATGTGATGGGTGTCCACGGTAAATTGGCGGATGTGGTGTATCGAGAAAATGAGAATGTAAATGGCTTTTTTCCGGGTCTCTTTCCTCGCTCCCCAGAGGATATATATTCTTCAGAGGAGATGGTGGACCAGCAGCCAGTCGTGCTGAGAGTGATGGACACTTATGATCAGGTATGAAGAAAATGTCTCGCTTGTTTATGTAGATGTGTTTAAGGCTATTTCAGAGCGTTTGAAGCTTTCGCACTGTTTCTTCATGGTTCATAATGACTGCAATTCAGGATTCTCACCTGTTTTCCACTAGTTTTATTTACTTTATGAAATGTGTATTTTATTTACCTGTAAACAGGGGACTCACTGCTGCTTATTAAGTAAGTAAGTAATCATTATTTAGATACCGCCTTTCACAGGCCAGAGTCACAAAGCGGTTTACAATTTGTGTGGAGTGAGAGACAAATGCCCAAAAAATAACAGAGATGGGAGCGGGGTCGCCAGTACAGGAGGCGCATGCCAGACCTATTGTACATATTTTTTGTGGTCGGGGAAACCGGAGTACCCGGAGGAAACCTACGCAGACTGTTGGGATCATGCTTAGGTTATGGTCAGGCATTTCTGATTGGATTTGAAACTGAAGAACCAATATTTGAATCCCTGGGTTTGAATCCCAGTTGGAACTGGACTGTCTGAGTGGAGTTTGCATATTTTCCCCGTGTCCGTGGTGGTCTCCTCCAGGTCCTCCGGTTCCCCTTTCCACCGAAAGCATGCACAATAGGTTCAGTACATCCTCCAGTGCAGTGTCTTTTTTGGACACCCATAGACACTTCATTCACTCACTGTGGTGATAAACTACTACTAAAGCTGTAGCTGCCCTGGGGCATACTGACAAAAGCGAGGCAACCAGTCTGTGCCATCGGCCCCTCCAACAACCACCAACCATTCACACACACACCAGACACATTCGAATGTGGGTGAAGTGTCTTGCCTAAGGACACAACTGCAGTTTGGCACTTTACAGCCGCAGCCGTCCCACTGTGGCACCTGGTGTTCCCAGAGGTCTCCCATCACAGCACTAACCAGGCCCTGCCCTCTTTAAAGTCAGTCCAATTTCTCAACACAATATGGCTGCTTCAAATTCAGTCTCACAAACCAGAGTAGAAATAAGTGTTCTTATTTTGACTAACTGCAGAAACTAATGTATAGATAATTATTTTTTGTGTGTGTTAAGTGGTACAGTTACATTACGGGACTGAGGCAGGAGCTTTTAGACAGAGGGGGTGGAGTTACATGTTTGTGCCAGAACTTCCTGATGTTAGTGTGGATGGGTCTAAAAACAACTCCAGGTCGGTTGATGAGAAACAATGTTGGTTAAAAAGCTTTAAAAGTAGATAATACACCTCCTTTAAATCTTATGGTGAGCTGTTTGTGAGTGTATCGCCTCCATGTGAGTAAATGACAACATCATCTGGAACATATGAGGAATGCACTTAATGTTGAAGATGACACATTACAGGCGGCAAATAACATCTCTATGTGAGACAACAGCAGCATAAACGCTACAGAAAGGTGTCGTTTGATACTCTTTCTCTGACTGTATTCATCGTTGTTATTATTCATTCATAACAAACAATGAGGATTAACAAACAGTACCGACCTGGTTGATGCAACATCTGAAACTAATGTAAGAATGTAGAATATAGAACCACGCGTGTCACTTTCACTTTGTCCCAGACCCTCATGCTGCTAACATGTACAGATGTAAACACATAACTATGTATTACTTAGACTATATATACAACATTTTATACAGTACTTGCTTCTGCATTATACAACTGTTTTATTCCATATTGCACAACTATTTTATTCTGTTGCTCCTGTTTTTAATGTTGTTATCATGTCTTATACAGTGTCCTTGGGAGGCGCTTTTAAAGAAAATGTATTATTATTATTATTATGCTAAAGTTGGAGAATTTAGACTTATCTCCCTATTATGCTAAAGATAGAGATTTTATGCTGCCTCTTTTTATGCTGGAGTTAAAAATTTAGAGTTATTATTAGAGTTATTAATATACTATATCTTGTGCTCCTCATTCCTACTGTTCTGTAACTTGTGATGCAACACTGAAATCTCCCCAGAGTGGGACGAATAATGGATCTCTTAATTTTAACATCATACCATGTCCATAGACACGTGTGGACTGTCAAAAGTGAATTTTGCTGTAAAAAAAAAAAAAAATGGAAACGTAATGTCTGCTTATATAAGTGTATAAAAGACACATTTAGAGACAGATAAGTTTAGAGAGCGCACTCCTTCAACTGCTTCTAATGAAACAACGAATGGAGTGCTGCAGCTGTGCCTTTATTATGGAGAAAAACATGTGCCAGAGTGGAACCGCAGAACGTTAATTTCTGGGTATATTTTTTGAGCTTTTAATGCTTATCTCGGAGGAACATATTTCTTCACATATTTGAGAACTGTTCATTCTCACTGTAATCTGTAAGGCTACAACATTTGGCTTTCTAGTGAAGCCTGAAGTAACAATACATTGATAATTTTAATGTTTAATTGTTTGTACGTTCAAGTGATTTTAAATTTTTCATATGGCAATTATCAAAGAACAACCTATTGACTGTTTCCTATTTGGGTCATAGTCAAACATAGTTGAACAATAAATGGCTAAACAATATTTATTACATGGTTGTATTCATTATTTATAGCAATGTTTGTTCATACAAGCGGCCCTTATTACTGGCTGGATATGTGAATGCACAGTGTCCTCTGTTGGTGGGAAATAGTAGTGGTTCTCACAGCCATAGAAAAATGCAAAAGATTTTTATTTAAATGCATTAATGCTTTTATAGTTTTAGTCTATATGGAAACGTGATATATTTATTTAATTCAAGCTGGGGGACATAAGCACAAAAAACAATCCACTAGTTCTGCGCTCTCTCCCTGGTTCTACAGGTGAATGCTTTAGACTCCATACATGCAGAGTGAATATGCCAAGCCTTTGTTATAATGTTGATGATCATGGCTAACAGGCCTTTACAGATTATTATTTATTTTCTTTTTTACAAGCTATGAGCCAATCAATATTATATCAACTACAGAAAATCGGCTTTTGAACAATATTCTAATTTTCTGAGTTTCACCAGTTTGGTTACATCTTTAGATCCGTATTTTTGTGTGAAACCTAGAGAGGTAAAAGCTGATCAGATTCTCAGTATACGTACAACTTAACATGTTCAAGATAAACACAGCAGTCAGGTGATATCCTAAAATGAAACTTAAACAAGAATCTTTTTGTTGGGATACACAAAATGTATTCATGAAACAAAACAAAGTTAGGTATTCGAGGTTTCAGACTCAAGTATTGCAGTTCCTTATAATATTAAACCATAATAATAAGTATACAGAAACGCAATACAATAAAATGATCAACTATGGCCCCCTCCCTGTTCCCATGAATAACATTGATGATGTACAATGCCTAATGTAATATACATATTAATCAATCAATCAATCAACCTTTGTTTGTAGAGCACTTTCCTACACAAGGTAATACAAGTGCTTCACAGCCCCATCAAATAAGGCATAAAAAACAAACATTAAAATCACACAAAGGATTAAGATCATAAATAACTGCAGCGCATTAAAAAGAGCAAAGACAAAATCCTTCAGTTGCACGGGTAAACAGAAGTGTTTGCAACCTGGACTGGAACATTGTCAGAGTAGACGCCTGTCTCACATTGTCAGCTGCATGAATCTGAAAGGCTGCCTCCCCACGTTTAGTCCTGACTCCGGGCATCAGCAGGAGCCCCGTCCCTGTGCTCCTCAGAGTCCGAGTCGGTTCATATGGCACACACTTGTACACAAGCAGAGCTACTTTAACAACCCTTTAACATTCCCTACTTGAAGAAAGCAATGGATTGGTTTTTCTTTTTTCTAAGATGTCGGACACTAATAACATAAATAATTTGTTTTTACGTTTTTTTAACCCATATTTTTTCATTTTTGTTATAGGCCTTTACTAAATGGTTGAGATGCAGTTTGATGGTAAAAATGCCTTAAGCCAAGATATTCATGCAGCTAAATTCTGGAACAACCTTCCTGAAAATGTAAGACAGGCCTCCTCTCTGACAATGTTTAAAACAGTTCTGTTTATCTGTGCATACAAAGGAGGGATTTTATATTTTTACCTTTTTAATGTACTGTGATTATTTATGATGTTGTTGCCTTATTGTGTTAATGTTTCTATCTTGTTTTGTTCAGCACTTTGAGTCGCCTTGTGTATGAACTGTGCTAAACTAATAAACTTGTCTTGCCTAGATTGACTCAAAAGGTGATCGATCAAATGGTTGAGGAAAAGTCTCTGAGCCTCAGAAGCCAGTGCAGAGACCTATGCACTGTGGTTATAATGTATTGTGACATTGTTCAAGGCCAGACCATGTTTTTAGCTGCCCCCCAACATCGCAGATACAGACCTACACTCTTCCAACCCCTGTATAAACCCACGCAGTAAACATTTATTGTCTGTTTGACTGTGTGCTTTCAGGACGGTCCGGTGAACACGGAGAGGTACGTGTCTTGGGCCAGTGCTTTTATAGTTGTCTACAGCATTGAAAACCAGGACAGCTTCAAGGTCTGCCACAAGTATCTGGACACGCTCTCTCTGCACAAGAAAACATGTGAGGTGCCCATTGTGCTGCTGGGGAACAAGCTGGACCTGGAGCGATACAGGTGTGTCCTTGTGGCCGCTCTCACACTCCGTCCTGACAGTAGCCAAACCAAACAGTTGTTTGGTTTGGCTATGGTTATTCATTTCTCATTTGCTGCACTTGAAATTACCTCAATAAAGTCTGTCTTATCTTATCTTAAATACGAATTAGCAGTCTGTCCTGGAGATAACTGCATTTCAATTAAATATAACTGCTGTATGGAATGTAAGCATTTTGAGCAGGAGTGAATTCTTGTAAAGAGTGAATATAAAAATCCTTCAGTTGTATGCACAGCTGGATTTGAACATCGTCAGTGAAGAAGCCTGTCTCACATTTTCAGGAAGACTGTTCTAGATCTTAGTTGCTTGAGTCGGAAATGCTGCCTCCCCATGTTTAGTTCTGACTCCATGTGACAAGTTCCTCTTGTGTCTATGACTAATTATTCCATGAGTGTATTTTCGGTCTCATTGTTTGATCAGGTTTTTGAGACTGAAAAGTGGAAAAGAGAGGACCACCCTCGCTCAGCCAATCAGCTCTCAGCCCAAAGAGTCAAAAGTGACTCACTGGGCACTTTCTTATAAGTATACAAAAGATAATACGTTTTCCAATAAGATGATGACAGCATGATGTGATTTGTTCTCTATATTTTACTTTTCTAAGTTTCTGTTGTGGTGATATGGTATCTGCAGGCTTTAAAAGATACCCAGCTCTATTCCATAAAGTTGTACTTTATCCTGTATGAATATAGAGCAATCATGCGACATCACAAAGTCAGAAAACACATTCGAAATACCACTTCACCAGCTCAATAATCGTAGCGCCTCCAAGTGCTCTGCATAAAGGTTATGTCTAACAAACTGAAAAGTCATGAAAACGATTGTCAGCGAGTGTGCCCTGCAATCATGCCATTTCGGGGCAAGCATATTATTTGACTTGCAGCTCTGTGCGAATAGAAAATGCGAAAAAAAACCTGGAGCCAAGAGACCCAGAGCCTGTGGGGAGAGCTCCGACAAAGACACGCGTGTGCTAGCTGACGGCTCTGTCTGCCATTGTGGCTCCAAACCCCCGGGAACACCACTGGCACTGCATTTTGAGCAGGGAAAAAGCTCTCCACTATAAAAGCAGTAGAAATTTTAACCCAAGGCAAAAACGGAACTCATTTTCATAAAAAAAGTGAGTTTCAGCAACATTGCAATGCCTCAAAATCATGTATTTGAATGGTGCAGTAAAAATGTCAATATTGAGTGCGTTTTAATGCATGGTGAAATGGTTGCCAGATATTACAGCTATTGCAGAGTTGATGCATTAAAGATAGTACATAGCAGGATCTGGCCACCTGCTGAGATGTGCACAGCATGTGTTAACTGCATGTCAGGATGTGTTATTGGCTGCTGCGCTTTGATGCCAGCTTTTGTTTACAGAGATGGCTCAATTTGTAATTTATGAGTAAAAGTCTCCATGGCTGCATATCAAAGACAAAGACGTACAGTTCTTATATAAATGCAGCTGTTTATATGTGACTTCCTTACATGCTATAGTTATAACTCTAGGACAACCTTGGATCACATGGGTGCTAGCCAAAGCCACCTCCATCATGAACAATACCTCCCACTGCACAGGACTGTAGAGGAGCTGAGGAGCTCCTTCAGTGGAAGACTGAGGCACCCTCAGTGTAGGAAGGAGCGCTACCGCAGGGCCTTTATCCCCACCGCTGTCAGACTGTACAATAAGTCACTTTAAATGATCACTGTGTTAAAACCTGCACTACTATTGACACTGTTTCCAATTGACACTTGTCACTTTTGTTGTACATAATTATTGTCACTTTTATTGTACATATATATCCTGCATGTAACATGTTTGCACATTTCCTCCTTTTGCACAATCTGAGTGTCTCTATCCATGCCAAATGTGACATGTAAATTTCTCCTATGTGAGATAAATAAAGCACATCTTATCTTATCTTATCAATATGTAGGTCTAGTTTAAAACATGAATGACACAAAACAAAGCTTACATAGTTCAAATTCAAGATTCAATTTAACTGTCCCTGAAGGGAAACTCTTTTTTCAGCCTAGTTTGAATTTTTTTTGGTAACCATTTATAAATGTACTGCCCTGTATGTGTGCTGCAACATCGAAATTTCCCCACTGTGGGACGAATAAAGGAACTCTTACCTTATCTTATTTTACTTCCTCATTACTCATTAGGGATGTCACTAAGCAACCACGTGATAAACTGGATCAAAGCTTTAAAAGTATCAATCACTGTGTTGAGATGTTTACTGCTATTTTTGCGTAAATTGACACCTGCTAGCAATTTTATTCATAATTTACCATTCAATTTAAGCCACTCTCAGGAGCCTTCTTGACTTAAGTGACTGCTTATTGAGTATATGGCTGCTCCTGTGTGTAGTATTATTCTGTAAGTGACCGATAACTTTCTCTCATACTCATGCTAACAACCCTTTTGGCTTCTCGAGGAATTAGTTCTTGCTCATTTGGACGGGTTCTGTTGGTTACACCGCTGCTCTATAAACAGAACACATTACTACATTGTCATCCGTGGGTCTGAATATGTAACCAATCCTTCCTTCTCGCCTCCAGGCAGGTTAGCAAATCCACCGGAGAGGAGCTGGCGTTGCGTTTCGGCTGCCTCTTCTATGAGATCTCAGCCTGTCTGGACTTCCATGACGTCCAGCAAATCTTCCACGAAGCGGTGAGGAGAGTCCGGCTGCGAGGGAGCCAGTGTGGGCGTCCAGTGTACATCAGTGAGGATAAGGGCCTGGTGACTCTGCCCTCGCCTCCAGCATATGCCACGCCCTGTCTCAAAGAGCTACCTGCACCAGCCACCGCCAAGCTGGTCACGGTGAAGACCTCCAGGGCCCAGAGCAAGCGGAGGGCTGCCACACTCACGCTGCTAAAGGGTTTCAAGATTTTCTGACTGTACACTAATGTTTTAATACTGACAATGTTGATTAATGATAAAGCCCACATATTATGCAAAATCATAATTTCACCCATGTTGCAATGTTCCCTCATCAATAAGACATGACCACACACATGTCCACAAGTCTAGGATTTTTTCATTTTCACAATGTTTAGTGTAATAATATCTGCTCTAAAAAGTTTAGAGGAAGTGAAACCAGGGAGTTGTATGATGACATCACTCAAGGCCAAACAACATTTAAGTTGTATAGTTACAACTTCTTAATACACACGTTAAGAAGCCTCAGTACAATTGCATGTTTGTCATGTGCAATGTTTTTATGCCGCTGGACAATGTATGTACAAATCTAAATAATTAAGAACAACATTATTTATATATATTCATTCATTCATTCATTTTCTACCCCTAACCCGGACCCATTTCTGGGTTGGGGGGTGACAATGAGAGCTGCCACCCAATACACATAGCACCCGTTCTTCGCTGATCCGCTGCAGGTGGTGGGTCCACAGGAAGATGGCTGCTACAGTGGTGCCACAGCCTCAGTGTTTCAGCGCGAGCCTCAGGCAATGTGGGGCTAAGTGTCCAAGAACACAACACCCTCCAGCCCAAAGTCCAATGCTCTACCAACTGAGCAACTATCGCCCCTATGTATTTAGAATTATTGATAGTGAGTTAGAGTTATCACTATTGCACTCCAAAATGTAGACGTCCACTGCTTTGTTGCTTTTTTGGAACCAAAGTATTGTCTCCAAAACAAGACAATTATCTATGAACATTGAGTTGGACAACACCAACTTGGATTTGAGTGAAAATTAAGCAAAATGTAGTGACCATCTACCGACCTACAACCTTTAGCTGACGAGATCCTAGCCTTCAAAACAGTTCTATTGTTGGTTCTATCACTGTTGTTGAATGTTTTTGGCCTCTGTCACATCTTTAGCCTTTTCAGACACAACAGATTCCGTTTACAATACTCTATTTTGTTTTTAAGATCAGAATAAACAATTAGGGGCGACAGTGGCTCAGTTGGTAGAGCATTGGCCTTTGAGCCTGAAGGTCGTGGGTTTGAGACCTTCTCCACAGACTCCCACTGATGTCTGCTGTTGTTGTGTCCTTGGGCAAGACACTTTACCCCACTTTGCCTGAAGCCCCCCCTGAGGATCATTGAAATGAATCCCAGTAATGGATTAAGGGGAAGAAAATGGATGGATGGATGGATATTAGGACAATTGGGTAGGATGACTCAAGCTAATGTGATATAGTTATATTTAAATGAAAGAGTTTACTGTAATCTCTCTGTAATCTTTGCTGTAATATTATTCTGTTTTGTTCACAATCATTATTATTGAAAGAAATATTGTACTGTGCGATAGTGGTGAGGGACATACATTAAAGGTGAAAAATGGGTGAGATCTGAACCATGTTATGAATATATATTTTGGGGTGATTCTTGCAAGTTTGAAACATATTTATTCTCCAGCACTCAACATGCCATTCTCTTGACGATCCCTATTTCCACCAAGGCACAAAGTGTTCTTGATATTTAACAATGATTGATGATTTGGTTTGTTTTTTCATCTTCCACTGCTGGTTTAGAAGCACAGGTCACGCACAGGTCTTTATGGCCAAAATATAAATCATGTTGCTGCGACATCAGTACTTTGTTGTTATATCAGAGCAGTAATTACAACAGTTGGATATGTAAAATATTGTGTATATTATTGTGTGAATTAAAATCATGTTCTTCTCTATTTAGAATTATTTTTCTGGAAGTCCTGCCTCTGCATTTTCCACAGGGCCATTCTAGTTTCATTTCAACCCTCATCAGTCTGTCACATCTACCTCCAACCTGTTTTTCACTTACAATTTTGGCTAAACTCACATTCACACAAAAACTGTGCTTGCTGCTAACTGGCCACATACACAGACAGTCTAATATGTACAATGTCTGTGGTGCTAGCACAGGAAAAGGAGACATGTGATTGGTGCTGAGCAAATTGATTGACAGTTTCTTATTCTTATTTTTTTTTCTCCTACTCATTTCATTTTGAACTGGTACCAACATCTCCTCTGACCCAGAAATGGACAAAGTCTTATATGTCCAGGAATCTCCCTAAATATCTTTAACTCTATGAAGATTGGATGTAGATGTTTGATGTCTTTTGTCAATAGGGGAAAACAACTGCCAAGTAACTTTAGCCTAAAACATTTCAGTCCTTAAACTTGTCAATCTTTAAACGAGAAACTCCTTTTTTGTTGACGACCAATGACCAAAGAAAATAATAATGGTTGAACTATTTGATTCTCTGATCTGTGTTGGCAAATCGACAGCATTGTAAAGTCCTCAGAGAAAACTACTGTTGTGATTTAGGGCTATACAAAAACACAAAAATAAATGCGATTGAATTGAATTAATAATAAACTATATGTGTCATGTATTAAGCTTTTGTCGTTATAATGTCATCTTTTTTAAACACAATGACACTAAGCACATTTCTGTCACTGTATCCAACAACAGCTGCTTTTCAGAAGAGATGTGATAGATGTTATTTTAAGAACAAAAGAGGATTTTAGCATTAGATTTAAGACATTAAGCCTTTTCAGTTTGGCACAATGCATTGATGTACAGTCTGACTGCTGATGCCTGTGCCAACGCCTCCCTCTGGTCTTTTTACCGCAGCCCAGCGCCGATTTAAAGTAAGGGAAAGTATTTTTAAGTGCAAATTTACTGTAAATCTCTTCTTTCATTAGTGGAAGATAGATTAAAAATGATGTCAAAAGTGCCAAGCATAATTGTTCCCAGTATTCTCCATGTTCCAGCACTTGTGGTTTTAATGCCAGTGTCCCGCGGTGAAATCCGGGCAACACTCAGCGCTCTTAAAACAACGGTTTATTTTGAACCCCGGGCTCTGTGACAAATCAAAAGGAATCATAATTTGAACAGGAAGTGAAAGCCAGAGTGCTTTTATTTTAATTATGTTTCGCAGCTAAGCAAGACTGTAATGGGTTCAGCCCGAGCGACCTGTGCTAATTATGACCCTGTTATTTCATTGAACAACTCTGTAACGAGACGCTGCCCCCTCCTGAGACTCAAGTGCACTTTGGGGAAAAGAAGGAAGTCTGTCAGAGACTTATTAGACATACTTTTAGAGACACTTGTGCCAGCTCCTGGATTAACGGACACATACAACGCAAAATGTACTTTTTAAACCATATTACAACTGTGTTCCTCATCAAAAATAGGCCTGGAGTTTTTAGATCCATCCACGTTAATATCAGGAACGCCCCTTTTGTCTAATGATTAAGAGCAGTCTTCCCATATGTTTTTATACAATGTTTGATTATTTTGACAGTAGCTCAGTTGGTAGAGCATTGGCCTTTGAGCCTGAAGGTCGTGGGTTCGAGCCCACCTCAAGACCTACTTCACGACTCCCACTGATGACTGCTGTCGTTGTGTCCTTGGGCAAGACACTTAACCCCACTTTGCCTGAAGCCCCCACTGAAAGATCTCAGCTCCTGTGGATTCACCACCTGCAGGAGGATCAGTGAGGGGCTGGTGCTCTGTGACTGGGTGCAGCTCTGACTGCCACCCCCCTGACCCAGAAATGGATTAAGGGGAAGAAAATGGATGGATGGATGGATGGTTTGATTATTTTATCATGTCTGACAAGATTAAGCCGCTTGTCAAGAACTGCACTTAATTATTTAAAATAATTAGCTAAAACAAGACTCATTTACCTTTCATAAACCCACCCAAACAGTAGAAAGAGTTTGTGTTCATGTGACATCACAACATTCCAAACAGCTTAGAAGTTTTAACCTGTGGTGGAGGGCATTTGAAAATGTTTTACAGGTAACTATTGTAGCTGTTAAATAATTATATTTCTAGTCTCGAGCAAATTTCTCATTCTCATTTTTGTTCCAAGACTGTACCATATCTTTACTGTCAGTAAATATTAACTATGGTGTCATTATTTCCCATCAGATTTAGGTTGCCATTTTTTTTCTTTATCACAAAGCTGTCTAGAACAGCGGTTCCCAAACTGGGGGACGGGACATTGTCTTGCGATTGCAGATTCTACAGTATTATTTTTGATACACACATAATTTTTTGAGTGTTCTTAGAATTAAATAGCACAATAAAAGACTCGTATACACAACACAAACATTAATTTAGCATGTTTTCAGTGGAGGTTGCGAGTCAAGAAAAAGTTTGGGAAACCCTGATTAAGAGGTGGTATTAATATAAAATGTATCTTCATTTCTGACTGCCTTAAAATAATATTTGCCAATGACACAAGCTAAATAATCTTCTTTTAAATGATACAAGAAATGTCTCCCTTGAAATAAAAAAATAAAGCAATTTTTTTTTTAATGACTAAATGGCTTTGTCCCAATGACAAATCTTGTTTTAAGACAGTCTGGATGTACTCAAATTAAGATAAAAACGAAATCAAGCAATTATTACCTCATACAGTGTATGTTGTATGCCAGTGAATGGGCCTTTCATTTAAATTGTGTGTTTGTGTGCGTGTATATGTTGTAATAACTATCTGGGAAAACATTTGGACATAATCTTTTTCAACATTTCTCTCAAAAGTTGGTTGCACCTGCCTGGCAACTGCAACAGAACGCTACAAAAATGTCACAAATGAACGCAACCTATTGTAAAAACGTCTATTCAATTCAACCCCTGTTCTAAAGACACAATTGACTTCACTCTTGTCAGTCCTCCACCACCTCCTCGTTCTCTTTATCTGGCTTTGCTGCGGTGGTTATCTCCGGTTCTCCCTTCTCTCCCTCCTCCTCCTTTGAGCCTTCAGCCTGCCTGTCCGCCTCTGCTTCTGCCACGTCTGGGTACAGGCTGGAGGTGTTCCCGTCTTTATACGTGAGCATGATGTTCCCGGGCTTGCAGCAGTCACTCAGCTCCCCGTTAGCCGCCTGTAGCGCAGGGGAGGCGAGAGGCTTGGTTGGCGTGGCGAAGACGGTCTCCTCCAGCGCTACGTTCAGCTCGCAATCTTTCTTCTGAAGCAAAGCAGCCACCGCCTTGTACTTGGCTACCTTCTTTCTGTTCCTGCAGGCGAGCGAGGAAAAAGTTATATTTGGATCAGACTTGTAAAAGAGAAAAGGTAAATTTAGACAGAAGTTTACTTGTTGGCCATGGAACCCATCCCCAGGAGCATGAAGCCGATGAGGAGGCCCACGAAGGCGAAACCCAGGATCGCATACTTCCAATAAGTATCTGTATAAAAGTTATCACACATAAAAGACATTTATGGACTTTATCCGCATTTATGGACATTGGTCATCTGCCCCTCATGGACTAATGTCTCTATGTGTTTTTATCGTCGCATATCTTGTGTTTGAACTGTTTGATTTTCTGATCTGTGTTGACAAATTCAACGATTTTGTACAGTCCTCAGAGATAACTACTTTTGTGGTTTAGGGCTATACAAAAAAACTTTGAATTGAAAACAATAGATAGATAGATAGATAGATACTTTATTGATCCCCCGTAGGAGAAATTCAGGGCATCTGCATGATGGTATTGTTACACAAACACCATGAGCATCACACATATTCAAATGAAACCACATACAAAAATGAGTTGCACGTTATACAGAGTTCATTTCTCTAACTGCTTAGGAGCAGTTATAGGAGCTACATGCTACAGTACAATGTGCCACAGACAAATGTGGAGGAGAATCAAGGATGAGGCTCATGCAGCTTTAGAAACTGATGAATGGACCACTCAGCCACAGACATGAGGACACTATGTTGAAAAGGCTCTTCTGTATTTAGCCAGGTACTTAAATATTACATTTAATATATAATTTTCAATCTTTTCCTTTTCAGTTGGGTCTTTATACTAGGAAGGCATTGACACTGTCATTGTGTCAATGCTGTAAAAGCCATTTTATAGCTCATGAACGCACCTCTCTGGAGTGTAGCCTTGGGCTCATTTCCATCCCACAGTCACTCATACACCCTGAACTATTGGAAATGTTTTTCCTCCAGAGCAGAGAAGAATTTGCGCAGACACGAGGAGAACATGCAAATGCCACAAAAAAAAGGCCCCGTCGGAACGTGGATTTGAACCTCGGCCCTTGCTGTGAAGCACCAAATACTCATTCTACAATTCAGACTTTTTATTATTGCATTTCTTGTGTTTGAACGGTTTGATTCTCTGATCTGTGTTGGCGAATTCAACGGTTTTGTCAAGACCCCAAGATAACTACTATTGTGTCTACAACAATAAATTGAATTGAATTGATTAAATGGGATGCTCAAGATAATGTAAATGCAGAGGAAAAAGCATCACAAGTAAAGTTCTGTTTAGCTGTGTATAAAACTGAAGGATTGTATCTTCACCCTTTTAATTCACTTTGATTATTTATGATTTTAATGCCTTGTTTAATTTTTCTTGTTTTGTTAAGCATTTTGAGTTGCCTTTTGTATAAACTGTGCTCTACAAATCAACTTGCCTTGGCTAGCAGTGATAACTAAAAGTATAAATGTAACAAATCTATGTGTGAAAAATAAGAATTAAACCAATTTCAGAATGATTAAGAGGTTATACTCACTCTCCTCCGTGCGATAAAACCAGCGTAGATAATCCTTCTCTTCTGCAGACAGAGTGGGCTTCACCTCGTCCTCAAACTCCTCCGACGCTCTCCTGGATCCTGACAACAACACGCGCTGTCAGAGATCAGCTGTGGCCCAGTCTGCTGCCACCGCAAAACATCCAATCCCAAGCTTTTCAAACTATTTAAATTGTTATTATTACGTTAGCAGTGTCTCTGATTGTTTGAAAAGATGGTGATATGCAATATGGTCGTTTTTGAGTTTCTAACTATGACACTGTTTCCACATCGAGATCATAAACGCAAGTGTACTTAGCTCTATGTATTCCACTTTGAGGGATGTCTGGCACAAACAAAAAATCCAAAACTTGACGAATCTCGACAAAAAAGACAAATCTGTGACAAATCCCTTCAGTATAACATCATTGTTTTGTTTTTTATTTTTGTTTAGAAATTTCCCTACTGTGGGACGAATAAAGGAATTCTTATCTTATCTCATAAAAGCAAATTCAGTGTTTGCCAATTTCTCCAGTGAAATAACGTCACTTACAATAGTGTGTCTTGCAAGGGAAAAATACTATTATTCAGTTTATTTTAGACCAATGATACGATAAAGTAAAATGGAGAGTTCAATAGCTCAACTTTGTATTTGGTCTTGTAGAGTATCTATGTTTTGGTGCCATCATGAAGCAGGTAGGGTTATGGATTGCATCAGTGAGTAGTGCTTAGAAGCCACATGTAGCACAGACAAGATTCTTGCAACACAAGTTGGATCGCAATTAGTGACTTTATTAGACCATTAAGTGAGCCCTTTGATGCCCATGTTATACAATCATTATACATGTCTTTCATTACCTTGTAATAAATCACACAAAAACACCTTCACCTCGGATCATTATAAACATGGCCATTAACAGCTTTCAATCAGAACATCATCCTCAAACTGCCACAAAAACACAAATCCTCAAACTCGGCTCTTCTCTTTGCCCCAAGATCAAATGCAGTACATCTCGAGCAGGGATGTTCAAGACAAATACATCAGAGGGCCAAAAAAACACATTTGCAACAAGCCCAGGGCCGGACTGGTCCAATGTTTGTTAAAATATAATAAAATGATGCATATAACCTATTAAACCAAGACCTAAAGCTGTAACTTATTTTTTTTAAGTGAATAATCCAATATTTTTGAGAGATAATGCTGCCCATAGCACATGGGTCTCTCTGTAAATGGAGGATACAGGTATCGATGCACATTCTTTCACCCTGAGCAGTTCACTCACACAGAGGAGGATCATGAGGAGGTATCGCTCTCTCCTGAAGCTTCCAAACATCTGTGGCACATTTGGGAATGGGCGATATGCACAGGAAAACTACTTCAACTGCAAACAGAGGCGCTGACTTCGTATGTAGTGTCCACTTGACTATCCATAGGAAGTACATACTGACTGAACCAGGACTGAACCAGGACAATGAGGCAATATAACAATATAATAAAGTCAGTTTGAACTCTTTAAAGATCCTGTTTTGAAGTGACGGTCGAGCTTTGATCTGTGAAAGTTGTAAAAAGGGCTTGTGAACGATTGTGCGAGGAATGTGTGAGAAAGTTATTCATAAGCTTAGACAGCTGCAAATGGTTGAAAAGGAATGAAGTTTGATTTGGACAATTTTCAGGGTCTAAAACCTTGGTTGAGGCCCCAATATAGTCGTGTGCTTCCATGTGAGTGGTTGAAGAAGCACAACCACTCAAGACAACGGACGAAATGGTTTATCCAATCACATACAATGATTTTTTTTTACAATGCCCGCCTTCTACAAGGGACTCCCAAGACTCAGGTAGTCAAACTCAGACAATTTTTGTGTCCTCTACAATGATTTTCAATTATTATTATCATTATCATAAACTGACCAGCAGTGCATCCAACTGAAGTATTATAATTCTTTTTAATGCACTGTTGCTATTTCTGTTTTTGATATTTTTTGTGATCTTAATATTGGTTTTTAATAATTTTCTTGATTTGATTTATGCCTGATGTGATATGGGTTATAAGGCGCTTTGTGTTGTCTTGTGTAGAAACGGCACTCTACAAGATAAAGTTGATTGATAGATTTATGGAGGTGTTGTTTTCGAGCACAATACTCACTCAGCGTCTCCTGGCAGATATCCCCCTGGTCCAGCGACTTCCACCGGACGTTCTTGTTGTCGTCAGTGAGCAGCACCTTCCGTCCGCTCAGAGACAGCAGCAGAGAGTTGTTCCTGCTGATCAGTCTCTCCCGGTCACAGTCCCACTCCAGGACCCCCTTCAGCCCCTGCTCCCCCGCCTCAGGACAGGCCTCGGTGAGCACAGGCTGGAGGTGACGGGCCGACAGACATCTGGAGGTCTGCACGTTCACCAGCCGAGTGCGGTCCTCCCAGAGCCACTGCTGAGAGTCCGAGTCCAGGCTGCACTCCCTGCCCACCACCTCCCCGCTGCCGGACACCTCCTCCAGGCAGAGGCTACGCTGCAGGTTGTGGATCAGAAACGCCTGTGTGCCTGTAAGATCAAGACGACACGCTGAGGACCAATGGCTCTATGTGTTTTCCATCATTGCATTTCTTGTATTTGAATGGTTTGATTCTCTGATCTGTGTTGGAGAACTCAACAGTTTTATAAAGTCCTTTGGTATAAATCAAATTGATAATTTTATTCATACAGTTAAACAGTTTAAGCACTTAGTAACAGTGAATAAAAGGTAAACATCTAATACATTCGTTTGTTTTAAAGTATCTGAAAAAAACTTTACATTTTTGGCGGAATTTTTCAGAATGAGAGCAGTCAAAATGTCAGCTCGGGGAGTTCTAGTTGTTTCAGAATTCTGGCTGTCCTAGTGTTAAAGAAGACATAACAATAACCCGATTCTGTTCTCTATATTATGATAATGTATGACCTTCTTTAAATTGTTCATATGACATGCGTTTAGAATGCGCTAAATCCAACTGATAGAATAAACGAGTCGCGTAGATAATTGAATATGCAAATTAGCTCAGAATCAATGAACTATCAAAAATAGTGTTGCTTCTATGTATAGTAACAATAATTGGTTTTTGTGGTGCTTATTGGGCACATTTTGCTGTGTTGATCTAATTTGCATATTCCAATTTATTTCTAAGATAAAACCAGGATTTCTTCAGACTTTTAGATGTTGTTGCTCAAGACAACCTGTGATGTATGGGGAAAGAATTAAACATGCTTCAAACATGCTAAACATGCTTCAAAAATGCATTTGTTCACACCATGTGCTTTTTAGAGCTGCTGCTGCTGTTCATGTTCAGATTGTTCTCTTGTGATCTTTCATGTATTACTTTTGACCCAACACACAACCATAAGATTTTGGATGTGCGTGTCTCTATCTAGAAGGAAAGTGTTTTTCTCATTCAAACAGGTTCATATAGTCTTGAATTCAAATGTTTTTTGTGGTTCTTTTGAAAGACAAGTCAGACATTTAACTTGTTTTTCAAAAGAACAGCAAACCATAAATAATCATTGTTGTTGCTGTGTTTCACAATAAAGAGGAGGTCAGCCAACTTTTTCCTCCACATAAAATGCTGCAAGTATTGAATACAAATAAAACACTTAGTGCTGTCTTCTATCGGGGAAAAGAAGACGTGAATGTTTGTTTTTCATTCCCTGTGTGATTTTTATGTTTATGATGTATGTGATGATTTATGCCTCATGTTATAAGGGTTAAGAGCTGTGTGGGAAAAGTTGATTGATTGAAGACATTTGGATATAAGATAGTATTATTTTAAAACCAAGCACTAACAATATAATAAGCACTGTTGTAGTAAAGTAAAGTGTTGATAATGAGGAAATTACCTGAAAGCAACAGAAATAGCGCACACCAAGTCTGATGCATTGTTGAATCTGTAGGAGATAAAACATTCAGTTAGATGAGAGAAGAACCGATCCAGAACTCAATGCATGGAAAGGAATTCACGGTCATGGTGAGTTATAGATGCATTATGATCAAAAGAGCTATGATTTAAATACATGTTGCAGTAATGACCCAAAATACGGACGAACACAAGGCAGGAGTGTCTTTTCTTATTTTATTATAAGTTTGACTTCTCTCAGTGAACACAAGTCATTGTTCATTTTTATTCACACACGTTCAAACAATCACTGATAAAAAGGAAAAAGGGCACCACCCACAACGGCCATTGGAAGGGGCCGACTGGGAGGAGCGCGTCTCCTGCTGTGAGGTGCGCTCGTTATGAGCGCCTAGATGGTAGCGTGGAGCGCGTTTGGATAGCCGCAACAGACTCCCCGCCGATGAGCCCGACTCCAGTCAGCTCATCACTTGGTGGTTAGAGTTCAAGGGGATAGAGAAGCTGGATGGGTCTCCTTAGCGTTGATCTTGAGGGAAGCATAAGTAAACAAGAGCGAACCCTGCCGTCACGCCCGAGATAAACTCCGGTGATTCGAGCCACTTTCCACATGTGACGTGGCAATTTGTCTTCGTGGACTATGACCACGTCTCCGATTTTAAAGTCTTTAAATTCCTTTGCGTTGGTGCAAGAATGAGCAGAGCGTAATTCTAATAAATATTCTTTGCTCCAACGATTCCAGAATAAATTTGAAAGTCTTTGTCTGTATCTCCATCGTTTCCTCATTTTGTCTGCGTCCATTCGAGGGACAAGAGTCAGAGTTCCAGCTGCGGGAAGAGTGGTAAGTCGCTGGCCAACCAGAAAGTGCGAGGGAGTGAGAGGGCTCGGTTCTTCACTGCCAGTGTGAGTAAACGTAAGAGGTCGGGAATTAATAACAGCCTCTACTTCCGCGAGAAGCGTCTCGATCTCCTCATATTTCAAAGCGGCTCTCCCAACAACTTTTCTCAGGCAAGTTTTAACTGAACGCACAAGCCTCTCCCACATTCCACCCCACCAGGCGGCCCTTTCCGCGATAAACTTCCACGTTACCCTCCGTTCTGCAAGGAAATCTTGGACTGGTTTTGAGTTAAGAGAGTCCCATAATACAGACAGTTCTTTGTTTGCTCTTTTAAAAGTTTTTGCGTTGTCAGAATAAATAGTTTTACATAATCCTCGTCTTGATACAAAACGTCTAAAAGCCATTAAAAACTTTTCAGTGGTCAAATCGGATACAAGTTCTAAGTGAATAGCACGAGTGACAGCACATGTAAAAAGAGCGATAAATACTTTTTCTTGAGATTTGGTATAAAGCGGACCAGCGAAATCGAGGCCTGTAACTTCAAAGGGAGGAGCTTCGTTGATGCGCTGTCCAGGCAAAGGTGCTGAAACCTGTCGACCAGGTTTGGTCCTGAATTTGCGACAAATTAGACATGCATGTATTAGTTTCTTTGTTAGCTGTCTTCCCTTTATTATCCAAAATCGTTCTCTTGTTTGATTTAAAGTGTCTTGCAGTCCTGAATGCATGACTTGTCGATGACACTTACTCACAAGAAGCTTGGAGAGATCGCAATCAGAGGGCAGAATGATTGGATGTTTTTGATCAAAGTTCATGTCTGACATTTGCAATCTACCTCCGAGTCTCATTAAATTGTCTTGGTCCAAGAACGGGCGAAATGCAACAAGTTTTGACTGTGAGCTTAATTCGTTATCATTTTGTAAAGAAAACATTTCGTTTTTGAAGTACTTTGCTTGAGTTTTGCGAATCCAGAAACTTTCAGCTTGGGATAATTCACTTGCCGTGAGAGGGCCACTTGTTTTTTCACTCTTTGCATTTTGGCAGAAGCGTTTTATCCATGCTGTTACGCGCAGCGCACGACTGAGGGCACTGTAGTTTTTTAGTGGCAATAACTCACTTTCCTCTTCAGCACTAGTCAAACACACAATTTTATTCATTTCGGAGTTGATATCAGTTTCATTTATTAACGTTGCACCATTGTCTTTGTTGTTTTCAAATAGTTCCTTTAGCCAATGGGGGCCGGTCCACCAGAGATCGCTTTAGTAATTTAGTAAGTAATTTACTCACAGAAATTCCTCTTGTCGCGACATCTGCGGGATTTTCAGTGCCTTTGCAAAAATTCCAAAGAGAAGGTTCCGTTAAACTTTGAATTTCACGCACTCTATTTTGAACAAATGGTTTCCATTGTTTTGCAGAACTTTTGATCCAGTGCAACGTTATCATCGAGTCAGTCCACATTGTTACTTGTGACATATTCAAGTCCAGATTTTGAGTGACATAATGACTGAGCCTCGCGCCTATAACTGCGCCTAAAAGTTCAAGTGCAACGTAACCCTTTTTAACGGGGCCACGCGCGTCTTGGCTGTTATAAGAGAGACTGAACATTGTCCATCACCATCTATGGCGCGCAGATATGCAGCGGCACAGTAAGCAGATTCGCTTGCATCAGTAAATACATGAACTTCTTTTTTAACAAATAAACTCGTATGTTTTAATGCTTCAATATTGTATCTGGGTATTTTTAAATGTCTGACGGCTGGCAGTTCTAAGCACCATTGTTGCCACGCGTTCAGGAGATCATTTGGCAGATCACAATCCCAATCTATGCCACGTTCCCACATTTGTTGAAATAAACATTTTACTCTGATCACGAAAGGTGACAAGAATCCAATGGGATCAAAGATTCGCGCAGCCGCTTGCAACACACCGCGTTTTGTGTTCTTTGTTTCTTGTAAAAATTCCATGACATGTTTAATATCAAACGTGAAAACATCTTCATTTGTTTCCCAACTGAGTCCAAGAACTTTTAGTCCATTGCCATTGACTTCAACATTTTCGTTTACAGACATGTCCATTGTTTCCATCCATTTGTATTTTAATTCTGCAGAATTCGTGCTCCATTTCCGCAGTTCCATGCCAGCAGAGTGTAAAATGTCTTTTGCGCGCACTGAGAAAGCATGAGCTTCAGCTACACTTTGTGCTCCACAAATTAAATCATCAACATATAGGGATTTATTTAAAATCGATGTGACGCTTGGATCTGTTTGTTCAAACCTTTTAAGATGGTGTTTGATTGTAGCAGCTAACAGAAATGGACTCGGGGATGCGCCGAACGGGACTCTGGTCATACGCATGACGCAAGGCTGTACAGTTACATTATTTGGACAATCATTTACCCACAGAAATCTCAACACATCTCTATCATTTTCATTTATCAAAATTTGCAAAAATGCTTTAGAGATGTCTGCCATAAAGGCGATGGGATTTTGTCTAAATTGTAACAAAACACCAAGTAGGTCAGGATTTAAATTAGGGCCTGTCAAAAGGCATTCATTGAGCGAAAGGCACGCGGGGGCATGAGAGGAGGCATCGAATACCACCCGAAGCCTCGTAGTTACGCTCTCTTCTTTAATTACCGCACGATGTGGCATGTAATATACATTTGTCTCATTATCATCACTTTTTACTGGCTCTACTATTCCTTGTTTCACATAGTCTTGAATAACTGCATTATAATCGTCATAAAGACAAACATTGCGCCTACATTTTTTAATCAAGTGATCAAAGCGCGCCTTTGCAATTTCATAATTGGACGACAGTTCTTTCTTTTCGATTTTCCACGGCAAAGACACTTCATAACGTCCGTCTTTATATTGTATGGAATTTTCAAACATTTTTATTGCATCATCATCAATTTTGGATTCCTTTTCCATGGCAATTCCGATTGATTCTAGCTCCCAAAAAGAGCGTAAAGTGTGATTCATTTCATTTTCAAGTCCCACGCTCACGTGCAGTGTTTGCATTTCATCTCGTTCACATGATACTGTATTGGACATAAATGTGCCTTGGATGAGCCATCCGAATTTGCTTTCAAGTGCAACCATTTTCTTTGACAGTCGTTCAACTTTTCCTGAAACAATGTCCCAATAATTGTCTCCTCCAATTAACACTCCGAGTTCCTCAGTCTCCATTCCACTCACCGCTTCATCGGCTAACTGCATGCCTCTTTTATCCAGCTCTGCGCGCACCTCATCTCCAACTATTTGCATGATAGAAGTGCAAACACGGGGGGTTTCGAGCACACTGATTTCAATGCTTTGTCCGTTTCTTATGTTGCTCAGTTTTATTTTTACAACATTGCATTTCACTTGTTTGGGACCATCAGAACCAAATGTATGTAAATTCAGTGTTTCTTCCCCGATTTTGGGCAGGTTTAGGGCACGGGCGATGTCTTTACGCACGAAGCTGCGTTGGCTTCCTCCATCGAACAGGAGTTTCAATCCACACTGTGGCGGTTTGGAGCAGAACAGTTCCTTGTTTTGATTCACTCGGGGATATTGAAATAATTGTGTCTGTTGGATCATTTTCATGTCGGCTTTCGTCGTTGAGGGTGCACATTGATTTAAAGTGACGACGATTACATCTTTCACAATGTATGCCTTTGGTTCGGCAATCTTTGGCAACATGTCTTGTTCCGAAACAAATAAAGCATCTTCCTTTTCCTTTTAATTTTTCACGTTTTTCTGGCACACTCATTTCATTGCATTCTTTTGACACATGATCATTTTTATCACAGAAGAAACACTGGTTGCGTTCATAAAAAGGGCGTTGAAATTGCTGTGTAGAATAAAGGGCTGATGCAGTTGACATTTGATTTGATCTTTTGCGCATTTCCCAATGACTTTGTTGGTCTCCTTCTCGCTCCTTGCGCTCTCGTGTGCCTCTTGTCATGTTTGCAGTGCGCTCTCGGCTTTCCACTTCAATCTTTAAAAATTCAATCAATTCATTAATTTTCCAGACATCGTCCTTTGCAACATCTTTACTAAAATTTAAAATCATTTCCTCAGGGATCAACTTTGTTAAAATAGGACACAGTAAACTGCCGTAAGCCTCAGAAACAACTCCCATCGATGAAAGGCTTCGGATTTGTATTTCACAGTCGTCGTACAGGGTTCTGAGTGCTTTGACATCATTTACATTTTTCACAGGATTTAAATTGAGCAGTTTGGTCATATGGGCATTAATTATTAAATCTTTCCGTCCAAATCTGTTATGGAGTAATTCAGTGGCATTGTCATAGTTGGACTCTGATAAGGACAATCCCGCGACGACGTTGGCAGCTGCACCTGCCAGGTATGACCTTAAATAGCTGAATTTGTCCGTTTTCGTTAGATTTGGATTCTTATGCACTGCGCTCTCAAACTGTTCCCAAAAATATTTCCATTTGCTCACATCACCGTAGAATTTGTCAATCACGAGTTTGGGCAACTTCACATTTTGGTACACAGGCTCTCCGTCATACATTGATGGACTTTCTGGTGGTTCTCTGAGAGCTCTTTTAATCTTTGTTTTCTTGCGTATTATGACTTCTTTGTACTCCTGCGATCTTGACACTTAATTTTCCAATTCCTCTACTGGAATAACACTTTCGACGTCTTCATCCATTTTTGTTAAACACTTTTCTTTATCAATTATGATTTCAAGCATTTCCTCCAGTTTAGCGTGATCAGGACTTTGTTTGCACATTTCTTCATCAATTTTACTTATCACTTTGCTGAGGGAGGTTCGGATGGACGCTCTCTTTTTCTTCAGACGTTCCAGTTCCATCTTGCTTTGTTCGTCCGCGCGGTCCTCTTCTGCAAACTATGGACTTTTCTTTGTTGTCCCGGGTTTCGGCACCAAAATGTTGCAGTAATGACCCAAAATACGGACGAACACAAGGCAGGAGTGTCTTTTCTTATTTTATTATAAGTTTGACTTCTCTCAGTGAACACAAGTCATTGTTCATTTTTATTCACACACGTTCAAACAATCACTGATAAAAAGGAAAAAGGGCACCACCCACAACGGCCATTGGAAGGGGCCGACTGGGAGGAGCGCGTCTCCTGCTGTGAGGTGCGCTCGTTATGAGCGCCTAGATGGTAGCGTGCAGCGCGTTTGGATAGCCGCAACAATACATACAGAACACGTACAGACAACATATTTACACTGCATTTAAGCACATTCTTTGAACATATATTTGGTTGAGTTTAATATCCAGAACACAAAACTAAGATAAGATAAGATAAGATACATTCAATTGATCTCACAATGGGTAAATTTACATGCAGACACTCCAAGCAGGCATTGCACATTTGCAACAACTTCATTTCTTATTACCTAAATATTCCACATCCATATTTTTTATCCTTTTTTATTCAGAAGTTTGTTTGCATTGTCACGTTTTCAAATAAAACACTAGGTTTGCATGGGACAGATTTTACAGTTTAATGGCACTGTAAACTGTGCAGTCACTTTTTACTCTGGAAAATGAGTGGATACTTGAATCCGGAAACTGGGTCCAGATGACTAATGTTGAATCTTGTCTTGTGTGGGATGGATCCGCTCTTTTACTGATTTGCAATTTTTCCTTATCTCCTCTGAGATTAAAAAAATGTACAGACTCATGAAGTGTCTTTTCCCAAGAAATCATGGTCTGATTTCTGGATGTGTGTATATTATAAAATCAGGCAAGGCAAGTTAAAACAGCCAATCATTCTGTGTCCAAGGAGGAGCAGGGGGGAGGAGGGAGAGGTCTTGAGAATTGTCTTCCAGTGCCTTAACTTCTCTCTTTTTATGTTTTTTATGTACTTTATTTTCATTTTGAATTATGTTTTTATCTTTTAACTTTATCCTATGTTTGTATGATTACGAGCAAGGGACCAATGCACAATTTCCTTTGGGATCAATAAAGTATCTATCTATCTATTAAAATACACATGAAATTTGGAAATATTCAGAAGACAAACATAGCAAAAAGGACAGTGTAATATGCATAGAAAATATTTTATATATTTAAGATATAAGTTGATATTTTATGGCTTTATGATTATAATTAGGACTGGGAAATAAATGTAATGTTTATATGATTAATCGATCCTATATAAGATCAAAAAGGTGGGAAATAGTGAAATCCAGTTTATTATAATATTTCTGGCCTCTGCTTCTTGGGCCTCTGTAGTTTAGTCGTGTTTACAACAGGGCAGTCCAGTTGTCATCAATTATGGGATGTCAGTGTTTGAATATCTGTGTGATTGTTTGGGTTGGACATTAAATAAAGTATTTGAAATGTAAATATTGAGCTTTTTCCAATAAACTGTTTGGTGACTTTTGATGTTGTACACCAGCTCGACCAGCTTTAATTGTAATTAAGGTTTTGTTTTTCATAATCATAATGTATGATGTATGTCCTGTGTTCTCACAGATTGAAAGTAGCAGTAGCTAAATCTGATGCAAATAATTTCTTCTGCAAAGACTAATGGGTTTGTGCATTGCTCTCGTTCAATAAAGACACTTAAACTAAACTTTTGAGAATGCATGACATTCCTATAATGCAACAAGACAGTTTTAGTGTACTCACATGTGGGATGCGTGCTGTGGTGAGTGGACAGATGATTCGATGGAGACTGAAGGCTCCTCCACAGATTTTGGGGAGGAGCAACTTTTATTATCAGCTCTCCCCTTTTTCTGTGTTTTTAACTCAATCCAACTCACGTCGCCTGAAAACAGAGAATCCAGAGTAAATACAAGGTCTGTAATAAAGCAGTCACTGATGTTGTTTTACATACGCTTCTCTAACGGTGCACGTGTGACGGACACGAGCCCCGGGGACAGAGCAGCAGAAGCTGTTCAAGCAAAGTTCAGCTCGTTAAACACAGGTCTATGACCTTGTTGCTGGGTTACTGTTTAGACAGCCTTGCCATTTACTGTTTGTGGAGGCATCTGACTCAGCGGTCAAATGCCTGCACACACACACACAGGCGCACATGCACGCATGCACACGCGCACATGCACACGCACACTCACGCTCCTCTGGTCATTAAAGCAGAGTGTTTTTATAGCACCTGTATACAGAAAGGAAAGGGGAATGACCTTGGTGTCAAGCAGGTGCACAGAGCAGTACCTGGTGTTTGTTAGACAAATAAATCCAACAGAACCAATAGCAATAATAGGTTCCTCTCTTTAGCCTCCAGCGCCCTCACTGCATGCTTATATTCGACTTGAAATATTGGCCTTGAAAAAACATCTCAAAACTATTAGCACTAAAAGCAAACGGTAGTATCATAATTACTACATCGAAGATAATTAGTGTGTGCGTTTCAGTTCTCCAGTGAGAACAGGTGAAATGTAGGACTTACATTATGCAAAGGACATTAATCATGTCCTCCTTCTGAGTTGACAAAAATACATTCTGATATCTATTGTAAGTTAATTTGATCCACATTTAACAACATTTTTTAAAAGAAAGTATTGAATAAGTTATGGAGACATGGGGAAAGAGAAAGCAATGTCATAAGGTGTACAGAGGTTAGAATACCAACTTCTTCTAAAACATGTTAGCTTTTGCATACATCCCTGTGAGTCACTTTTTGATGCTTTGGGCATCAAAAAGAGGTGATTGGCTGAATGAGGGCTAGTACTATTTTTCACCCCAAAAAGATTATCTAAAGATGTGACACAAGCCAAAAATACATGAAAGGGAAAACTGGAGAAAGAACCAAACGGTTCTGAGAGCTTTTTGTGGTTTTAAAGGTACACAGTGTAGTTTTTACTCCCATCTAGGGTTGAGATCATATATTGCAGTCCCTTTGTACGAGTGCTATGAAGAACAATATGTCATGTTTGACAGTGGTCCCCAACTCCCGGTCATTCAAACCAAGGCCAAGGAAATTATCCTTTAGTTTGATGAATGACCAGATCTCTGCATACGTCTTGGTCACTTGACGTGGTAGCGCTAAAATGTAAACAGTCCGTGTTCTGAAGCTGCACCCGCACATTGCACAGAGGCTCAGAGGTTTTACAAACGCAGTGTGAACAGGAGAGATGCGTGGAGGAATGGGACGTCTGTGGGCAACCACAATGACCAGAGTATCAGAGAAGCCAGGACATTTCCTTAAACATGGGCGTACAAACACAGCCGCGGCAGAACTGTGGCTAAAAAGCTCAGATTATCATTAGCTTTGACCACAGCGGGGAATCTGTGTGTTTAGCATATTTCAGGCTTGTCCCCTGAATAAGTTTAGTGTGAACCTGTGGACATAGTGGTTGGACTGCGCTCGGAGCGGGTCAGAACATTCCCGTGTTGCAGATTCTGTCTCGTTCTCATTACTGTCAGTATGAAGAAAGTTACTGTTGGTGTGAAGAAAGTTACGTATCGTGCACGTTTGAGTCTGTTGTATACAAACTACAACTATATGCATCTTATTGTTTTAACGCCTTTCAGAGCATGTGGTTTGCGATGTTGACAATTTTCTGATATGACTGGTTTCTTGATTTTTACATAATGCTTTTTGTAGATTATTTTTTGAGTACTTCTTTTATATAACTGTGGTCCTGATGCACCTACTGTATGAAACAGGTCCTTTATAAACCAATGTATTTGATGTAAGATGGTGCATTGACACGCAGAGTCCTCAGCTCTCATGTACATTTATAGGTCAAATTCTAAGTCTCTGACAACAATTCAAAAACATGGTGGAGGTAAATATTCTTAAAAGGTCACGTTTTTGTCATTTGGAGCAACTGTAGAAAGTACCTTTAAAGTCAGGTACTGGCTTTGATATTGGACTGACTCAATGATAAAATATCCTTTCCACACTTCAAAACACCAACATGAAATCCAAGAGCCACATATATCTTTATCTTTATGTTATCTGGGACATTTGTGACACCCCAGCTCACATTTCCAATTTGTAACAAGCAGAACAAAGAGAACTGCTTCTGCACATCCAAACCTATATCCCTCCCCCACACTCTCGCGCATTGGGGGATTTAAAAAAACCCAAACAAGGCAAACATTTCCAAGAGAAGGCTATCTGTGGATGAAACAGCATTGGACGTATCCTTGTGAGCTGCTGGGGTTAGGCATAGCAAAGCAATATAGAGACTGTGAGGGAAGGGGAGGGGGAGCCAGATACAAGAACATGATGTAATTTTCTACCTCTTATCATTCGGCCCCATGCTGTCACTCACAGCGCGCGCACCTTTATGCTGAGCTTGAATTTCATCCTCCGGGCCTTTCCAAGCGGCAAGCTGCTTTTGATATAAATACATCTTAGTCAGGAGTCTGCGTTTCTTCCGCCAAGACTCCAGGGAATGCATTTTGTAAGTGGGAGCCTTCTTGCTTTCCTGGTGGTCTTGGCATTTTGCTGATTCGTAATGATTCCACCTGATGAGGCCCAAGCAAACAGGCGCACACACACTGGCTACACTTGTCTCTTAATAATCTGGCAGGCCATCAGCGTGCGGATTTATGTGATTGGAAAGCCTGGGAGTTGTCCAAAAATGGAACAGAGCTAGTAATTGCCCGTTTGGCTGGTCTAAAATTAGTTGTATTGTGTGTTTGTTTAGCCATGTGTGTGTGCATCTCAGTATAAAGATCTCAATCTGCTTGGCAAGCGTCCACTTGAGCGGAGGTAATGTCGGGGACAAACGGGAGATTCAAATGCTGTACGGAAGAAAGACATGGACAAGAAATATATTAGTGTGTGTTACAAAAATCGTTCTACTAATATCAATGATAAAAATGCATCATTTTTACATACTTATATACTTTTTTGGACACTCACATAAGATAAGATAAGACGGACTTATTGATCTCACAATGAAGACATGTACATAAATAGGATCACTCAGGCTGTGCAAAGGACAGGAAATGTGCAACATGTTAAAAAGTGAAACGATTGTCTTTTTTTTGCAAGATATATTATGTACAATTACATTAAAAGTGACTATAGCGGTGCAAGTTTATTGAGTGACTTATTGTACAGTCTGACAGCGGTAGGGATGAACATTATTCTTTCACTCCATACATGATGGTGATAAACAACTACTGTAGCTACAGCTGCCCTGGGGCGAGACAGACAGTGTGTGCCATCGGCCTCTCCGACCACCACCAACCATTCACACCAAAATCATTCTAGGCAATGTGGGTGTGTCTTGCCTAAGGACACAACAACAGTTTAGGAAGCCCCACTGTTCCCAGAAGTCTCCCATCACAGTACTAACCAGGTCTTGCCCTGCTTAGCTTCAGAGGCGTTAACAGGCTTTAACATGCAGTTATGGATTTAATTACAGGCTATGAATGCAAACATTACACCATTCATTCATTGTTTACACACGATAATTCTGGAGTGTGCCTTGGAGGGTTTGCACGTGGAAACCTAATCTTCTGGTTTTCGAGACAAAGTACTAATTACTGAGCCGTTTAAAGCTTGGGTACCTAACTTACTTTAAGGCACAATGCATTTAGTGTTTATCCCAACAGAAAGAATCATATTGTGAACAGATCTGACCACAACATGCCATATTTATCTTGCTCAAAAACATGTTATCTTTTGCATGCTTGTAAGAAAGAGCCCGGTGATTAGAGTCTTTGGGCGGAGAGCTGATAGGGTGAATGAGGGTGGTTAATTATCAACAATATAACAGATAAAGTCTTGATATATCTTAGCCTGTGATGAGTTTGTCCCAAAGGATTCTCACTTTTCTCCCACTGAGTTTTTAGAGTTGTTCCTTGCTGATGCAGGAGGGTCTAAGGACAGTGGTGATGATCCAGGATTCTCCACATTCAACAACATTTATAAACATTGGTCATTTGCTCCTTATGCTCTATGTGTTTTTATCAATATATTTCTCTGGTTTGAACTGTTTGCTTCTCTGATCCGTGTCGGCGAATTCAACGGTTTTGTAAAAGGGTCACCTCTATCTCTATATTTCTTTAGTGTGAAAAATGTGGTAAAAAGTGAAGGCAACATATTGGTTACAGTAAACAATAGCAGTTAACCCAGAAGCGTTACTATGACACCAGATCACATGGGGGCCGTAATGTCTGTCTTTAACAAGCCATTACAGAGCATTCCGGTCACCCGCTTTAGCAGAAGACTCCAGTCCGAAGCACAACCGACCCAAGGCGGATGTGAAAGAGGACTCCCAGGAATACCAGGGGCCGTATAAGACCACATAATGGGGCTCTGAGGAGGTGGCCAATCAGACAGCTCCATACTTCCCTATGGTGCCACTGACATCGCCCATTAGTGTTCGCTCCTGCGGCATCGTAGGGAGCCATTTGAGATAATAAAACTATTAAGCGAGACAGACATGAGAAAAACACGGGAAAAATTAACGTAAAATGTGACAGACAAACATGACTCTCTGGAGAATAGGAAACAAATAGAATAAATTACCAAAAAATGCTTAGTCCCACCGTGCTGGAATGCCACTTCTTACATCCAAATAACTCATAATTTAATCCACCTCGCCAGGTAGTCTTTTTGCCAAGGCACTCAGTTGTCGGCTGTGCATACAACTGCCTTGTGTGGGAATTGGCTAGACAAATAAACTTGCCTTACCTTGCCTATTTTAGACAGCAAAAGATAAGATAAGATAAGATAGACTCTTTTGATCTCGCTGCAGGAGAAATTTACATGTCACATAAGGCATGGATAGAATCACTCAAGATTGTGCAAAAGAAAAGAAATGTGCAAACATGTTAAATGCAGGATATATTATGTACAATAAAACGTGGAAATTAAAAAGTGGCAATCAAAGAAACAGTGTCAACAGTAGTGCAGGTTTTGTTTTTGTCCTGGTGAAAATCCTAACTGTTTTACAGGCCGTATAGGCAACAATAAAGGTAATCTTGAAAATATTGTCCTCAGAGTCATATCTGTAATTTATGTAATGATGTATGATTATTGCCAACCACTCTACAATTCTAGTAATACCCATGTTTTGTCTGTTCGAGTGCTTCCAGATTGAATGCACACTATGCACTTTATGGCTGTTCTTAAAGACACGTGTGAAAAGCCAGCAATGCTCAATGCACACACTTTTTGCCATAAATTAAAAAGAATAGAGTGAAAATCTAAACTGATCTGCCAACTGAGTGAGGCCTTCAAAGTGACCAGTTGTGGAAAGTGCAAATGAGCAAATCAATAGAGCCTTTTTCTTTTATTACATTTTAGATCAAATATTGAGATTTCAGCCAATATGACCACCATATATGCTTATATACAACCACAATACTGTATGTGTATATTTTCCATGTCACACTGAGATTAATGCCCTGATATTTCACTTATACAAAATTGTGTTGTTTATAATTGTACATATGTATTTTTCTTTTCCCCACAAATACCTGCCTGCCAAAAACCTGTGTCATGCCCTTTCTTAATCAAGCTGTTATTCCCCCCAAAAGAATGGGATTATTTCCAATCATTGTGAGACAAGCTGTACTCATTATCTGATCCTTCTGGTATTTCACATATTTGATTAGCAGAGGCTGTTTGTTTCTATCACGGATCTTCAGGATGTTACAAATCAGAAATTGACAAAAGGTTCAGAGCATGCCCTTTTTGGAATCCAAATATGTCATATTAATTTCAACTCATAAGATAATTGGTAGAGCTTTCTTCAAACTTTGATAGAGTGCACTTTTCGCCTTTGCCACGGCTTTGAAACTCACACAGTAGACACAGTAAAACTCGTAATAAATTGTTATTAAAAAATATGTTCTAAAGCAGTGATAAACGCCAAATACTAAAGTGCTTGTTTTGTTCAGCACTTTGAGTTGCCTTTTTTATGAATTGTGCTGTACAAATAAACTTGCCTTGCCTTACCATGTTCATGAGAGAAAAATTGTCAGTCTGGGTTTTCTCCAGTTGAGATGGCTTTCCTTATTGCTAAAAAAGGTAGAACAGGCTCCGCCCCTGTGTTTGGAATCTCACTTGTTGTATGTTTTGTGCAGTGCATTGTTTGGTCACATACAAAAGGAGGGTCAGGCTAAGAGGCGTCCAGCGGTGACAGCTCGCTGCCCACAGGTTAATCTACCCACACTGACCTCTCCACACACAGCATTACCCCGACCGCACCGCGAGACCATCACTTCCATAAAGGATCACAGACGTGACACTGCACATCCAAGGAATGGCATTAAAGCAGATGGATGAGGTGGAAGGAAACAATCACCAAACGCACAGACTGGACTTCAATAGATACAGGTACAATAATTTGGTTCTGCAAAATTAGATTATGGTTTAAGGGTGAAAGAATGGTTTAAAAGACATATTAATACATTTTTTTTGTTCCAATAGAAAAGGCGCAAGTACAATTTCACACAAAGTTGAGTACTCCAGCTAAGCTTTAAATAGGTCTAAACAATAGGTCTGGCATGAGCCTCCTGTGTACAGACGACCTTGTTCCCATCTCTGTGTGGAGTGAGAGGACAAAGGGCTACACCAGGTGTATAGCGATTTGTGACTGGTCTGTAAAAAGTGCTACAGTATATATTAAGATTTTTGATTTTTATTAGCTGCATGTTTTAACTAAAATAAAGCCTTTTCTTATCCGCTCAGACCTAGACAAAACAATCCATACTTTTATAAGGGCCTATTGCTTTCACAATGGTGAATGCAAATGGTGGCGGTACGTGACGTACGCGTCAGCGCCCGTCATTCACCACAACGTGACGGTTGCGTGCGTAAACTCAAACGCTTTAAAATGATGTATCAGGTGCCATTGAAACCTATATTGTTTTTGCTGGAGATGTCGAAAAAAAAATCGTTTTTTATTTATTAGGCCCGAGCCCCGAACGGGGTAGGGGCCTATTGTTTTGCTCGAGCCTTTGAGCCTTAATTTGACCCCCTGAACATGCATGAAAAGTTGTTACATTTTGCCCAAAAATCAGACCTGGTGAAACATTTGATATTTTGGTGTTTATTTTTATGGGAATCAAAAAATTCAAGAACAGCACCACCTACAACAGCCAATTTAATACCCCTTTGGGAGTTTCGGAGATCAAGCCATGAAATTCGGTACACATGTTCCTCAAGTCGAGACATGAAACATTTTTAGTATGGCCCCGCCCTCTGACAAACAGGAAGCCCAAAATGGAAAAATGAACAGCAATAATTTTCATACATGTCGTTTGGAAAGCGACTCCTCCTCGGCC